TCGGTATCCTTTCGATACCATGAGATCGCCAGCAAATATATCTCGACTTGGTCCATTAACTGCCTTCTGATATTTGACTTCCGGGGGATTTATTTGGCATGTGTTTCTCTGTAGCGATGTTCATAGTCAACCACGAGTCGGCGACACGCTATAGCTGTTCGACTTACCAATGAACTGTCTATATATTTCATTAAATTAACTAAGTTCTGATAAACACAATGTTTACTACTTAACATAAGCATAATAACAAGCGTGACTATTGCGATACAATCCTTAATCGTTTTTTGTGATTATTTAACAGAAATGAGAATCACTAAAGATACTTCTTTTGAATCTGACTAACAATCTAATGATATGAAATCATATGAGCCCTGTTATAGCTTTAAAGTGCCGAGGTTTACAACAGAAGTATACAAACGTATTCCTGGTTTACAATTTATTCGTTCAAATATGGTGAAATTAAAAACTGACAAAAAGAAACGATTAAAAATAATATCAAAGTAGTCGGTTTAAACAAACTATCTACGCATTGTGATTAACAAATATTCTTCAAAACATATGACACTTGATTTAGCAGTAATGAATTGGAAAGCATATTGAATGTATGTATCACTTATTGGATTTTCATTTCTTTCAACGTAATACAATACAACCCACAATAGCGGCCAATATAGCCAAAATGAATAATCCAGCCAGGATATCTAAAAAAAAAACAATGATATGTTATTCATCATGGAAACGGTAAGGGTAGGACACATTTTGAATAGTGAAGAAATTATCGGTAATAATGGAGGTAATTTCGAGTGTGTCAACTCATACTCGTCTTTCACTGTTTTGATGATACCACATAGTGAAAAATGTATCACAAATAAGTTGTAAATCAATTCGATCAGATGACGTTTTGCAGTTATAATGGATATGATTAGACTTAGATATACAACGTTCCTAATGTAAATGTAGCTAGATTATTCATAGGTGTTAGGCTTACTTATGTAATCAAACATTTGATGATTTTGTATTGGAGAAAACATTGATTTGACTTAATTGCAGTGCCAAATAAATGACTTACAGAGCATTATTCTTCCGAAACCGGAGTTGGTATTCTCTGCATTTGGATCTAGTTAAAAGATGTAATGTAGGAAAATAGAAAATTTACGGACGTAGAAACAAATGCATTTACATATTTAATAATAACTAAGAAGATTTGAATGGTGATCATGCACAGCAACTATTCTGGATGAACGATTTGAGTGTTACCATGGTCTTAGTTATTCTTCCGTTATTTATCGCTCATTATAAAATCTAGTATGAGCACTTTGTGTGTAGTAAATATCAGATGGTATATTTACAACCGTTTTGTAATAGATGCACAGTCATCAAACTTCAATCGTGTTTTCTTCAAAATAATTACCCAGCTTCACCGTATATAACACATGTTCTTTGGAGAAAACTGTTTGTTCAATAAAGCTGACTAAGACAAGTGTCTGCAAAGATTTGTACTTACCTTCAGTATTTGTAGTTTGTTCAGTGGTATTAAACTCAGCTAAAAGAAAATACAGTTTAAGAACTACATGATAACAATGAATATATTGATGGTGATTGAAATGTGAATGAGGACATTTTCATGATGTAAGCACAATGTTAAACTGTTGATGAATTAATTAATTTTGGTTCATTTTGTTTTTACACGAATACGCGCTAGACTATGAGCAGGGGTTGAAATTGTGAGAACTGAGGCATGGATGGTACACATAAACATACCGCATATTGAATTGCATAGATGAAACAATAAGCACGCATAGTAATAACTAATGTGTTTCAAAGCTTACAACACAGCGAATAACCTCTTGCAAGACAGGATCGCATAAAACGTCATCATACATTAACCTTGTGAAACGACTATGTTTATGTGGTCAGACTTCATTCGGCCAATATCGAATTGTACCTTCGCCGTTTACTTGCAATCACCGTTTATATGACTTCGTACCTATCGATTTCGCACTTGCATTTTCACTGCAACTGAGGGCGTACGCAGCTCTAGATTTTCGAAAGTCTCATCGATTATACAGAATCAGAGCGATGTTGCGTGCACAGTCATAATCAGAGCAACGGATTATGGGTGGAACTTTGTTATAATATAGGAGACATGAAGAGAGCGTTCATGAAAATCATCTTCTCATACAGTAGAAAAACAAGAGGAAGTTAATTGACGTGTAATTTGATGAAAAGTGAATAAATTATCTAGAATATCCCTGGAAGTCACGGACAATTCATCAACTCTTGCATATATCGATGTTATTTCATTTGTAAGTTAATAATTTGAGTATACATTACTAACAATCTTTCAGCTGTTAAACATGTTCTCGATCATGAGTACGTGGCCCGACTACGTCAGTTCCCTTAATTCATGACTGCCTGTTGCATGAAAACATTTTTTTTCACTGACTCCCGTTTACTCATTTTCGAAATAAAATACCTGGTGAAGCATTCGTTTAAATCTAAGATCACAAAAGTATCTTTTCGTCCGACACGATGTTTTACTTATATCCAAACAAATTTTAACGAATCCCGTTACTAATATGATAAATTGGCAGAATGTTTTGCCGATTTCTGTGTTCAACATATCATCCAATTACCTCCAAATCCGGATAGCAGATTGTTTTGTATCGAACTTTTAAGTAAAGCAATTCACCAGTAACATAACGTATATACTGGTCTTTGTTATTTCTATACTCCCTTAGACCGACCACACTAAGGGAGGTTGTGTGACGGAAAAAATCTTTGTAGTAGAATCTATAAACAATCATTCATACAGTTGGCTGACGTTTTGTATAACCACGTTGGTAGTTCATCGAAATAGCCGTCAACTTAATCTTATCTATAGTAAACAATTGTGAATTATCATGGTATTATGCAAGAATAGTATCGTAGTATAGGTAGACCGTGGTTTAGTCGAAACAGTCATCAAACAAACGTATGTGTGGTTTATCAGTGTAATTGCAAATGTGTCAAATTGCTCGAAATATTGAACACCATTTCTTCGCATATTCAATCACCATACTTAATTCTCACGTCGTAGAATTGAAAGGTGTTGCGACTACGTAAACGATTTCTGAGTAAAAACACATCGGCGAATTCATCAAAATACCAGTGTACACAAACCTTACACATTTGTCTACTCATTTAATTCACTTGAGGATTTATCATTATTTTGCTTAATCATGAGATTATTATAGTTTTAGCTTTTAATTGTTTGATAATGCTAACAAGTGAACATTTCGTCAGTACAGTAGAAAGTGGAAAGAAATGGCAGATGTTTGGAGAGCTGTTTTGACTAAGAATATGACATGGTCCATTTTAATTTTGAGAGGAATAAACAAACAGAGCCGTGGGAATGATGTCCTTAGAGAGGCAATCAATTTGCAAATTACCCATAGAGCTCTCTGATGTTGCTGACTTGAGTTGTTACTTGGAAACGAAATGCGATGCGATCCGACGTGAAAAATATCGGAACAAAGTTATTGGTACGACATTAAAATGTGTTTCACAAAAAGTATCAATGAATGTAAATTAAAACATGCCTAAAATGGTTCAGGCAAACAAATGGAAAAAGATATAATTTGAAATAACATAAAAATTGATAAGGCAAATGCAAAGAAGAAGGTGCGAAAAGAATTACACGAGAAAATAAATATTTGAGATAAAGAGCACTGAGTATTGAAGTTGAATTTACATCATATAAACAGCGAAAACGGTTTTCAAGCTGCCGTTAATAAAATGCCGCGCTACGCATGTGATCACGCGACACCGTCAATGTCAATGTGTGTTTAGTGAATATGTGTGAAAAATTCAGTGAATTACAACAACCAACTAACCTTGACGAGGTCTCCTTTCTTTCTTGTTTGTACCATCTGAAACAACAGAAGAGAGATATTAATAAATTAGTGATGTGCTTGTTGGTGTGTATGTGTTGACAATTGGAGTGATGGTATGAGGAGGCGAGATGTGAGACTGTTGATAGAAAGTTATGGGTGGCCAAACCAAAATATAGTATCAGTCCACAAAGTCATTAACTTCTAGTCTGAGCCATGTTAGTAGATGCATATTACTTGGTTAAGGTCCATGTAACTGTCGTAACCAATGATTGAAGACTCTGGGTGACATGGCTCAGAATCGATCACAATCGCGTAGGTGTGTATACACTCTCTGTCTTCCCTTGAACTAAGAGATTAAAATTGCTTTATATTTTTCTTTTACGAAAGAATTCTTTCTTCCTGTATCATATCCTTATATGCAATGTTTTATATATTGCCACCATTGAATGAACTACTTCTATGAATCCGGTGTTATCTTGTTGTGCTAATGAGTGAGGCATGGTAACTTAGACTACTAATCCTACATTATAGCTGAATGAATGAAACAAACTTTTATTGAGAATCATGAAAATCTAACAATTCAGAATCATTAAGCTTAACAGACGGAACAAGCTTCGACTGTGTCGATCTACAAATTATCAATCAATTAAATCAATATCACAAATCTGATATAAAATTCAGTGTTTTGTCAATATTAAAATTTCCACAAAACACCTGATAATAATTATCTGCTCACTAGTAACTGACTTCAAAAGATACTCCTGGAGTTCTAGTGAGAAGAAGTGACAAGTGGAGTTCACCCAGGTCTGTTGTGAGATATCAACTCACTGAAGACAATGGTGTACGGTGGCGCAACTTCGTGGATTAGTTGAAGTTAGACATTAACACCATTGGACGCCAACCGGCTCAGTGGTCTAGTTGGTTAAGTGCCTGGCGCGCGACTGATAGATCCTAGGTTTGAATCTTGCGAGGGGCGAGATCGTGGATGCGAACTGTTGAATAGTCCCATACTAGGACGAAACGACCGCCCAGTGTTTCCAGGTTTTCTATGGTGGTCTAGCTTCAATTAACACATGATTTCAACCAGTGAAACATTAAAATGACATATTTAATCGTGTTGTTTAGGTAGATATAACAAAGAACTTAACCAATTTAATTCAATTAGATCCAAAAGCAGAGATTGTTGTTAGTGAATATCAAGATGGAGATTTTACAACGACTGGAATTCAAGGACAGAATAAATTTGATTATAACTTGATTAAAAAGAAAACAATAGTAAGTTGACAAATAGAATCAATTTCTTAATACAATTTGATACTACTTATCTATGTTTTAAGTAGTTAATCTAAAATAGTAAAAATAGTCATGTAAATGAAACAAACATTGATACAAGGAGGCATCAGATAGATATGCACCATATAAACAGTTCAATTTGTGTGAGAGCTGGGATACTACTCGGGTGCTCAAACAGAAGGAGGTGGTTTTCGTTTGGGAGCACCAGTTCTCTCAATATTACAGTTGCACCTTGCTGACTAGCGTCCAGGGTCCGGGGTTTCCTGTTGACTACCTCCAACCAACGTCTTATATCCCACCTTATGTTCTCGTATACTACAACAAGTCTAAGGATAAGATTTCGTAAGATAAATTTTATGTCTTAAAAAGAAACAATTCACTAAACAAAGATCTGGCTGACGAATCCAGAAAAGGACGAAATGCGCTTTGTCATAGATTCCACTGCTAACCACTATCTATCTTAGCTTATTTTAAGATGACGTAATGAGAAAAAAGAGAAGCAGTTATCAACCATACTCATTGAATATGTACATTAACATTCATAATACTGTAGCTTAGTTGTATTAGATTGTAAACATAAAGAATTTTAGAAAATGGATCATTCATTGAATTCATCCTACTTATGAATGGGTAGTTCTGCTTACACTCTTACTACCTCTACCACTACGGAATTTGATTCGACAACTGCATTTCTGTGCTAATACAGTGTGGCAACTTGAACTGATGTACGTACGTACGAAGTTCCACGTTGTTACTGACTGACTGACTGATATATGTTAGTTTAATAAAGTATACACTCTTGATTTTATTCAAAAGGCTCACAGAGGTTATTGTTTCAGCTGAATAACTGATTAACCTCTGTTATATCTCAATGAGATTAATGAATGGTAACTATTGGGATCTATTTATAAACCAATACAATACATATATTGTATAAGTGTTATGTAACTTCACTCATAGACTATTATTATACGACTTACCATTGTTGAGTTATGCCCAGCCTGTTCATTACAGTCTTCCACATTCACACAGACTTTTGGTTAGATCTTGTACAAATGTTATTTTCCATTTTATAATACGATGTTGTCTGTTTGGTTTGTATATAAACCGAGTATGCTTGAAATACATCATTCATATCATGGAGGCTGAGATTGTTGTTCTAGACTCAACAGATAGACAGAGTTATTCAGAAAGAAGAATCGATAAACACTGTAGACTGCTAGTATATATTTGATACATCATTGATCCGGTCGATAAATCACTATAATCTAATTGGCGGTATCATCACGTGAAATATATTGATAGAGGTTACAATGGTCACAAGTTATAAGAACTTCATAATTGATATAATAAAATAACCATAATGATTTCAATGGTTAAGATCATGCGTCAGTTGAAGCTAGATCACCATGGAAAACCTGGAAGCACTGGATGGCCGTTTCGTCCTATTGTGGGACTCCTCAGCGGTGCGTATCCACGACCTCGCCGCCGGCGAGATCCGAACCCAGGACCTATTGGTTTCGCGCGCGAGCACTCAACCACTAGATTACCATTGAATTTGCTACAGTTTCCACAAAACCCATCTGATATTAATCAACATATGCTCACTAGTGACTGGCTTCAAGAGGTATATCCTGGAGTTCCAGTGAGAAGTAGTGACCAGTGGAGTTCAACCAGGTCTGTTGTGAGATAGTTACTCACTGAAGACAATGGTGGATGTGTCACTCAATTTCGTGGATTATTTGGTGTTAGACATTAACACCGTCGGATGCCAACCGGATCAGTGGTCTAATGGTTACGTGCTCACGCGTGAAACAAGTAGGTCCTGGGTTCGAGTCTCGCAGGGAGCGAAGTCATGGACGCACACTGCTGAGGAGTCCCACAATAGGACGAAACGGCCATCCAGTGCTTCCAGGTTTTCCATGGTGATCTAGCTTCAACTGACGCATGATTTTTAATCATTGAAATTACTATTATATCCACAAAACCCATTTGATATTAATCATAATGAATTAATGATTTTCATTTCATTGTAAATAGAAAAAGAATACTATGAAAAGAAAGCATCTAAAGTCTATTACAGGTTAGTAGTATTATTAAGTAATATAATTCAAATGAATAACCATTGAAGCCTAAGATAAATACCACTAAGCTAACGTACACACTGGTGATCTTGAGATGTTGGAGAAGATTTGTAGATCAAATGGATGATTTCAATGGAGCTTTATTCTCTGAGTTGGTTGGTTTGATCGTGGAACTTTCATTGTTTTTTTTAACGACATCAGCAATAAACAAGCACATTGAAATCGATCCAATTTATCAACCAAGCAGGAAAATTATGTACAAATATAGGAATATAAATCAAACTAATGGAAGATATAACCACAACAAAGAAGTAAACAATAACAGGTTTGAAGTCAGTAAGAATCGATCAACATTAAGGTGTACTGAACAAGGTATGAATCACATGTGGAGAAATTGTAACACTTCACTTCAATCTGAAGTTTGTACTGATGATGTCATTCAGAAGAACGATGAAAGCTCTATGACCAAACCATTCAGCTCAGAGGACAAAACTCCATCAAAAACACCACCGATCGCTACTACTGAGTGAATGATTTGGTAAAGTCGTTGGATTGATGTCGTTCTACTGGCTTTTCCTCTCAATTAATACTGAGAAAAATGACCTGATTTGACAAATTAGAGTAAATAGGCTATTCTTTTCAGGATGTGAGTAAAGAAAATAACAGTTAAGCATCAATAAACAAAGATAAATAGTGTCTAGTTGAGGAATCTAAGACATGCGTGTCATTCTATTAAGAACTTGTCAGCTGGATGTATTTGCATTTCAGAGTTGATGTTCACTTTTGGAACTCGAACCCAGTATTTATTTATTTGAACACATAAATATTAGTACAAAGGGGCACCGAATACATATACGCCACACAAGTCACTTGATTTGTGTAATACTGCCTAGGTGTTCAGACTGAAGCAGTTGGTTTTGTTAGGGGGCCACACACTCAGCCTTCGACAAAAAGGTCTGATCCAGAAGGCAGTGGAGCAACTTTAAAACATGAAGTCCCATTGTAATCACTGACCAACAGTTGATTCATACTCCATTCCTTCCCTCAGGATACTGGAGCACATGTGTATTATTGGGTTGGGATCAGAGTTTCCCACCTCCTATATATGTCCACCAGCCCGGGTAAAGCGTCCTCTCAACTTCTTAAGCAACACACCCACCGCGAGAAAGCAGTGAGTAGGACTTCCCTGTCAGTGGTTGTATGCATCTGGCCATATAAGAGCATTTGGAGAGAGAGAGAGAGCTAACTCTCCTCACCCTCAGCTGTACCATCACACTATCTTCTCAGCGACTGAATCCTGATAGTCACTTGCTTGTGTAATAACAAGTGAATTGACTATTTTCCCATAGCAGTAATGTTGTAATTTAAATAATTCTAAAATATTTTATTGATATTTTTATTCATGTAGAAAAGGTACCAATTCTATGTTCTAATACAACAAAGAAATGTTGTTCATATGGTATACGTGAACCAATTGAACCTTGGTTCCCATTAGATTCATTATTAGAAGGAAATAGTCGGATTAACCAGAAAACAAATTCAAAGTAAGTTATTTGTACATGGCATATTTAACAAGCTATATGGCTATTTACAACTGAAGGTCTCAAATGAGACTGGAGATTCACCATTGATATTGTGGATTGTTTGGCATTGCTTTGGCAAGTTTTACTGACTGTTCATGCACAAAATTGGTTTGCTGGTTAACGGATTTCACTCATACTGGTGACTGCTCTTCACTGTTCTCAAGGGCCATTATGATTGAAACATTGTAAGGCATGTCGCCATTGCTAACATTAATGAGTTTGACTATCGTGTAAGCGGAATAGGTCAACTTTGGCCTGCTCGTGTTGTGCACAATTGATTCATGCGATCATTGATCGGAATAATTATTATACATGTAATATGAATGTGTATATGTATGGTGCGAATGGTGCACCAGGGTGCTTTGTACCTATGTGGTTGTGTCACAGGATTGATCTGTACTATTCAGATTGTAGCGTTAAAGCCTATATGGTGTTTGGTTCTCCTTTGAAGCGGGACTGAGCTATACTGTTTGGGTTGTCAAGTGGAAGTCTGGATGATGTCTGGTTCTCTTGAAAACCAACGTAAAATCACCCTGGTCCACAAAGGTATATTATATAACTGTAAATATATTTCACATTGCTTAGCTTCCATCAATGTTTTCAATGGTCAGTGATTTAGTAAACCATTTGTGTTATAGTGATTAAAGTCTTTCTATTCGAATGCTTATTCATTGTGTAAATAATCTGTCAACACAATCTATATTGCTAACTATTTATGAGAGGTTTTGATGTTTTCTTATCTGGATGGCTTCATTATAATATGATGACTGTTAGTCTAGACTCGTCAATATACATTGACTTCTTTGACTGTGACAAAGCATTTGAAAGTGTGGATAAGAGGGCTTTATGTAAAACTTATGTGACAATATGATGTACCTGAGAAGATTGTCAATATCATCTGAAATTCATATGACAGACAACACTGCAATGTCGTGTGGGGAGGATAGTTGAAAGATGCATTCCAAGTAAGGATTATCTTCAGACAAAGCTGCTTACTCCTTACCTTTCATTTTCTTCTGGTGTTGGTCGACTGGATTATGAAGATTTCCACATCTGATGGGAAGGACAGAATACAACGGATATTTTGAATGCAACAGGGTGGTTTGTACTTCACAGATGACCTGCTCCTTCTATTCCATGCACAACAACAAATACAGATGAAGACAACTAGTGTAGCAGCAGCCTTTGCATCACTGGACTTCAACATACTCAGAGGAAAAAGAAAGCTTCTCAAATTTTTATTGAGAACACCAACTCGGTAACAACTGACGAAGAAGCTCTAGAAGAGGTGGAATCCTTTGCGTACCTGGGAAACATCATCCATTAACGAGGAGAATCTGATGTAGATGTAAAGGTGAGGATTATCAAAGCAAGAACAGCATTCCTACAATTGAAGAACATGTGGAACTCAAACTAACTGTCAACCAATATCAAAGTCAGACTCTTCAATACGAAAGTCAAGACAGTCCTACTGTATGGAGCTGAATCTTGGAGAACTACAACAACCATCATCAAAAATGTACAATTATTTATAAATAGTTGTCTACTCAAGATACTCAATGTCCAATGATTGGATACCATCTGCAACAGCCTACTGTGGTTGAGAACAAACAAGTTTCCGACTGAAGAGGAATTTATCAAAAGATGTTGGAAGTGGATAGGACTTACATTACGGAAATCACCAAACTGAATCACGAGGCAAGCACTAACTTGGAATGTTGAAGGAAAACGAAAAAGACGAAGGCCAAAGAACACACTGCATCGGGAAATGAAAGTAGATATGAAAAGGTTGAATAGCAACTGGAAAGGATTGCACATAACAAGGTTGGATGAAGAGTGCTAGTGATCGACCAATGCTTCTCCACAAGGAGTAACTTGAGTAAGTTCTTGCTTAACTTCTTTAGCCTCTGTTAATCTACAATTTGATTGTGTTAGCGTCATAGGAAATCTCTGATATTCTTAGAACATAAGTATCCATGAACGTGAACATCTTTTAAGTCAAATTTATATCCATATTCAATGCAACTTCAATGTAGTTTTGTTCTTTATCATTTTTATTGCAGTTTACGCTTGAATCGATCTAAAAGTTGTGATATTAACAATTTCAAAGTAAGTTATTGATTTTATTATGTCCTTGATTTGTTTACCTAATGCCAGCTCAGTGGTCTAGTTGGTTAAGCGCCTGGCGCGAGACTGATAGGTCCTGGGTTCGAATCTTGCGGGGGATGGGATCGTGGATGCACACTGCTGAGGAGCCCCATACTAGGACGAAACTGCCGTCCAGTGCTTCCAGGTTTTCCATGGTGGTCTAGCTTCAATTGACTCATGATTTCAACCAGTGAAATATATGAAAGAACTTGTCTTGTTATAAGTTAAGGTCCTGATACAATAGGCTAACTGCTTCAAACTTGTGGTATGAAATACTTGAGTACAAATTGAAACTAATGGCGTTAGGCAAATTGACAACAACTATCCTATCACCTGATTGGTCAACAAGTAAGAGAGAAAAGGAAGAGAAAACAAGTCAATTGGAGCGCTACTTGATGAATTTCCAATTCATGAATCACGATTCAGATGACTATTAATTGTTTGGACCTACCTATTTACGTTCAGGACTGAAGTTGGCCAATCTCTTATTGGCATATGTGCATCCTGTGTAGATTTCCTTAAGTCACAAGAATGATAAGCTAAGTTTGGTAGTGTCTAGCAGTAGAATCCAAGCTGTGCGTCTCTTCCTGCTTCAGATTCCTCAAATGGATGTGCCTGCATTCCAGAGTTGAGACATTCCACACGAGAAGGCAATGAGTAGGACTTCCCTGGCAGAGGCTGTATACGCGTGGCCGTGTGAGAGTATTTCGAGAGGGAGAGCGGACTCACCACACTCTCGGCCGTACCAGGGCATTCGGGGGCCTGCTACCCACCATCCATTTTATAGTTTGAATCAGTCGTTAGAATACGATCATGTCAAACAAGCGACCTAGATTATGTAATCCTTTTTACCAGTTTTCTATAATTAAACTTCAAAAGGATTTCAAATTCCTTAATTTAGTCACTATGCTGTAAACTCGATAAACAGTGGTCTATTGTTACTGGTAAACATTCAACATTACAATGGTTTCTGAATGTTATGTAACTGAAGAGAAGTAAAATATTAACAGGTTCTCAACATGCTATAAAGCATGTTTTCTGATTACATCAGTTTCACCAAGTATTAACTATACATTACCATGTTTCTAGCCTAGAGGATACATGAATCTCACAACGTGTAAATCACACATAGTTAAGTATTGAATATACAACTCATTCAGTTGCACATAGTCATATTAACAATTGGGATTGATATCAAACATGAACAAAGCGAATATCCATGAGTGGCTTGGATTGCCTCCATCTATCCATTCACTGTCAATCTGTTTATTTTGTTAAGGCAGCGTTCTCAGATTGGAGACTGAAAAAGGATCAAATTTCAGATAGCCTTTTCCCTATTATGTCAAAAAACATAACAATCACTCACATATATCTTAAGCTGACTGAACCTGCTGATCATGGTAAAGCCATCAGTATTCATATTCTTACTGACAACATAAACCGAAACCTATCTCGGATTTGAAAGTGGTAGTCGACGATGAATTACACCAGTAGGAGGTACGATTATTAGCAATAGTTTATTGATTCAGTTTAGTATGGAACTTCAGTAAATTACATCCCACCAATGACTAAAGGCATGATCTCTTCACAAAACCCATTTATTCAACATTCATCGAGAAATTTTATCATCAATATATCCCTCATTAACGTGATTTCTAGAAATAAGTATCGATTCAACACAAAATAACATTCATGGATATATCTTCTCTCAATTCAACTCTTTGAACAATACAACGGTTATCTTTAGAACTGAATGTGTTATTTCGACCATAAAACTATTTAATAGTTGAATTCATGAGCTAGACAATCATTGAAAATCTAGAAGCACTGAATGGCCGTTTCTTCCTAGTATGGGACTGTTTAACTGTGCGCAACCATGTCCCCGCCTACGCGATTCGAACCCAGGATCATAGATCTTGCGCGTGAATGCTTAATCTGTAGACCACTGAGACGGCATCCCACGGTGTTAATGTCTAACTTCAAATAATCGACGAAATCGAGCGACACATCCAGCATTGTCTTCAGTGAGTTACTACCTCACAACAGACTCAGTTGAATTCCACAAGTCACTTCCCACTAGAATTCCAGGAAATACCTCTTGAAGCTATTCACTAATGAGTATATGTTGATGAGTATCAGAAGGGGTTTTTGTGGATATTATAGTAATTTTAATAGTTTGAATCATGAATCAATTAAAGCTAGACAACCATGGAAAACGTAGAAACACTGGACGGTCGTTTCATCCTAGTATGGGACTTATATATATATATATATATATATATATATATATATATATATATATATATATATATATATATATATATATATATATATATATATATATATATATATATACGTTATTTATAACTGATTGACTGCATTTATTTCGAAAGTATGTATGTACAGTTTGGATTGTATTTACTTAGGCCGCTGATCAGCATTCTTCAACACACTCTTTCCTGGGCCTTTCATTCTAGTTCTATCCTGTTGTTGTTCATTCTTCTCATATCTGTCTCCATTTTATCGTAGTAATGTATTCTTTGGTCTTCTTCTCCTCCTTTGGCCTTGAAAGTTTCAGATGAAGGCTTGCGTTTTGACGCAGTTCAGTGCTTTCTTCAATGTGTGTCCTATCCAATTCCAGCACTTCTTCCTGATTTCTTCCCCCGTTGGAATCTGGTTTATTCTCTACCACAGTAGATTGTTACTGATAGTCTCTGGTCAATGGATCCGAAGTATTTTGTGTAGACGACTGTAAATAAACACCTGTATCTTCTGGATGATGGCTTTCGTGGCTCTCCAAGTGTCCATCCCATAAAGTAGAACTGTTTTGACATTTGTATTGAAAATTGTGACTTTGGTGTTTGTTGGCAATTGTTTCGAGTACCAGATGTTCTTCAGTTGTAGATATACTGCTCTTGCTTTGCCGATCTGCGCCTTCACGTCTGCATCAGATCCACTGTGTTCATTAATGATGCTCCCCGGATATTTAACATTTTTTACTCCCTCCAAAGCTTCTCCGTCAAGTGTGATTCGATTAGTGCATGCTGTGTTGTATCGGAGAATCCTGCTTTTCTCTTTGTGTATGTTGAGACCTACTACTGCTAAGTCTGCTGCTACACTAGTCATCTCCTCATGCATTTGTTGTTGTATGTGTAATAGAAGAACCAGATCATCGGCAAAGTCTAGATCGTCTAGCTGCATCCTAGCTATCCACTGTATCCTATGCTTACCCCAGTTGAATTGTATTTAGTTATTAATAATTGAGATCATCATAGCAGAGATTGAATGTTCAATGACATAACATAACATAACATTTAGAATAAGAATTCACTGAATACTATTCGATTTATTTTAATTTATTTTAGTTACCATGGCAACCTGAATTCAGCAACTTATATCATAGTTCACCGAATTTAATGAATCAACCAACTGGTGAATTGGTTATCAATCAAAATTTTTCAAGTATATTACATGAAGTAAGTTTATAATATTGATTAATTGATCAATGAATGTTCTTCATTTATTGATTCTATTTTCTTTAAGTATCCTTTACATTTGTTTCTATTTGCTATTCATCCCTTTGATTTCTGCTTCCGATTTCTGACTCATTGTGTTCTATGGCCTTTCTCTTTTCTGTTTCCCTTCAGGATTTCAAGTTAGCGATTGTCTTGTGATACAGTTTGATGATTTCCGTAATGTATGTCTAGCTCATTTCTACCGTATTTTTATAACTTCTTCAGTTGAAAGTTGGTTTATTCTCATCCATAGTAGGCTATCACTGATCGTATCCTGTTAACAGACATTAGGTATCTTACGTAGAAAACTATTTATAAATACTTGTATGTTCTTGATGATGGTTTTAGTAGTTCTCCGAGTTTCAACTCCGTACGCTAGAACTGACTTTCATTACTGTATAAATAACATTAGTGGAATAGTGCAAGTGCTAATTATCACCAGCTTCCAGCTGAAGAAGAAATTAGGAAAAGACGATGGAAATGGATAGGACATACATTACGCAAATCGTCAAACTGCATCACGAGGCAAGCCCTAACTTGGAATCCTGAAGGGAAGCGCAAAAGAGAAAGGCCAAAGAACACATTACGTCGGGAAATAGAAGCAGATATGAAAAGGATGAATGACAAATGGAAGGAGCTTGAAAGGATTGCCCAGGACAGGGTTGGATGAAGAATGCTAGTGAGCGGCCTACACTTCTTCACGAGAAGTAACAGACGTACGTAAGTAAGTAAATAGTATAATGAATGATCAATTAACTTCAGAATAATTCTTACTATAAATATTAATCGACTTCGCTACCAATATCGATAACTAAGATTTTAAGATCTCCAGTTTTGTTAGTCATAAACATTGATACATTCTAAGAACAAACTTTGTCGAACTGTAAAATAGATGCACTTGTTATTGTGCACTTGAATCTTCCCATTGATGTTTAAGACTGCAACTGATCAGTCTCTTATTGTTATGTATGCCTACTGTACGGATCGCCTCCATATTGCCTTAATTCACAAGCATTCTAAACAAAGATAGATTGTGACTAGCAATGGATTATAGGACATGTGTTCCGTTTTGTTTGAGACTCGTCAGCTAGATGTACCTGCATCTCAGAGTTGATGTTCACTCTAGCCAGGACTCAAACCGGGTACCGTTCGCTTCAAACGCCATAGCATTATTCACTTGACTATTGAGTCCTGATAGCCACTTGGTTGTTCAATGGAGTGAAGTTTAAATTTACTTGTTGTCGTTTACTTGAATCTTCCCATTGATGTTTAGGACTGCAATTGATAAGTCTGTTATTGGCATATGTAGCGTTTGAAGAGAACGGTACTGTTTTAGAGTCTTAAAATGAACATCAACTGTGATATGCAGTTACATCTAGCTGACGAGTCCTAAATAGGACGAAACGCCCTTTGTCCTGTATTCTACTGCTAGCCACCATCCATATTTTCTTGTAAAATATATATGGGGTTAAAATGTAGCAGAGCATTCAACTTTTAATGTCCAGTAAAATTGTAATACAGTAATCAAATATAATCAGCTTTAAAAATATCTTTCAAAGTTTTATACCATTTATTGATTAATATCAGATGGGTTTTGTGTATATTATAGTAATTTCAATGGTTAAGGCCATGAGTCTAATAGTCTAGTGATTAAGTGCTCGCGCGTGAAACCAGTAGGTCCTGAGTTCGAATCTCGTAGAGGGCGAGGTCGTGGTATGCGCACTTCTGAGGAGTCCCACAATAGGACGAAACGGCTGTCCAGTGCTTCCAGGTTTTCCATGGTATTCTAGCTTCAATTGACTCATGATTTCAATCAAAAAGATAAATGTTTTGTTTAGATGAATGTTGAAGTAACTAACATCAAGAGTGCCAGCATCATTTGTTCTTGAGCATTTCCAATTATTGAAAATATACATTCTTTAGCCAAAATGTAATGAAGAATAGATGTATCAAGTCTAGTTTAGGACGCTTCAGAAATGCTAACTTACTACTTCATCTATGACCGAATAGGATATTATCGGAAAATGGAATTCGACCTCAATAGCTCATATCTGTTATTTCGATCAATGTGAAAAACAGCTAGTCTTATCAGTCAATCTAAATCTCTTCGATGCCTTAATTGTTTAGGTTCTACCATTTTGTGATGTTTGTTTGTTTTTTCAAACTTTTGCACACTATCCAACTCACTATCTTTTTCTGTTCTGTCAATTCTATCAAGTTAACCCAACAAAGAAAGTTAATATTAGATATGGAAGAACAGGCTATTGATAATCTGGAAGACAAGATATCATCAGAAGATTGTAATTCCAACGAAAAGAATAAAATCTGTAAGTAACCTGAACTTTTTTTAAAATATAAAATATGATTATAAGTAAAGATGGATAGTGGTTAGCAGTGAAATCTAGCACTCATGTTTCATCCTCTTTGCGACTCGTCAGCTAGATGTACCTACATCTCAGAGTTGATGTTCACTCCAGACGAAACTAACACAGTACCGTTCGATTCAAACGCCATCGTGTTATCTACTTAGCGACTGAGTTCTGATAGCTACTTGGTTGTGCAATGGAGTGAAGTTTAAATTCACTTGGTTTTGTTTTACTTGCATCTTTCCATTGTTATTCAGGACTGAAATTGATCATCAGTATAGGGGTTGTGGAGATTATTAAGTTTTTGATTGAGATCATGAACCGATTGATGTTAGACCATCCTTGGTAACTTGGAAGCACTGGGCGGCCTTTTCGTCCTATTGTGGGGCTCCTCAGCGGTGCGTATCCATGATCCTGCTCGCAGGATCCGAACCCAGGGCCTTCAGTCTCGTGCGCGAACGCTTAACCAACTGGACCACTGAGCCGGCACCCAATTGTGTTAGTGTCTAACATCAACCAATCCGTTTAATCGTTCGAGCATCTTCCAATGTACTGAGGTTCTGTGGCAGTGTTTGTCACTAAAAGGAGTACCAAAGAAGTACATTAACCTTATAAAGGCTCTCCACTCGAACACAACCGGTCAAGTGAGAGCTTATGGCGAACTGTCATCAGAATTGAGTACTTCAAGTGGTGTTTGTCAGGGCTGTCCACTCTCTCCATTCTTGTTTAACTTTGTCGTTGACGTGCTTTTAGAGACAACACTTTCCTCATCTAAATTTCCAGGGGTTGAACTTCTACCAGGAGATTCACTTGTGGAATTGGAATATGCCGATGACAGCGTTCTATTTGGTGAAGACGCTGACAAAATGCAGTCTTCTGACCACTCTAAGCAACATTGCAGCCATGTTCGGGATGCGATTCTCCCCGTCGAAATGCAAAATGTTGCTTCAGGATTTGGTTGCATCGACCCTCGAACTAATGATAGGGAGTGAAGTAGTTGAGTGTATCGACCGCTTCACTTATCTTGGAAGTCTCATCAGCCCTTGTGGTTTAGTGTGTGACGAAATCTCAGCACGGATACAGAAGGCTCGACTAGCTTTTGCCAACTTGCGTCATTTATGGCGTAGGCGAGATATCCGTCTATCAACCAAAGGACGTGTTTACTGTGCAGCAGCTCGTTCAGTCCTACTTTATGGCAGTGAAACATGGCCGGTAAGCGTATAGGATATTCATAGGTTACTAGTATTCGATCCTAGATGTCTCCGAAACGTTGCTCGTATATCCTGGGACCATCGAATAAGTAACGCAGTAGTTACGAAACGGGTATTATGTAAGGATGACAGATCAATTGATGAAGTATTGAAACTTCACCACTTGAGATAGCTGGGACACGTATTACGTATGCCCAACCACCGACTGCCCCAACGTGCGATGTTTTATGGTGTAGGAGTAGGTTGGAAGGAAACTAGGGATGGCCAGACCAAAACGTGCCACAAATCCATGAAGTCACTGACAGGTGGACTCAGCCATGTTAGTGGGTGTAGACTATCTGGTTAGGATCTGCGAGACGATAGCAACCGATGGTTAGAGACGTTGAATGGCACAGCTTTAACAGATAAGCAGCTAACATCTTACTTACTTATGCCTGTTATCCCTCGTAGAGGAGTATAGGCCTCCCACTAAGATTCTCCATCCAACTCTGTCCTGGGTAATCCTGTCCAGTTGCTATTCATCTTTTTCATTTCTGCTTCCAATTCTCGACTCAGCATGTTCTTCGACCTTGCTCTTTTGTGTTTCGCTTCAGGATTGCAAGTTGGGGCTTCTCTCAAGATACAGTTAGCTGATTTCCATAATGCATGTTCTACCCATTTCCAACGTCTTTTCCTATTTCCCTCTTTTACTGGAAGCTGGTTTGGCCTCTTACATTAAGTTATTCAGAAAGTTTTGGTAATCAGATATCTCATGTTAATAGTGAATGCAAATGAAAGTTTAAGGTTAAAAAACATTCCACACAATCTTCGAGTTGTGAATAGTTTGAATGTATGGGATATATATTGAACAATAAGTATTTACATACTTCTTAACCACAAGTTTGTGAGATTCAGTTAAACTTCCCAAAGCATAATCAAAGTAAAATTTAGTCTTCCAATCTGACAATACACTTCCCATTCATGACGCTACACTTAGCTCCCAAATGCCGTGGTACACCCGAGGGTGTGGAAAGTCAGTTCTCCCTCTCGAAATTCTCTCACATACCCACATGCATACAACCACTGTCAGGGAAATCTTACTCACTCCCTTCTCGTGGTGGTGGTGGGGAGGTGTTTTACGAAATTGACAGGACGAAAAACGAATTTTCGGCGCTTTAATCAGGTTGGTTGACACGAAGAGTTCACCTAGGAGAGTCATTCACTACATGATATTCTATATGATTATTCTATAGTATCATTTTAATGATAAATTTCATTTAGAATAATCATAATTGTTTTAATTGTTTTAGTTACAACAATCCATTCGAATGATGATTGTATTGTACATACTACTAAGAATCACATGTAAGTTTGTTTTATTTGAATGTTAGTTGTTGAAGTGATAAGACTATTATTTATGGATGACCTTTGAGCAACGCTAAAGTGACCTTGAGAGTGTTCACCTAAGTTCTAAGAGTAAATGAGGCTAACCCTCATCAGCAAGGTGTACCTGTAATCTTGAGAGAACTAGCGCTCCCTGGCGGATTCGATCCCGTGTCACCCGGACCCACAATCAGAGACGTTACCGCTGATCTATCCGGGCCACGATTGACCTCCTGTAGGACTGAGATGTAATCACAATTGGTCGATCACTGGGTGGTGATCAATGTCATGTGTGTCAAATCCTTATTTAGTGTAGATCGAATTCTATCGACTATGTTGCAATGTGGCCACCAGTTTAGGTGACTCGACACCACCCAGTGATCAATCAATTGTGAGGTTTACCCTCATTAGATTTAGAGTTTGCATCACGAAATGATATCAACTAAAATATCAAGATGCTATTTAGTCAAATGGATGAATGAATTTCGCACCAACATCTAAGACCTGTTATCTTATATTTGATTGATTCATGCATAAATTATAGTCTCTCCATTGAACTTTTTAACTTATTTATTTGTTTTAATCAGAGAGGGGTTTTGTGGAGTTTGTATTAATCTAATAATTGAATTCACGAGTCACTTGAAGCTAGATCACCATTGAAAAGCTGGAAGCACTGGACGACCGTTTCATCCTACTATAAAACTCCTCAACAGTGCACACCGACGATCCCGCCTTGCGAGATTACAACCCAGGATTTATCAGTCTCACACACGAACGCTTAACTTCTACACCACTGAGCTGGCATCCAACTTTGTTAATGTCTAACTTCAACCAATCTAAAAAATTGCGCCACCATTCACCATTGTGAATTACTATCTCAAAACAGACCTGGTTGAACTCCACTGGTCACTGCTTCTCACTAGAACTCCAGAAAATACCTCTTGAAACCAGTCACTAGTAAGCATATGATGATTATAATCAGACTAAGATTCATTATACTAGGATGAAACGGCCGTTCAGTGCTTCCAGATTTTCCATGATAGTCTAGCTTCAATTGACTCATGATTTCAACCAGTGAAATTTCTAAAAATCTCCACAAAACCCATTCTGATATTAGACTTTTCATGATGTTAACATAAATCTCTGGAATGGTAATATACAATTTAGATGAAGCAATTGAACATAACAAAATGGATAGTGGCTAACAGTGGAATCCAGGACAAAGCGCGTTTCGTCCTATTTATGATTCGTCAACTGGATGTACCTGCATCCCGTAGTTGATGTTCACTCTGGGACTCCAACCCATCACCGTTCTCTTCAAACGCCATGTATGCCAATAACAGACTGATCATTTGCAGTCCTAAACATCAATGGGAAGATACAAGTAAAACAACACCAAGTGAATTTAAACTTCACTACATCGCACAACCAAGTAGCTATCAGAACTCAGTCGCTAAATAGATAACACGATGGCGTTTGAATCGAACGGTACTGTGTTAGAGTTTCGTCTGGAGTGAACATCAACTCTGAGATGTAGGTACATCTAGCTGACGAGTCGCAAAGAGGATGAAACAACTTCGTATTCAAATACATTTGACTGTTTCCATTTATCTTCTCGTTCTCCACACTATTAAACGTCATCTACATATGGAATAAAACAATATAGAAAGTAGGATTTCACAATAGCTAATTATTATTATTAAAACATGAATTATGTAATAATATTTAGATTAACAAAGATTATCATGAAGTATAAGAAAGTCTTTTTAAAACAATAACTCCGCCTGTAACTCTTCTAAGGCTACTACTAGTCAAAAGCTCGGGATTAAAGAGGAGAGTTAGGCATAGGATTGGTGACTCTATCCCACAGAAAATAACCACAGCCATTATCAAAAAAGACACAAGTATTTATAAACAGTTGTCTACGTAAGATACTCAATATCCGTTGGCCAAATACCATCAGCAACAGTCTACTGTGAAAAAAAACAAATCAATTTCCAGCTGAGAAGTAAATTAAGAAAAGATGTTGGAAGTAGATAGGACATACATTACGGAAATCATCAAACTATATCAATGAAACAAAGTGCTAACTAGAAATCCTGAAGGGAAACGAAAAAGTGGAAGGTCAAAGAACATATTGTTTCAATAATTGGTAGCAAATATGAAAAAGATGAATAGCAACTGGAAACGGTTGCCCATACTAGGATTGGATGGAGAACGGTCTATACTTCTCTATAAGGGTTGACCACAGGTGTAAGTAAGTTTAAAACAATGAATTATTTGAACCTACATTTTTGATAAGTAAAAGGTAAATAATATCGATTATTATTACTGTTATTATTTCTTACGAAGGGATGATTTGGAAACAATTTCTCATACAAAATCAATGAATATATCTAATCACCATGACAACAAAACTCCTCAAAATTTAAATAATCCAACTATAATAACTACACAATCGATTTATTTAAATTTATCTGATATAGAATTATATAAACAAAATCAATTAAAAATCAATAATAATAATTTACAAATTGATTGGATTAAAACAATCAAAAAATTACCAGAAAATATTGAACCAATTTTAGAATATTTTGGATCAACTAAACAAGATCAATCTACGAATATTAAGGTAAATTGATCATATATATATAAGCTACATAGTAACAATGAGGCTAGTAGTAGTTATTATTGATTTCTTGATTGAGATCATGAACCGACCACCATTGAAAACTTAGAAGCACTGGGCGGTTGTTTCATCCTATTGTGGGACTCCACAGCAGTGCGCTCAGTAAAATGGAAGATGGTTGCGCAATTTTGTGGATTGGTTGAGGTTAGACATTAACACAACTTGATGCCGGCTTAGTGGTCTAGTAGGTTAAGCGTTGGCACGCGAGATCGAAGGCCCTGGGTTCCAAACCCGCGAGCGGGATCGTGGGTGAGCTATGCTGAGGAGTCCCACAATAGAACGAAATGGCCATCCAGTGCTTCCAGGTTTTCATTGATGGTCTAACATCAATCGGTTCATAATCTCAGTCAAAAACTTAACATTCTCCACAACCCCCAAACTGATATTTTTGATTTGTATGAGGATTGGAATACTTCTTGGGTGCCTAGACCGGAGCATCTGGGAACCACATCCGGAGGCTATGACCTAAAGGTCTAATCCACAAGGTAGTAGAGCAACGTCAGAAAATGCAGTCTCATGGTAGCTCGTCACCAACAATAGATTCATACCCCATTTGTTGTTCCAGGATACTGGAGCCCATGTGTATCATTGGTTTGGAATCAGGTTTTCCAACTCCCCTATGTAGATTCTATGTATCCACCAACCCAGTTACAGCACCGGACATTCCCGTTTCGTTCTCTCAATTCCGTTAACAACAGTAATGCCATGAGAAGTCATTGAGTAGGAATTCTCTGACAATGGATGTATACACGAAGTGACTCTCCCCACCAGAGTATTTGGTAGCAGTGTGAAACGTACATCTTCGAATCATTTTTAATCGGTAATAAATGAGTGAAAATTAATTTATCATTGAAATATTAATGATTGTTCACCATTTTGTGCAAATGATTTTATAGGCCTTCTTAATCAGATTGAAATTAAATGATCAGTTTTACTTGTTATCTATTATAATTTGTCTGACCAACTTATTCTTCATCAATTAATATTGATTTAATAGTTGAGATCATGAGTCAATTGAAGCAAAACCACCTTGAGAAACCTGGAAGCACTGGATTGCCGATTCGTTCTAGTATGAAAATCCACAGCAGTACGTAGCCATGATTCCGCCTCATGAGATTCAAACCCATGACCTATCAGTCTTGCGCGCGGACACTTAACCTCTAGACCACTGAGCCAGCACCCAACAGTGTTAATGTCTAATTTCAACTAATCCATCAAAATGTGTCACCTTCCACCATTGTCTTCAGTGAGTTACTATCTCACTACAAACCCGGAAGAACTCATATGAATAGATGAGGTATCAAAATAAACATAATGTTAGTGGTAAATCTGCAACATAACCAAGTTATTTCGGAGAGAATGAACGAACTGACGAATCAACGGTATAGTATAATAATTAAACTCAAGCTTTTAAGAAATATTAGGATGGAATGTGTCTAATTCATCGCAAAAGGATTTCAAACCACATTACCATACTCACTTGGTAATGTTTGTATCTTCCTTCTGTTAGCCACTATCTTTGCTTATAAAGCTTGTGACTTCAAGCAATATCGAGGCAGTCCTCACAGGATGCACGCATTCCAATAAGAGACTAATCAATTGCAGTCCCAAACAACAACAGAAAGATACAAGTAAACAATACAAAGTGAATTTAAACTTCACCCCATTTCACAAACAAGTGTCTATCAGGACTCAGTAGTTAAGTGGATAATTCGATGGCACTTGAAGCGGGCGGTAGTGGGTTCGAGTCCTGGCTGGAGTGAACAATGTAATTGTTAAGCAACTGTTTCGTACTCTGAAGAGTTAAGCTTCAGTAGTCACAATTTTCCACTAGAACTCTGGGAATTACATTTCGAAATTAGTCACCAATGAGACTAGAACGATAAGTCACTATACGATGAATTCACTTATCTAGAGCTCATATGGTCTTTGAGGAACCAGAAAATTCTATTTGTAATCCCATTAAAAGCTATGGATGCAAATTATTGAGGAATACTTGACTGGAAAAAAAATAGCTATTTAGTGCTTCCTAATTCCTACTAATAGTATTCCGACACTATACAATGAATGGGTTTTGAGTATTTTGTAAGCCTTAACGCTTCAAACTGGGATATTTCGTCTACCACCTTACATATGTGTTGTATGCAGTATAAGCTATAAAGCTATATTGCTATGTAGAGCTGAAGGTCTCATATGAGACGATGGGTTCGCCATTGATATTTTGGATGGTTCCGCATTACTTTGGCAAGTTCTACTGACTGTTCATGCACAAAATTGGTTTGCTGGTTAACTGATTTCATTCATATTAGTGGTTGCTTTTCAGTGTTCGCAAGTGTCATTGTCATTGGGATATTGTAAGGCATGTCGCGATTGCTAACATTAATGAGTTTGACTGTTGTGTAAGCAGAATAGGTCAACTTTTGCCTGTTCGTATTGTGCATAATTGATTCATGCGATCATTGATCGGAATAATTATTATACATGTAATATGAATGTGTATATGAGTGGTGCGAATAGTCCACCAGGATGCTTGGTATCTATGTGGTTGTGTCACAGGATTGAGCTGTACTCCTTTGAAGCGGTATTGAGCTGTACTGTTTGGGTTGTCACGTGAAAGTCCGGATGGTGGCTGGTTCTCTAGAAAACCAATGTAAAATTACCCTGGCCCACAATGATATATTATATAACTAGTTTATGATATATAACCCATAAAACTCTAAACTATGCTCCATACACTAACATATTTCATTGTTTTCTATTACGATAATTACTTATCAGTTAGTTACAAATGAAATAGAAAATCTTACATATGAAATCAACAAAAATCCATCGACGATCAAATTAGGATTTGATTTATGTAGACGTGGTGCATTATACAGAAAAGTAAGTAGTGTATTGTTTGTTTTGTTTTGTTTCTGTACTTCATTTTTAATAATGTTAGCAATCAAAGTGTACTAATTCAAGTAGTTAGGGGCGACCAAATCAAAATGTGGCATCAGTCCATAAAGTCACTAACTTCTAGTCTCAGCCATGTTAGTAGATGCAGACTACTTGGTTAAGATCCATGTGACTGTCGTAACCAATGATTGAAGACTCTTGGTGACATGGCTCAGAATCGATCACAATCGCGTAGGTGTGCATACATTCTCTGTCTTCCCTTAAACTAAGAGATTAAAATTACTTCATATCTTTCTTGCTACGAACTAATTCTTTCTTCCTGTACTATATTATTATATGCAATCTTTCTTTTATATATTACCACCATTGACTTAACCACTCCTATGAATCCGGTGTTCATCTTGCTGTGCTAATGAGATGTGACAACTTGGACCGTCGCATATATGTGCCTGGTCCTACGTTGTAGCTGACTGACTGACTGATTCAAGTGTTTATCAAAAAAATAGGGCTGTAGTAATGTACATTTAGGTAATGCTGGTGTAGTGAACAAGAATACACAAGTAGAGACAATCGAATGTATTAGAACACACAACTACAGATTCTATTAATAAAACCTGAGAACAATCCAGTAAATACTTCATTTGCGAAATGTTAATCAATCGCTTCAGAATCCATTGTTCTTTTGTTTCCACATCAATCACTCTCTGTTCTCTTTTCTCCGATCTATTTAACCTTCTGTCACCAAGTACTTCACTTTTAATTGATGATGCATATATACTACTTATATCTGTCGATATCAGTAGCACACATCATACTAGTAATACACAAATTGATGATTTACCCCTTATATTGATATACATAAATAAATGCTCCTGTTTTTATAAGATATATATGGATATTTTATTGACATGAATATGGGTTTTTATAATCTGGCTACATCATCAGATGAAGACGTAAATGCGAGGATTATCAAAACAAGGACCACATTCTTACAGTCGGAGAACATATGGAACTCAAAATAACTGTCAACCAATATCAAGGTCACAATCTTCTATACGAACATCAAGACAGTTCTACTGTACGGAGCTGAAACATGGAGAATTACTACAACCATCATCAAGAAGGTACAAGTATTGATAAATAGTTGTCTACGCAAGATACTTCAACATCCATTGGCTAGATATCATCAGTAACAGCCTACCATGGGAGAGGACAAACCAGCTTTCAGCTGAGGAGTAAAATCAGTAAAAGACGTTGGAAGTAGATAAGACGCACATCACCGTAATCACCAAACTGCATCACAAGGCAAGCGCTAACTTGGAATCCTGAATGGAAACGAAAAAGCGGAAGACCAAAGAACACGCTGCTTAGGGAATTGAAAGGAGATAGGAAAGGGATGAATAGCGACTGGAAAGAAGCGTATTGTCCTGGACAGAGTTCGATGGAGAATACTAGTGAGTGACCTATGCTCCTCCATGAAGGGTAACAGGCGTAAGTAAGTACATCATCAAATTGTGTAAGAACGAGCGTAGTAAGAATACAAATAGAAAAAACAAGAAGATAAGTAAGCGTAGGTTTGAATTCGCGAGGAGGTAAAAGCGCAAAAATAAAACAATATTGAGAGAAAAATTTCTAGGCGTAGTCGTTTGAATACAAGCCACATTAAAGACTTTACTGTTCCTTCGTTTCCACACCATTCATTCGCTGTTCTCGTTCTCTTTTCTTTGATCTTATTAACCTTCTACCACCAGATATTTCACTTCCAATCGATGGTACATACTACTTATATCTGTCGATATCAGTAGCACACATCACAATTACAATCATTTCAGAAGCTATGTAACAGAATACTGGAACAAACTAACTACAGCATAAATTTTACTGAACAACAAACTTTTTTTCATTCTCATACTCACCTATACAGAAACATTTTGTATATTTCATTCTAAAATGATCAAATAAGGACGTGGTATTGTTAGCTACTTATATTGACATATATAAGTAGTATAAAACACTAATCAGAAGTAAAATGCCTGATATCAGAAAGTTAAGAAGATCAAATCAAAGTGAATGAGAACAGTGAGTAACTGATATAACAATGAAGGAATGATAAAACTTGAGCGGGGGGATTTGCAAATGAAGTATCTCAGATATTGTTTCATATAAGTAATTGATAAGTTCTACACTCGAACGAGATTACATCACATTTTGGTACAATTTTTGTCAAATGAAACATGAATCTAAACAACATGAAGGCAATTGTAAACTGTTCGGCCGGCTTCAAAAAGTACGATCAAGTCTTTATATGCTCTAAAGGAGTCGAAGTGATTCCATCTAATCAGAACCTGATAGAGCCTTCTAGTATATCATCGTGACATACTACAATTAAATAAGAAAGAAAGATTAGTTCAGCGAAGAGTTCTCTTTTCGGCGAATTCGCCTCACTTTGAGAACTTTCAAAATTATTTTGAAGGACGAAATGCAATTGAGACAAATATATGATTTCAATAGTTGAAATCATGAGTCAATTGAAGCTAGACCACCATGGAAAACCTGGAAAAACTGGATGGCCGTGAATATTATAGTAATGTATGTATAGTGATAGTTGAGTCAAGGACTTATCCGCTAGAAAATATAACAGCCTCACTCCTGAATAAATGTTATTTGATTTCGATGCTTTCGAATCACTTTTATAAATTTATATCCTTTTAGATTGGAAGATTACAAGATGCTAAGGCTGATCTTCTTAAATCTATTCAAATTGAATCAAAATTATCATCTGCCTATTGGCATATACATTTTATATTCTTGCTTGAAGGTAAAATAAAAGAGGCATTATATCATTTGGAACAATGTATGAAATATACTAATATGATTGAACCAATACAAAACTTTACTACTACTACTTCTAATAACAATAGTACTACTACTACGACGAAGACGGCGGCGGCAATGGTGACGAGTACTACTACTACGACGACGGCGGCGGCGACGGCGATGACCACGACTACTACTGACAACAGAAATAATAATAGTAATATGAAAAGTTTCAATACTAATCTCCATCAGTTTTATCATGACATTCTTAATTCAAAAGCATTTATTTATTCATTATTAAATGATTCTAAAATGGAAATTGAAATATGGACAAAATTAATTCATTATAATCCGACATATGAATTAGCTTATGAGAAAAGAGCTAATCTTTATCTCAAGGTGATTATGACTTTTTTGTTTTTGTCTTAGTGAAAACACATAAGACTGATATTCAGAAATCAGAACATAACCAGAGATGGATAGTGACTGACGATGAAATCCAGGACAAAGAGTGTTTTGTCCTATTTGAGACTTGAAGTGAACGATATTGGGTTCGAATCCCGGAATTAACATCAACTTTAAGATGCAGATACATTCGGCTGATGAGTACCAAACAGGACGAAACGCCCGTCCTATATTCCACTACTAGCCACTATCCATCTTTGCTTAAAATGCTTGTGACTTAAGGCTATATCGAGATAATCTGCACAAGATGTACATACGTCAATAAGAGATTGTTCAATTGCAGTCCTAAACAACAATGGGAAGATACAAGTAAAATAACACCACGTGAAGTAAAACATAACTTTGATAAGATTTTAAACATGACACTTTCTTGATATACATGTGCCAATCAGATTTCCAATCGGTCTTCGAGTGTATTACAATGGGATCCAAACTAGAAATCTTTTTATAACTCCAGTTTACATTCACTTGGTATCGTTTTACTTAAATCTCCCCATTGACGTTTAAGACTGTAATTGATCAGTTTCTTATTCGTATATGTGCATACTGTGCGTATTGCCTCGATATAGCCTTAAGTCACAAGATTTTTAAGCAAAGATGGATAGTGACTAGCTAAAGAATTCAGGACGCCCGTTTCGTTCTATTTGGAACTCGCTAGCTGCATCTACCTACATCTCACAGTTGATATTCACTCCAGCCACTATTCGAACCCACTATCGTTCGTTTCAAACACCATCATGTTATTCACTTGACTACTGAGTTCTGATAGCCATTCGGTAAAGTTTAAATCCACTTGATATTATTTGCGATACTGGGTTCGAGTCTCAGAGTGGCTATCAACTGGTGGGACGTAGGTACATTCAGTTGACGAGACCTAAATAAGATGAAACACGTGTCCTTTATTCCACTGCTAGCCATTATCCATCTTTCCAGTTTATATTTCTATGAAAAATATATTCTTTTGAATGTTTATTCCATATAAGGAAAAATAACCTAATATTTATACTGATGTGTTTAAGATTTCGGTACAACATATAGGTAGGTATCTTCCATTATAAATTAAAATCAGCTGAAAAACAACCAAAGAACATCTGTATGTCAAGTCGCGGTTCATTGTTCAATAAGTTTTCTTAACAAGATTTGGTAGTGATACATACCAAATGTCTTGGGTTGTAGCATAATTCAATAGAGAAGAGATTTTGGTAATGACTTTCTTATAGTATTTTCAACTGTGTAGACCGTAAGATGACATGAACGATTTTCGTATGAACCAACACAATTGATACACTAGCTTTATCTACCCTACATTACATATTCCCTTGATAATTAAACTATAAATAAATAATCCTTAGAAAGCTAAGTCAACTTAGTGAAATTTGACTCTACCACAAACCCTTCTAAAAATAGTAACTTGATTGCTGTTAGAGGTTTTGAGGGTGGTTACTACTTTCTGGTTTCTCATACCGTGGAACGGTCCTTCTAGAGGTACTTAGAAAGGGAAATGAGTCAGATTTGGTCTTAGTGACCCAAAAGCGTGACCGCACTACCTAGGAGACAACTGCTTAACGCCGACCACACACGTCCTTTCTGTGGATAATTACCGTGTTAGCCCCGTACTTGTTGGGACCTTACCGCTGGAGACAAAACTCCATTGGATAAGGTGAGGTTCGCATTTTTATGGTCGACTTTTTCTAACCCCACCCCTCCTTGTAAGAAAGAAGCGTCGTTGTTATACCGATTGTTTGAAGTAAAACAGCTTACTGCCGTCTAACCTCTGTACAATCAGCAGTATGACTTTGCCCTCGGACCTTGGGTTTACTGCTTTTAGTCTTACTTCTCAACCCACCTGTCTGGTATGGTAGGACTTTGGAGAACGATTGTTCCAGCCAGTATATCCCGATTGGGTATCACAATAGGCAAGCCCTACCACCACGCCAAGTGTAGCAGCAACTGTCGGAAAAAATGGTAACTAGGATTTAGCGAGACTTTCGTACGAAATAAATTGTATTCACCATTATCTATTTAACATGATAAAAGAACTCTAAAAAATCTACCCAAAGCTACTTACGTGTGTGAACGGCGTCCATTTTCGTTTAGCCATAATAGACCAATACTAATGTTTCTAGTTGCAAAGCTTAACAAATGACGTTAGAATCTTATCAGTATATGGGTGTCTATAAATCATACAAATGCTTGCCTGTGAGAAAATGACTTCATTAGGAATTTTTATGTGGACAAATTATATAAATTAACACCGTAGGGTACTGGCTCAGTGGTCTAGAGGATAGGCGTATGTGCACGAGACCGAGAGGTCCTGGGTTCGAATCTCGCGAGGTGGGATCGTGAACGCGAACTGCCGAAGAAACCCAGAATAGGACGAAACGGACGTCAAGTGACTCCAAGTTTTCTATGATGGTCTAGTTTCAGTTGACTCATGATCTTAACTATTGAAATTTTATTGCTTTTCTTATTTGTTTCAGTTAAAAATGTATCATCAAGCAAATACTGATTTTATGAAAATCCTCTGTATAAATCCCAAGTCAAACTATGCTCAATTTCAATGTGGTTTATATAAATTTCACTCGAAGTAAGTAAAATTTTCATGATTTCACTCAATTCCATTTTCTTGACTCAAAGTATTACGGAATGATGGTGGGTCGGTTAATAAGGTTGTAAATATTCATCGACTGAGATGCTTGAACACCGATTACCACAACGTGCAATACTGACTAGTGTTGGAGATGGTTTGGAAGAAAGTTAAGGGTGGCCAATTTAAAACATGGCATCAGTGCTTGAAGTCACTAACTTCTAGTCTGAGCCATGTTGTTAGATGTAGACTACTTAGTTGAGGTCAATCGACCTTATTCATAGCAAACTAATATCCATTTTGTAATCATATATTTTCAGATGGAGTTTTGTGGAGATTTTTACGAATTTCAATAGTTGAAATCATGAGTTAATTGAAGCTAGACCACCATGGAAAACCTGGAAGCACTGGACGGCCGTGGTCTAATGGTTAAGCGCTCGCGCGCGAGACTGATAGGTCCTGGGTTCGAATGTCTTGGGAGGCGGGATCGTGGATACTCACTGCTGAGGAGTCCCATACTAGGACGAAACGGCCGTCCAGTGCTTCCAGGTTTTCCATGGTGGTTTAGCTTCAATTGACTCATGATTTCAACTATTGAAATCATATATTTGTCTCAATTGCATTTCGTCCTTCAAAATAATTTTGAAAGTTCTCAAAGTGAGGCTCTTCAGCTCACTCATGGTTTCACTATTTTGACATTATCATATCTAAAAATCTAAATTTAGTTCATATATGGTGTATGTTACTGATGTCGACAGTTATAAGTAGTATGTACCATCACTCGGAAGTTAAATGCCTAGTGGCAGAAGGTTAAGAAGATCAAAGAAGAAAGAGAACGATCACAGATAATGATTGGTGTAGAAACGAAGGGACAATCATGTCTGAAATAGCTGATCGACACTACAAATGAAGTATTTACTGTATAGTTCTCAGATCTTAATTAGGCGTTCTGTAACTTTTTATTCAGATATATTCAATTTTCCCCAATTGTGTTCTCGTTCACTACAGGAAGAGTACTTTAAATAGAATGAAACTAATGTACTGTATGTATTTCAAAAGAATTTCAATTACCAGTATAGGGTTGTGGAGATTATTATATGCTCACTAGTGACTAGCTTCGTGAAGGAATTCTCGAAGTTCTAGTTAGAAGCCATGACCAGTGGAGATAATCTGTTTTGGATAGAGACAGGTATCTGCCTCAGTACAACGGAAGATAGTCGCGCAATGTCTTGGATTGGTTGATGGCCGTTTCGTCTTATTGTGGGGCTCCTCGGCGGTGCGCAGTGGGTTTGTCGTTCAATTTCGTGGATTAGTTAAAGTTAGACATTAACACCGTTGGATGCCAACAAGCTCAGTGGTCTAGTGGTTAAGCACTGACGCGCGATACCGATAGATCCTGGTTTCGAACCTCGCGAAACGTGATCGTGGATGCGCACTGCTGAGGATTCCCACAACAGGACGGAGCGGCCATCCTGTGCTTCCAGGTTTCCAATGGTGGTCTAACACCAATCAGTTCATGATCTCAATCAAAAAATTTCAATTACGTTATCTACGTATTTACTTGGTAATTACTTTATCTAGTCACTTTCTTCTTATTGAATTCTTAGGGATTGGAGAACAGCAATCTCTTATTTTAAAATGGTTCTTGTTAATAATCCATCATATTTTGAAGCAAGATATTATTTGGCTAGATGTCTATTAAAATTATCTAATTATAATACAGCTTTAGCTGAATTAACAGCTTGTCTTTACTTTCAACCATTGTATTATAAAGTAAGTTTATCTACATTCACTTAGTATTGTTTGTTTAAATCTTTCCATTGAGTTTTTTTAAGACTGCAATTGATCAGTCTCTTATTAGCATATTTGCATCCTGTACGGATTGCCTAGGTATTGCCTTAATTCACAAGCATTCTAAACAAAGATAGATTGTAGCTAGCAATGGATTCTAAGACATATGTTTCGTTCTGTTTGAGACTCGGCAACTGGATGTACCTACATCTCAGAATTTATGTTCACTCCAGCCAGGACTCAAACCGGGTACCGTTCGCTTCAAACGCCATCGCATTATTCACTTGACTATTGAGTCCTGATAGCCACTTGGTTGTTCAATGGAGTGAAGTTTAAATTTACTTGTTATCGTTTACTTGTATCTTCCCATTGATGTTTAGGACTGCAATTGATCAGTCTATTATCGGGATATGTAGCGTTTGAAGAGAACGGTACTGGGTTGGAGTCCCGAAGTGAACATCAACTTGAAAGTGCAGTTACATCTAGCTGTCGAGTCCTAAATAGGACGAAACGCGCTTTGTCATGGATTTCACTGCTAGCCGATATTCATCTTTGTTTGTAAACAAATAGTTAGTTTCTCATTCAAATTACTGTTTTTGAGCTCGTCTCAAACATTGTACCAAATTTTAGTGATCTCATCATAGAGGTCATTTTAAGAATGTATCATGGACCGTAGGACAAGTTTTTAATATACTAGTTTTCGATGATGCAATGAGATGTAGGTTATCAGAATTATATGACATATTTTGAGTAATATATTTGGAACAATCTGATCACACATAATATACTTGTTAAGACATTTTTATATTTCAATAGTTGAGATCATGAGTCAGTTGGAGCTAGACCACCATGGAAAACCTAAAAGCACAGGATGGCCGCTCCGTCCTGTTGTGGGAATCCTCAGCAGTGCGCATACACGATCACGTTTCGCGAGGTTCGAAACCAGGACCTATCGGTATCGCGCGTGAGTGCTTAACCACTAGACCACTGAGCTTATCGGCATCCAACGGTGTTAATGCTTAACTTCAACTAGTCCATGAGATTTAGCGACACATCCAGCATCCAACATTTGTATATGAAAACTAAAGGGCCAACTTGACCGATTAAAGGTAAGTCGTAACAAAGAAGAAGAAGAAGAAGAAAGTACACAGAAACAATGCGATAACTACTCTGGATAATAAATCAATGTTACTAGGGCAGGTTAATGGTAAGAACAAATTGTTCTTTGGAATACATAAATAGGGTTTCAGTTTTCGTATAGCCAAGGCTTCAATAAACATCCTTGAAGGCCTTTATACAATACTACAAATGGTGACTTGATATCAATCTTATGGTCAGTCTCAATCAAATGTTTCGCAATGGAGGAAGATGTCTGTTTATCCTGTAATCTTATATGACTACTGGAATTCTTTTGTTTCTAAAGCCATTTGCGTATGTGCTCCGCTACTCTTATTTCTGATTAGCGTTTTTTTGGCGAGTTAGTTTTCCACGGGATGGGTTCGTTAACACCATGCCCAACCCTTCTCCCTTATCTGGGCTTTGGACCGGCAGTAGCACCAGAGGGGCCCTAGGAGGAGTTTCCGCTACCCTTAATTACAGTATATATTAGTATTAACATTATGAATTCATCCATAACTATACTTTACTACTTATAATAGTAATATATTGTAAATTATAACATCTTACTATTCATTATCATTATTATAGGCTTTATATATACGTGGTTGTCTACTGACTAAAACATGTCCATTACAATCATTACGTGATTTAACATTGTGTATATATGTTGGTAATCAAAAATATCAAACTATGGCTTTTATCCAACGTGGATTAATGTTTAATCAATTAAAAAGGTATGTTATATATGTTCAGTAAATTCATAAGAACAATTCCTTGTTTAATAAATTTATCATGATACTAGGCTTAGAAGTGGGCATCTGTGCTACCTATCGTACGTGAGATTCGAAACTAGGACCTAAAGTTTCTGATAAGTCGTGTAGGTTGAACGCTATATACGAATCCTAAGCTATTCCCGTAACCCACAGACTAGAACTACACAGCGACTTGAACTCCAGAGAGAAGACACAAGTATGAGAGAAAACACTTTATCCCAAGGTTTATTTTAGTACAGAAAATCAAGGGTATTTATAGATGTTGGCGTCTGTTAAATCAACATCATATTACAGCCAATCCGTTAACGTCATATTATGCTACCGACCAATGGTAGCACGCCACGCTGGAATTCTCGAACGTTCCGCCATACTCTGATTGGCTAGGGCCCTTCGGCTCCTTTTTGGGCCTCTGGAGGCTCCGTTGAAGTTCTCCGGAAGCCAACCCAACAGTTTCCTCGCTAAAACGCTTAAATTTCAGACTACACTGATCCACGATAGTAGTGTACAAGTCTACCTTTAGTCAATCTATTCTATTCTATGGTCATCTTCTATTGTCTTCGAAGGATAACTGATTCACACTTGACACATTTGAACTATACAAGTCACAAATTTTCACTAGAACTTCAAGAATTTCCCTTCAAAGCTAGTCACTAATGAGGATATGATGATTTTCAGTATAGACTGTTGAAGATTGTTGAGTTTCATTATGATCATAGGTCCGAATTACCCCCATAAAAGTGTACATGTACACTTCTGAGTCGTTCCATTACTAGAATGAAACAGCAGTTCGTTGCTTCTAGATTTTCAATGATGGTCCAACATTAGTCGGTTAGTGGTTCTAATATTATTGAATTATTAAGACTAAATGATTAAGTGCTCGCGCGCGAAACCAGTAGGTCCTGGGTTTCAAATCTCGCAGGGAGAGAGGTCGTGGATGCGCACCGATGAGGAGTTCCACAATAGGACGAAACGGCCGTCCAGTGATTCCAGGTTTTCCATGGTGGTCTAGCTTCAACTGACTCATGATCTTAACCATTGAGATTATATATTTGTTGGTTTTCAACAAGATTCTGTCAGTAGTTGAATCTCCAAGTTTATGCCTAAATAAATAATCAGAATCACTTACTGGCTCAATAGGCTAGTGGATTAGGTTTTAATGTTTTAAACAATAGTTATTAGCATCAAGTCTCACAAAAAATATCAACATGCATCTAGATGCATTCAAACTGGATTGCGTCAACATATGAACTAAGAATAGGTATTGAAGTAGACGAACATGTTGACAACTTCATTTATCTGGGAATTTGGATCGACCCTAATAAGTTGGTGTCTGACATAATCTATGCACGGACTTACAAAGCTCGCTCGTCTTTAGCTAACTTACGTCACCAATGGCGAAGGCGATTGATATGGTTCAACCACGTGTTACGCATTAACAACCACCGGCTACCACGGCGCGTAACGCTGACTAGTGTTAGAGACAGTTGAAAGAAAGTTAAGGGCGGCCAAATCAAAACACGGCATCAATCCATGAAGTCACTAACTTCTAGTCCTAGCCATGTTGGTAGATTCGGACTACTTGTTCAGGGTCCGCGCGACCATCGTAACCAGTGGTTAGAAACTCTAGGTGACATATTGGCGTAGGTTCATATACTCTTTGTCTTGATTCCTTTCTTTCTACGAACTAATTCTTTCTCCCTGTATCACATCGTAATATGAATCCATTTTTTACTACCATTGAAGTAACTACTCTGAATCCGGTGTTTATCTTGTTGCGCTAATGAGGTGTGGCGACTTGGACCGATGCATATATATGTGCCTGGTCCAACATTGCAGCTAACTGAATGACTGAAATCTCCCCTAATATCCTTAGAACTTTTGCCTTCCGACATATTTAGATGTTCATAGTGAAGGATATTCGTAGGTTACTAGTATTCGATCATAGGTGTCTTCGAAGCATTGCTCTTATATCCTGGTACCATCGAGTAAGTAATGAAGTTGTTAGCAAACAGGTACTAGATAAAGACGGCAAATCAAGTGACGAAGTAGTGAAACTTCATCAGCTGAGATGACTGGGATACGTGTTACGTATGCCCAACTACCGACGTGCGATGTTTTAAGGTGTAGGAGTAGGTTGTAAGAAAACTAGGGACGGCCAGATCAAAACATGGCACAAATCCATAAAGTCACTAACAAGTAGAATGAGCCATGTTGGTAGGTGTAGACTACCTGGTTGGGATCCACGAAACGATAGCGATCGATAGTTAGAGACGTTGAATGACATGGCTCAAAATCGTTTACAATGGCGCAGATGCATCCATTCTTTGTGTTCTCCTAAATTCGAATCTTCTGAATTCTTCATGTCCCGTTCTTTTTCTTTCTCTTTCCAAATTTATTTCACTGGATTTTTATTTTTTTTTAGGTATAAAATGGCAGTACATGATTTTCAAGCAGCTTTGAATAATGGATTTCCTCAATCAACTGATATCTACCGTCTGTTAGGATTAACCTATATACAATTGAATCTAACAACTAGGTTAGTTTACATTATTATGTTATAATGTATAATCATAGAGCTATTCAAGCGTATACAAATGGAATAAATAAAGAAACAATACCAGATATAAAATTGTTATTATGTAGAGCAGAAGCTTATTATCAATCAAATCAAGTAAGTTTCCAGAAGAAATTTCCTCTTTTTTTACAATCTTATGTACAACTGAAGTTTATATTATTATTATTATTACGTTCCAGTGGGCAGATTTAGCACTCCTTCTCGAAATGGTTTCATATGGCCACGCGTATACAGCCACTATCAGGAAATCTGTACTCACTGCCTTCTTACGGCATTACTGTTGGCGTTTTAACCAGGTTGGTGAACACAGAGAGTGGAGTTAGAAAATCCTGACTCCAAAACAATGATTCACATGAGTTCCAGGATTTTGACGAGGTTAATGACGTATGAACCAATTATTGGTCACCGGCTTACAAGGGACTGCATCTCCTGACGTTGCTCCACTATCTTGTGGATCAGACCATTAGGTCAAAGGTTCCGGGTGTGGCCTCTTAAGAAAACTATGTGCTTCGGTTTGGGCACCCGGGCAGTATCCTATTAATGAACTGCTTTAGTTCAGATACCAATGGAACATCGTTTTATGGCAAGTTGATCAAGGTCTAAAATATGTTTTAGTGGATCTCAGCCCAATTGACTTAGATTGTATCTCATTCCCAATTATAAGTTTGTCATATTGAAGGATCTTCTTCTTTCAATGTTTATCCATCTAACATCATCAGTAAGAAGAACAGTTCCTATTCATGTTAGTTTGTGTGATGAAAACTACATTTTAAACAAATCAAAACCTTCCTAAACTACCTACTTAAATGACCAACAATAATCAACTAAAAGAAGTTTAGATACCGATCAACTAAACACACAAAAAATCATATCAAATGACCGTGTTCTAAATAATCAAAGGATTGAACAAATTCCTCTGTTACAACCCAATAAGAATGGTTTTCAAATTGACAGTGATGTACCATTTTCTACATTAAATAAGATCTTACATTTGATCAATGCCATACTTTTGCATTGTATTGAATGAAATAGATCTGAGGAGTCCCATACTAGGATGAAACGGCCATCCAGTGCTTCCAGGTTTTCCATGGTGGTCTAGCTTCAATTGACTCATGATTTCAACCAGTGAAATAGATCTTGTTTAGCTTCGTTAATCAATCACCTCGATCACCATGATTATATAAATGTCAAAGATGTTTTGAATCAACAGGCAATACGAAGTGGTGACTACAGTTTATTTGTGGATAGAACAGATAACAAAGTTACAATCACATCGAGTGAATTTGGAACAAAGAGGTGAATGTGTATATGCAAGCGAATACAGAGGCTAATTTATAGTCAAATCGAATCAAGACGCAGCTAAGCAAGGTAAGGGTTAATAATACGATTCGAGTACATAGATACATGGAGAAGAGAATGATTTATCGACTGATATTTAGACTATCAGCAATCAAGCTAGAGAGAGGTATGCGTAGTCTGTCATTTATGATCAAGAGTACACGTCTATACAGACAAGATAGTAATCATAATAGTACAAACTGTTCGAATAACATAGTCTGTTAAGTAAGTTAATAAAAAGGCTTAACAAAATTTAAACATAATCAAGATTGTATAATGAGTTGCTATAATCTATTATTCACACATAAGATAGATAATTATTAAGTAGTTGCGTGGACGGGACAACATTATGGAGGTATATTCGACGCTACGGCGTGCCTAAGAAGATAGTCAATATCATACGGAATTCTTATGATGGATTTAACTGCAAAGTCGTGCATGGGAAACAGCAAACAGAGTCATTCCAAGTAAAGATCGGTGTCAAGCAAGGTTGATTACTTTCTTTCTCCTGGTGATCGACTGAATTACGAAGACGTCAACATCTGGGAGGAAGCACCCAATACAGTGGACAGCTAGGATGCATCTGGAAGATCTAGACTTCGCAGATGATCTTCTATCACATACGCATCAACAAATGCAAGAGTAGACGACCAGTGTAGCAACAGCCTCAGCAGCAGTAGGTCTAAACATACACAAAGGAAAAAGCAAGATTCTCTGATACAACACAACATGCACCAATCGAATCACATGGAGAATATTTGGAGGATGTAAAAACCTTTACATACCTAGGCAGCATCATTGATGAGTACAGTGGATCTAGTGCAGATGTGAAAGCGCGAATCGGCAAAGCGAGAGCAGCATGTCTACAATAGAAGAACATCTGGAACTCAAAACAACTGTCAACCAACACCAAAGTCGAAATCTTCAATACAAATGTCAAGACAGCTCTTTTGTATATGGAAGAAAACTTGAAAAACTACAAAAGCCATCATCCAGAAGATACTGTGGGAGATAACAAATCAGATTTCAGCGGAGGAAGAAATCAGGAAGAAGCGCTGGAAGTGGATAGGACACACATTGAGGAAAGTACCCACAAGGCGAGCCCTCACTAGGAATCCTCAATGCCAAAGGCGAAGAGAAAGACGAAAGAACACATTACGTCGAGAAATGGAGACAGATATGAGAAGAATGAATAACAATTGTACATAACTGGAAAGGAAAGCCCAGTGCAGATTGGGTTGGAAAATGCTGATCAGCGTCGTATGCTCCACTGGGAGTAACAGGCGTAATTAAACAGTAAAAAGCTATCGCATTTATCTAAGCCTTTATAGCTGATCCAAATTTATCGGCTACATTATCGTGTGAACACCAATCTAAGCGGATCGATAATTAAAAGCATCATTTCTCTCCTTTGTATCCTATGTTGACTAATCTAAACTGTTATAACCCAATGATTAATAAAATCATAACTGATATTTCATTACAAAGTGTAAGATGAAATTTCATTTTCATTATTAATTTAATAGTTGAATTGATGAGTCAATTAAAACTAGATCACCATGGAAAACCTGGAACTATTGGATGTCCGTTTCATCCTGGTATCGAACTCCTTAGCAGTACGCATTCACTGGATTCGAGCCCAAGACCTATCAATCTTACAAGCGTACAGTTAACCTCTAAAAGAGTTCCATACTAAGACGAAACGGCCGTCCAATGCTTCCAGGTTTTCCATGGTTGTCAAGATTTAATTGACTCCATAACCACCACCACAACCATCCCACCCCATATTGAATGAAATGCTCTATTTTGTTGTTGTTGTTTTCTTCTACTGATTCTTTTCCATAGTTTTACAAGGCAATATTCGATATACAACGTGTGATACATTTAAGTCCTCATTTAGCAACTACTTATTTATTACTTGCAAATTATTTATATAAATTAAAAAATGCTCAATTGATTCAACGTTCTATTCAACAATATTTAAGTTTAGCCGAAGAATGTGTAATTCATAAACAAGCTAAACAAATGGTAAATATATGTGTAGTATTGTGTTTATTATTATTATTATTATTATTATTATTATTATTATTATTATTATTATTATTATTATTATGATTGACTTAACCACTCCTATGAATCCGGTGTTCATCTTGTTGTGCTAATAAGGTGTGGCAACTTGGACCGATGCATTTATGTGCCTGGTCTTACGTTGTAGCTGACTGACTGACTGACTGATATACGGAGGAACCAGATGTTTATGCACCACATTCTGTCATTCGACTCGTGTAGGAGCTGTGATACTGATCGGCTACGCAAACGATTATATCGCGATGAGAATATAGGGATGGTAACTGTTTGGATCAATTTATAGATCAATATGATACATGTATTTGTTTATTGTGTAATTGTTAAGTAATTAAACTATGTATATTCATTGTCCTCTTATTATAAGCTTTATTTTGACTTATAGAATATAATTATACGACTTGCCGTTCTTGAATTACGCCCAGGCTGTTCGGCGAGACTCTAATTTATGGACGACCTTTGAACGAATCTTAAGTAACCTTGAGAAATATTAGCCAATCAGCAAACAGTCAGTATAGAGTATAAATATGTTATACAAAACCAAGGAAATAAAGTGAATACACTTCTTATACGTGGTTCAAAAACTCATCAAGGTGAGAAAGAGGTTCAGAGGTCCTATAACCATAATGCATGCAGTAGAGAAGATCATCCATACGGCTACAGAATAGTCGGCCTCTGGAGTCATGATAAAGTCTTAAAAACTCTTTCAACCTCGACCACATAACTTCAATATTGCTGTTGTGCACTCCGAATGTGGAGTGCACAAAATGCCACTAGTGGATAACGACATGATGCACATAACCAAGCCTATGTAGAAGTCTGTACGCTCTCCAATCTTCCGTATATATTGTAGTACCTGGCTGCAACCAGTGTTACTGGTGCTTTTATTATCCAGTTCGCAATCATTGTCGTAATTTGCCTTAGTTAGGAATTATATATGGGGTTTTCATCACGAACTGACACAAGCTATAATGCCAGAAATTTATTTAGCCAAATGGATGAAAGGCTTTCACGTTCAAATCCGAGATCTATTATCTTATACCTGATTGATTCGTCCACAAATTATAGTCTCGCCGTTTTATTTGTTATAGCCGCTAAATTATCACGTTTTGTACAAACTTCCCTGTGAACCGATTGTACATTAGCATTAAGCACTGAAGTTGGTGCTGTAACCTTGAAATCTCTAAAACGCTTCTGATTGGCTCGTCCATAAATTATAGTCTCACCGGCTGTTCATTACAGTCTCCCACATTCACAGCGACTTTTGGCTAGATCTTGTACATGTGGTCTGTTTGGTTTGTGTATAAACCCAATGTATTTGAAATACATGATTTTATATCAGAGAGGCTAAGGTTGGTGTCCTGGACTGAACAGGTAGACTGGGCTAGTTAGGAAGAAGGACCGATAAAGACTGTAGACTGTTCGTACGGGTTTTCTAATTCACTGTTCTCTAATTGGCGGTATTATTACGTTGTATATAAAATAGAGCACAAGGTCACTAGTTATAACACAAACCGAAGCAAGTGGTGTTCTCACGGGACCACATCCGGAGCCTTTGATCTACAGGTATAATCCACAAGACAGTGGAACAGCGTTAGGAGATGCGGTTCCATGGCAGCCTGTGACCAACACTAGGTTCATACGTCATTTGTTTCCTTAGGATGCTGGAGCTTATGTGCATCATTGGTTTGGAATAAGAGTTTTCCTACTACCCTGTGTGCATTCTTTAAATCCACCAACTCAGATAAAGCATCAGATATCCCCGTCTCATCCTCTCAATTTCGTAAACACAACTGGTGCCACGAGAAGGTAGTGAGTGAGAGTTTCATTGACAGTGGTTGTATACGTGTGACCATGTACGAGCATTTCAATATATAGAGAGAGGTGACTCTCTCCACCCTCGACCGTATTTGAAGAGGCGTATTATTTTGTATGTTATCTACACGAGAAATTAATTGAGCTTTGAAACATACTGTAGAGAATGACAACACCGGCGTGAATAACCATTACATATTATCTCGGTAAAATTTAAGAATTATACAGTAGATACTTCATTTACAAAAATGTCCTTCAGTTGTCTCAAACTTCACTTCTCAAACCAATCATTCTATGTTCTCATTCTTTTCTCTTCGATGTTTTTCAACTTTCTACCGCCAAGCATTATACTTTCGGTCAGTGATACATACTACTTATATCAGTCGATATCAGTAGTACACACTACACTATCATTTTCATAAGAAAACTGTTGAGATAATAGTTTTTTTAATAAACAAACGTGAATTTTCAAACAAGGCATTGTTCACAGAAGAGTTATTAAGGTATTTCAATGTTATTCAAATAAAATGCAATACTAATATTACTTATTTGATATAGTACATGGTCAATAAACAAGTGACGAAGCAACTACAAGTATACCAGTCCTACTGGAAACTATTCAAGGCTTATAAAGCTGAGTAGTTACATCTAAGGCTGTAAAACTAGATCATATGGGCTCGAATATAGCAGAGAACACAAATCTCTTCAAGATCATAGGTAAACCTTGATAAAGAATGCTAACTCGCATAAAACCAGATCTATATTATGTAGTCTATGTTACTTACGTCGATATAAGCAATATATAACACCAATCAGAAATAAAATGCCTGGCAGAAGAAGATTGAGAAGATTGAAGAGTAAAGAACAGGAATAGAAAGCTATCAGTATGAAAATGCAAGTAACAAGGAAGTCTGAGACAATGAATGAACATTTTGCAAATGAAGTATTGCTCTCTCCTGTGTTCTCCTTCACTACAATATGACAGAAAAATGATTTATTAAGTTATTAAGATAACAAAAAAATAAAAAGTATTTATGAAATCATTATTCACTGTTGAATTCTACGAACATTTCGACGGATAAGATATCAGGATGAGTATGGGAAGCTGCTATTTGATTTATCCTGGCCGTTTTGGCCTAGTATGTGACTCCTCAGCAGTGTGAATCCATAATCCCACCACGCGAGATTCAAACTCAGAACCTTTCAATACTCTCAAATTACATTCTATCGATGAGACGATACACCCAACTGCGTCACAAAGCAAGCATGGAATCCTCAAGGCTAAAGAGAAAAAAGAATACCAAAGAACACATTACGTCGAGAAATAGAGACAGACATGAGAAAAATGAGCAAAAATTGAACAGAACTAAAAAGGAACGCCCAAGACAGAGTGGGTTGGAGAGTGCTGGTCAGCAGCCTATGCTTGATTAGGGAGTAACAGGATTAAGTATATAAGTAAGTAGGGTGAAACTATAATTTCTGAACGAACCAATCAGATTTGAAATAACAGATCTTAGATTTTTGGCACGAAACTCATTCACTCCTTTAACTGAATACCATTTTAGCATTATAGCTGTTATCAGTTCATGATGAAAACACCTAATTCTAATTCCTCACACTAATATATAACCTTCATTTAACCTTGACAAGTTGATGGTTACTCCAGGGTCATTTTGGTGTTGTTCAAAGGTCATCTATCATTTTATCTTCTCTCTTTGTTTTCTTTCTTTTATATTAATATTACATCATAGGCATTAGCGTATTACTATCTGAAGAAATATAAAGAAGCTGAGACCATTCTATTAGAAGATACAAAGCATCAATTGGTATTAAGTAATATATTATTACTTGGTCTCATCATGGATAAACAACAAAAAACAATGAATTCTATTGAATTATTAGTAAATAGTTTAAAGAAATTAGTAAGTTAAGCTTTGAATATTGATAGATTTGTTAACTATACTTAAGCAAATTCATATGATGCATCATAGGTTAATCTTAATTTGAAGAGTTATTTAGTCTATGTCAGTGGAAATCCACAACTTTCAGGCTAGTATCCAGAAGTTACGGTATCTATGTTCAGTTAGCCTCTGAATACCCTGGTACAGTCGAGAGAAGAGAGTGTCAGCTCTCCCTCTCGAAGTGGTCTCACATGACCACGTGCATACATTTACTACCAGGGAAGTTTTACTCACTATCTTCAAGTGGCATTATTGTTATTTACGAAATTGATAGAATGAAAAGTGAATGTTCGATGCTCTAACCGGATTGGTGGATATTCAGGATCCATCTAAGGGGAGTTAGAAAACCCTCATTCCAAACCAATGGTGTAAGAACCAACCTTTGGTCACCGGCTACCATGGAACTGCATCTCCTTACGTTGTTCCACTGTCTTATAGGTCAGACCTTTAGATCTAAGGCTCCTGGTGCGACCGTCTAAGAAAACCACATGATTCGATTTGGACACCCGTTTAGTATCTCAGATCTCATAAAAATCGATTAATTTATGTGGCGTATATGGCACGTGTTCGTATTAGTGTTTATGTGTTTAAATAAATAAGTTTAATCAGTTCACAATATTGCACAATCATTTAGTAGAATTACAAACGAAAGTACACAAAAAGAGATATATGTTACTTACTTACGTACTTACTTATGCCTGTTACTCTTCGTGGAGTAGCATAGGCCGCTCACTAGCATTCTCTATCCAACCCTGTCATGAGCAATCCTTTCCAGCTCTTTCCAGTTGTTATTCACCCTTTTCATATCTGTTTCTATTTCCCGACGTAATGTGTTCTTTGGCCTTCCTCTTTTTCGCTTCCCTTCAACATTCCAAATTAGTACTTGTCTTGTGATACAGTTTGGTGATTAACGTAATGTATGTTTTATCCATTTCCTTCGTCTTTTCCTAATTTCCTCTTCAAGTGGAAGCTGGTTTATTCTCTCCCACAGTAGGCCGTTGCTGATGGTATCCGGCCAATTGATGTTAAGTATCTTGTATAGACAACTGTTTATAAGTACTTGTACTCTTTTGATGATGGCTGCAGTACTTCTCCAGGTTTCAGCTCCGTACAATAGAACTGTCTTGACGTTCGCATTGAAGTTTGTGACCTTGATATTGGTTGACAGTTCTTTTGAGTTTCATATGTTCTTCACTTGTAGGGATGCGGCCCTTACTTTGCTAATCCTCGCTTTTACGTCTGCATTGGATCCTCTTTGTTCATGGATGCTGCTTCCTAGGTACGTGAAAGATTTCACATCACTCAGAGTTTCCCCTTCAAGTGTGGTTAGGTTGGTGTTTTCCGTATTCTATTTGAGGATCCTGGTTTCCAGGATGTTCTCCGATCTACATTGTCAAGCGCCTTCTCATAATCAATTAAGTTGATCTATAATGACGAGTTCCACTCAACTGATTGTTCGACGATGATCCTTAGTGTCGCAATTTGATCTGTACACGACTTATCCTTACAGAATCCAGCCTGTTGATCTCGATATTAGGCGTCTACTGTGTGGATCAGTTCAGATGAATGAATTAATTCCAATGAATATATATATATATATATATATAGATCTTTTCAAACATCAGTATATAATAACTATTCTCTATCATGAAATGAAAGTACCAACAACAACAAAAAAAAGGAATATGATTACATAACTATAACTGTTTGTCATTACTCAACACTATTTACTCTCATGCCTTCATCATGGATCAAACCTAAGAGCCTGTCAACAATGTATCGACGAATGATACCCTAAAACTATTTATTCTGGTTAGCGTTTTGTTACCAAGTTAGTTTTCTACGGGATGGGATCGCTAACCACCATACCCAACCCTCTTCCTTTATCCGGGCTTGGGACCGGCAGTAGCCTCCGGAGGGACTCCTGGCAGAGTTAAAACTATTTATTCAATATACTGTATTTCATGTTTCTTACATCAGTCATATCTTAATAAAGATCTAACTATCATTGTTTTATCTTTTATTTATTACATAATACTATAGAATTGTAAAAAACTTGAGAAAATAGAAATCTATAATCATCTTGGTCAATATTATATGAAAATAGGAGATTATATACCAGCTATTGAGGCTTTCACAAGTTTCATTCATTATGATCCTCATAGACCACATGTAAGTATATATGTAAGTATGTATGTATGTTTGTGTGTGTTTATGTATATAAGTAGTATATGTGTATGTATATTGTATGTATGTGTGTATATGTATTTATGTTGTATGAATGTATATATATATATATATATATATATATATATATATATATATATATATATATATATATATATATATATATATATATATTCGCCTATTATTATTATTATTCGAAAGTTCCACTAATGAATTGAACATTGTACCTGTTAGATCTATTGAAGCGTCCAAGTCACCTGATTGAGATACGCGGAAAATCGAAGTTTCCAAAGTAACGATTTGTCTACAATAGCCGGTTCTTTATTGAATAATACACAAAATGTAGTTACAAACCTTAACTTGTGAAGTGTCTGGGGCGTTTAAACGCGTCCTTCAAGAATGAAAATAACAAAGGCTTCCTGTAAGAGTAACATAAAGAATAATTATAGCATACGATAGTACAAAAGACAGCTGATAGCTGTGTCTATACCTGACAACAGTTTATGAACAACCGAAACCCGAACCAAGAGCAAAACATTATGGAAACTGTTGCGTTTAAAAAAATGCACAAGACTATGGATAACTGCTATAGTGATTAAGGTATAGTGATTATAATGATAAATACAATGATAAGTACAATAAACGTTACAAGTATGTCTGAACAGTTCAGGATATTACATTACAACTTGCGTTACAACATAAGTGTAAACATTGTTGGGAACACAACTGCTTACTCAATGTAAATAAGTAGTATAAAACACAATATACAAAGGAGTGGTAAGGGAGTGAGTAGGAGCAAAGACAAACTTAACAGTACCCCTGATTGAAAGTTTTAAAAAAAACAGTTTTGGAGTGTTTCACCACTTAGAATCTAAATACACCATGACAACTACATTCTCTACATGATGTCCTAATTTCAAACAATTCAAAACCAGGTTTTTTTGTGGATATTATACTAATTTTAATAGTTGACATCATGAGTTAATTGAAACTAGACCATCATGGAAAACCTGGAAGCACTGGATAACCGTTTCGTCCTATTGTGGTACTTATCAGCAGTGCGCATCCATGATCCCGCCTCCCGGAATTCGAACTCAGGACCTATTCGTGTTGCGCGCGAACGCTTAACTATGAGACCACTGAGCGGGCATCCAACAGTGTTAATGTCTAACCTCAACTAATCTACGAAATTGAGCGACACATCAACCATTGTCATCAGTGAGTTACTATCTCAGTGGTCTAGTGGTTAAGCGCCCGCGTGCGAGAATGATAGGTCCTGGGATCGAATCTCGAGGTGGGAGAGAGGGATCGTGGCTGCAGACTACTGAGGAGTCCTACAATAGGACGAAATGGCCATCCATTGCTATCAGGTTTTCCATGGTGGTTTAGCTTCAACTGACTCATGATCTTACCCATTTAAATTGATTTTCTGTTTAAACATATTACATACTGATACTTCAATAAATTAATTTTGTTCATAAGGTTTACTTATATCGTGCTCAATCTACATGTCGATTGATAGCTATACACCTTCATAAAGGAACTATCTTACCTAACGATTTCAATGATAATGTATTAGATGATATAAGTCAAGCATTAGTTTTAATCCATTCTAAAAAGTCTTCAGTAGATCAAATTCATTTGAATGGACCTATGAAATATGTTGATTTAATTGATCAATGTTTATTAACACGAATTATATATTTTGGTATCAATCAACGTTATACAAAAGCTATACTTAATTGTAATGAAGTTATTCATAGAAGATCAGAATGGACAAGAATATGGATTTATCGGTAATTGTTTAATAATAAAGTTTTAATTGATATATAGTTATTAATAGTTGAGTTCATGAGTCAATTAATGTTAGATCACCCTGGAAAACCTGGAAACACTGAATGATTGTTTCGTCCTAATATGGGACTCTTCACAAAACCCTCTTTCTGATAATAATAATCATATACTCACTAGTGGCTGGTTTCAAGAGGTATGTTCTGGGGTTCTAGAGAGAAGCAGTGAGCAGTAGAACTCAATCAGGTCTGATATGAGATAGTGACTGACTGAAGATAATGATGGACGATGGAGCAATTTTTTACATTGGTTGCAGTTAGACATTAAAAGCATTGAATACCGGTTTAGTGATTTAAAGGTTAGACGCTCAAGCACGAAACCGAAGGTCTTGCCTTTGAATCTCGCGAGCGGAATCGTGGATGTGCACTGCTGTATAATACCATACTAGGACTTCGCTGCATACAACCACTGCCAGGGAAGTCCTACTCACTACCTTCTTGCACCACGGGTGTTTTTTACGAAATTGAGATGACGAAAAACGAATATCCGGCACTTCAACCGGGTTGATGGATCCGCAGAGTCCACCTATAGGAGTTGGAACACCCTGATTCCAAACCAATGGTGCACATGGGCTGTAGTATCCTGAAGGAACAAATGGGGTATGAAACCAATCGTTGCTCACCGGCTACCGAGGGACTGCATCTCCCGACGTTCCTCCACTGACTTGTTGATCAGACCATTAGGTCAAAGGCTCCGAGTGTAGATTGTAGTAATTTAATAGTTCACTTCATGAGTTGATTTAAGCCAGACCAACTTGGTAAACCTGAGAGCACTGGACAGCCGTTTCGTTCTAGTATAGGATTCCTCAATAGTGTACATCCACGTCCTCATACGCGGGACTCGAACCGAGGACCTTGGATCTCGTGTGCGAACACTTAATCTCTAGACCATGGTGGTCTAGCTTTAATCAACGACTATTAATCAATCTTTTTCAGAAGTATTTTAAAATTGTAAATAGTTAATATAAATACAATCGAACTGTTTCTAAAGCGTCATATTCCACCGATAAATTTATGAGTTTTTAGCAATATACCATAACAAGATGTGAATCAAGTCTATCCTTTATTAGTTATAGAAGTACATTTTCCCCAGATATTTTACTTCAGTGTACCTGAGAAATTGAAATATTGAAATTATGTGTATAGTAAATCCAGAGATATAACATATACTGATGAGCCATAAGCAAAGATGTATGGTGGTTAGCAGTGGAATCCAGTTTGACGCTTGTTTCGTCCTATTTGGGACTCGTCGACTGGATGTACCCGCATCTCAGATTTGATATTCACTCTAGCTGTGACTCAAACCCAGTATTGTTCGCTACAAACGTCATCGCGTTATCTACTCAGTTACTGAGTCCTGATAGCCTGAATTTCACTACCGGCCACCATCCATCTTCGATTATAATGCTTGTGAATCAAGGCAATATCGAGGCAATGTGCACAGAATGCATGTATGCCAATTACAGACTGATCAATGTTAGTCTTAAAAAACCTCAATGGGAAGATTCAACTAAACAATAAGAAGTGAATTTATACTAATGGACGTTTAAGGTATGTACTTAGACCAAGTTTTGTACGAAGCAAACTAGAACAGAAAAATGAGATTTAATCATGTAACCCAAACCGCTTAGTAACAAAACTACTGAAATAGTAATGAAATTAAAACCATAACGTTTCTTTTTGTACAAATAACTGATATGATAATTATTCATGGTTACATAATATACCCTTGTGGGCCAGGGTAATTTTACATTGGTTTTCAGGAGAACCAGACATCATCCAGACTTTCACGTGAAAACCCAAACAGTGCAGCTCAACCCCGTTTAGCAGAGGAACAAGACACCGTATAGGCTGAATAGTACAGCTCAATCCTGTGACACAACCACATAGATACCAAGCACCCTGGTGGACTATTCGCACTACTCATATACACATTCATATCGCATGTATAATAATTATTCCGATCAATGATCGCATGAATCAATTATACACAACACGAACAGGCCAAAGTTGACCTATTCTGCTTACACAACAGTCAAACTCATTAATGTTAGCAAAAGCAACATGCCTTAGAATGTTCCTTGAGAACACTGAAAAGCAACTACCAGTATGAATGGAATCGGTTAACCAGCAAACCAATTTTGTGCATGATCAGTCAGTAAAGCTTGCCAAAGTAATGCGGAATCATCCACAATATCAATGGCAAACCTCTCGTCTCATATGAAACCTTTAGCTCTACATAGAAATATAATTGTAATGATTATTTATGGACAATGTGATCATGATCATATTTAAGTAAAAGAAAATACAGCTAAAGGGAGGAATCAGATGTTGGACGAGTCGTTTTGGCACGGGCTTTAGTTATTGGGTTATCATCAATCAAATGGAAGTCGAATCAATACTTTATGCACTGTTAAAGTATTGTAATCTATAAACTCAAATACTTATTTACATTCGCTTGATGTTGTTTACTTGAATCTTCCTATAGTTATTTATGACTACAACTGATCAGTCTCTTATAGGCATATGTGCATCCTGTGCGGATTGCCTCGATGTAGGCTTAATTCACCAGCTTTTTAAGCAAAGGTGGATAATAGCTAGCAGTGGAATCCAGTTTGACGCGCGTTTCGTCCTATTTTAGGACTCGTCAGCTGGATGTACCTACTTTTCAGGGTTGATGTTCACTCAAGGACTTCAGTTCATGTTTTTCTTTTTGTTCACTTTTTTTCTTTCTACTTCAGTGGTGTATACAAATATTTATTAAAAACTATGGATTTTTGTGAAGCTGATTTAAATATAGCTATAGAAAAAGATCAGAAATCTTCTTTAGCTTATTATAATCGTGGTTTGTGTCGTCAAACACAAGATAAATGGAATGATGCAATTGAAGTACGTAAATTACTTTTGAATTATTAATGATTCTACTTAAAAATTATTTCAGTAGTATCTAAATGATAAAATTCAATTTTCCTTGGAGTGTATTATGGAGTAATAATGGGTAAGTTGTGATTTAGAATTATTTTGGAGTAGAATATGCCGCCCACTAGCACTCTCTATCCAAAAATGTCCTATGAAACATTTTCCACTTGTTTCCAGTTGTTATTCATTCTTTTCATGTTTGCTTCTAATCCCCAACTCAGCGTGTTCTTCAGCCTTCCTCTTTTCCGTTTCCCTTCAACATTCGAAGTTAGCGCTTGTCTCATGATGCAGTTTGATGATTTCTGAAATGTGTGTCCTATCCACTCCCAATGTCTTTTCCTAATATCATCTTCATCTGGAAGTTAATTTGTCCTCTCCCACAGTAGGCTTTTGCTGGTGGTATTCGCTCAACAAACACTAAGTATCTTGTGTAGACAATTGTTTATAAATACTTGTACATTCTCCACGTTTCAGCTCCATACAATAAGACTGTCTTCATATTCGTATTGAAGATTGTGACTTTGATATTGGTTGACAGTTTCTTTGAGTTCCATATGTTCTTCAACTGTAGGAATCCTGTCCCTGCTTTGCGAATCCCCACATTCACGTCTGCATCCAACCCTCCTTGTCCGTGGATGAAGCTGACCAAGTACGTGAAATATTCCTCATCTTCCAAAGTTTCTTCGTCAAGTGTGATTTGTTTGGTGTCCTCAGTGTTGTATCTAAAGATCTTGCTTTTTCTTTTTTGTATGTTGAAGCCTGCTGTTGTATAGACTGTTGCTACACTAGTTGTTTTCATCTGAATTTGTTGAAGTGTATGTGATACCAGGACCAAGTCATCTACAAAGTTCAAATCTTCTAGTTGATTCCGAACTTTCCATAGTATCCCGTGTTTCCCCTTCAGATGTGGAAGTGCTCATAATCCAATGGAACACTACCAAAACAAAGAGGAATGCGGAGATTAGGCAGTCTTGTTTGATTCCGATCCTAAAATGAAGAATTGGAGATAACAATTATTGTCTGCCTCACAAATTCCGGAAGACGTAAACACTATAAATGTAGGAAGTAAACGTCATTTATGTTTGTGTGGTATTCTTAGAAACCATTCGAGAACTACATATAGATAAGACTTATATACCGTTTAAAACCACTGAAGACATCATGATATTTTAAAAAAATCCATCTTGTCTTTACTCTATACGAAATATATTTGAAAATCAATCATATGATTACTTATGCACTGAGTGATAAATACTTATTGAATAGTTGAGTTCATGGTTCAGTTTAAGCTAGACCACCATCAAAAATCTGGAGGCACTGAACGGTTGTTTCGTCCTAGTATGGGATGACTCAGCAGTGTGCATCCACGACCCCCCCTGCAGGACTTGAACCCTGTGCCTTCGATCTCGCGCGCGAGCACTTAACCTCTAGACCGGTGTGAATGTCTAACCTCAACCAATGCCCACATGAGTCAGAAAATTGGCGTCTTCGTTCATAGTCAGGTTCAAACATCGATAGCGTGTGTTGAACAGTGAAGAGTTATTTTCGAACTGTTGGCTCAATGACTGAATGGTGTCCAAGAATGAGCAATCACGTAAGTTTAGAGGCGGAATTAAGTTACAATATCTATCTAGTTCACCAGGACCCAGCTTCCGAAGCAGGAAGCGAACTTTTCTAGCATCATATTGATTAACACAATCAAATTTCAATAAGTCTTCATAACGCTGAAACCATATATCAGATGTGACATTGGATTAAGGATCGTAATGAGACTCAGAGATAGTGCTCGAGATACTATCGACTGAAAGTGCAGTAGTAGCAGAATTAGAAGTGCTTGGTTATGTGTTAGGCGTAATTTTTGCATCTGCTAACATCTGGATAATTTTCAGCTGCTGCCCAAGCAGTATTTCCACTTTTAAGGGATCCATGTTTGCATCAATCTCGTCGCCAAATTTGCTATGTTTGTGGAGATTCCGATTTCAGCTAATCTGAGAACGGAACGAAGACTCTGTGACACAATGGCATATAAGCTAACTATTTTGACGCGTCCCAACCCAGCTAACTGGAGAGAGAAGTCCAAATTTGGAAGAGGGAAATATATTCCACAAGCAGTCAGTACCACGAACAACGACGACAAGCACAAATCAAGCGTATATATAGCTTTAAAATGTCCTTGGAAAACGGTACAAAATGACATACTAAAAGAGATAACAAACCAGTAGCATTTAAGTTCCTCCCAAGTGGAACATATAACATGAAAGTGAAAATAAACGCTTTTGGCGCGAAAACATGAAACTAAAACTTTTAAAATAGAATTGCAAAAATAAGGCATTTACTAAGTCAGTTCAGGCGATCTAACATCCCCAACATGTATAATTTACAACACACGGTCTACGGAGAGCCGTGAGATGCATCGGTTGTAATGTTACTGTGGTGTGTGCTACTTATATTGACACAAGTAGTATATGATGTTAGTCGTGAACAGTAGGTCTGGCAGTAGAGAGACAAGAGGATCGAACAGTAAAGAATGGAAGATTGTAAAGATTGTCCCCACTGGTGTTCTTGTTCACTATATTACTAGCAAGTTTTCAACTTTATTTTATCTATGCTATTTAAACTACTGAATAAATAAAAGTAGTATTCACTTTTCTCTTTTTTTATATTCAATCTTCAGGATTATGATCAAGCTATTAAATCTGGTACTTTAAATGGATCAGTTCAACTTTATAGTTTAATTAATAGATCAATCATATATATAGAAAAACGTCAAGATTATCATAAAGCTATAAAGGATTTATATCAAGCTAAAACTATTATGGATAAATTGATGAATTATACAATTCAAAATGAAACTAACTCAGATTTGTTTATTAAATTAATGTATACAATTGGTATTTGTCATCAAAGGTAAGAAATGATAAGATGATTAAGATGTGAGTAGAAACAGACGGCTTACTTACCTAATTACTTGAGGTTGTTATCCCTCGTGGAGGAAAAGAGGTCACCCACCAGTACTCTCTATCCAACCCTGTCCTGGACAATTCTTTTCACTTGCTCCTAGTTATTATTCATCCCTTTCATATCTACTTCCGATTTCCAATCCAGTATGTTTTATGGTCTTCCTCTTCACCTTCTTCCTCCAGTTAGCGCTTGTTAGATGGTGGTTGGAGGTAGTCGACAGGAAACCCTGAACCCAGGTTTCGTGCTACTTGGCACTCCTCAGCAAGGTGTACCTGTAGTCTTGATGGAACTGGTGATCCCTGGCGGATTCAACCTCGTGTCACCCAGCTTCACAGTCAAAGACGTTATCACTGAGCCATCCGAGCCGCAACCGACCTCCTGTAGGACTGAGATGTAATCAGAATTGATTGATCACTGGGTGGCGATCGATAGCATTCGATCTGCACTAATAAGGACTAGACACGCATGACATTGATCGCCACCCAATGATTAATCAATTGTGGTTAGCGCTTGTCTCGTGATGTAGCTTGATGATTCCAGCAATGTATGTCCTAATATCCTCCTGTGACTTCTTCTAATTTCCTCCTCAGTTGGAAGTTGGCTTGTTCTCTACCACAGTACACTGTTGCTGATGGTATCCGGCCAACAGGTACTGAGTATTTTGAGTAGACAAATTGTTTAGAAATACTTGTACTCTTTTAATGATGATTGTGGTAGTTCTCCAAGTTTCAACAGCGTATAGTAGAACTGTCCAGATATGCGTATTGAGGATTCTCACTTTGATGTTGGTTTGAAAACTGTTGTTTTGAGTCCCATATATTCTTCAACTGTAGGAATGCTGCTTTTGCTTTGCAAAAATAGGTGAATATTAATTGCATTCATATCGCGGTTATAACAATATAACCCAATAGAAGAAGAATCGACATTCGAGTATATGATCTGATCACACAAATTTGGTTTGTAAAATCAATGAACTAAAACATCAGCACCACTGTATACTAGCTCAGTAGTGTAGAGGTTAAGTGTTCGTGTGGAGAGACTGAGAGTTCCTAGATTGAAATCTCAGGAAGGCAACGGGATCGTGGATACGCACTGCTGAGGAGTTCTATACTAGGACAAAACAGTCATCTAGTTCTTTCAGGTTATCTATGGTAGTCTAGCTTGAATTGACTCATGAATTCAATCAATGATATCTATTAATAAATCATAGAAGTTATCCGTAAACACAAGTATCATTTGAGTTCGTTCTTGTTATATTCCCTTTTACTCATTATATTACTATTATTATTATTATTAGACTTGAAATGTATCCTGAAGCCGAACAGATATTGCATAATTTAACAATTCAACAACCAAATTTTCTAAAAGGATATATTGCATATGCTAATTGTTTAATGGATTATGAAGGTTATAAAATCAAAATGAATGAAACGAATTCAAAGAATCTTTGGAATCAAGCATTGAATGAATATGAATTTGCTTTAAAATTAGATGAATACAATTTAGAAGCAAGTATTGGTTTATCAATGTGTTTACAGGTAAATAGAAAGTTTGTGTCATAATGATGTTATATAAAATAAATGATTCGGATCAGCATAAGGTTGTGGAGTTAATCTTTGTCGGGTAGAGACAGGTATCTCTACCTCAGTGCAAACCAATGGTGCACATGGGCTTCAGTATCCTGCGGGAACAAATGGCGTATGAACCAATTTTTGGTCACCGGCTTCCATGGGACTGCATCTCCTTACGATGCTCCACTGCCTTGTGGGTTAGACCTTTAGGTCAGTTGGGTGCTTTCCTCAATGTGTGTCCTATCCACTTCCAGCACTTCTTCCTGACTTCTTCCTCCACTGGGATCTGGTTTGTTCTCTCCCACAGTAGGTTGTTGCTGATACTCTTTGGTCAACGGATCAGAAGTATTTTGCGTAGACAATTGTTAATAAACACTTGTATCTTCTGGATGATGGCTTTCATAGTTCTCCAGGTTTCCGCGCCATACTCAACTAGACAGTAATATAAACTTAAATATTATCAAACCAATAATTTATATTCAATTAACCAATAAACGTGTTCTGTAATAAACAAGAACATATTCTGCATAATTCTCATGATTCATAATTTCTTTCTAATTCTGTTACTATTTTTTTCAAGTCGACCTAGACTTCTACTGTCAAGGTTTTGACTTATTGGTGTTATATACTACTGAAGCAAATAATAGTATGGTCAAACATACTGGTACAATAGAGAGTGGAGAGAGTCAGATCTCCCTCTCGAAATCCTTTCATATGGCCACGTGCATACAACCACTGTCATGGAAGTCCTACTCACTGCCTTCTCGTGGCATTACTGTTCTTTACGAAATTGAAAAGACGAAAAGCGAATGTTTGGATCTTCAACTGGGTTGGTGGATACAGAGGGTTCACTTAGAGAAGTCGGAAAAATCCTGATCTCAAACCAGTAGTGCATATGGTCTCTAGCATCCTAAAGAAACAAAAGTGGTATGAAGCTATTGTTAGTCATTGGCTACCATATTCCACTGCCTTCCGATCAAAGGCTTAAAGAATGGCCTCCTAAGAGAATAACCTGCTTCGATTTCAGCACCAGGGCACAGACACAGAAGGCTCTGACTAGATTCTGCCAACTTTCATCATTTATAGCGCAGGCGAGATATCCGTCTACGAACTAAAGGAAGTGTTTACTGCGCAGCAGTTCATTTCGTCTTACTTTATGGCAGTGAAACATGACCGGTAAGAGTAGAGGATATTCGTAGGTTACTAGTATTCGATCATAGGTGTCTTCGAAACATTGCTCGTATATCCTGGGACCATCGAGTAAGTAACGCAGTAGTTAGGAAATGGGTACTAGGTAAGGATGGCAAATCAATTGATGAAGTAGTGAAGCTTCATCAGTTCAGATGGCTGGAATATGTGTTACGTATGCCCAACCATCAACTTCCCCGACGTGTGAGGTAGGAGTAGGTTGGAAGAAAGTTATGGACGGTCAGACCAAAACATGGCACAAATCCATGAAGTCACTGACAAGAGGACTGAGCAATGCTGATAGGTGTAGACTATCTAGTTAGGATCCACCAGACGATAGCAACCGATAGTTAGAGACTTTGAATGTGACATGGCTCAAAATCTTTTGCAATGGTGCAGGTGGATCCACTTTCTGTGGTTTCCCAAATTCTAATCTTCTGAATTCTTTATGTCATGTTCTTTTTCTTTCTCTTTCCAAATTTATTTCACTGGTTTATACTCCTTGAATAACATCTTCAAATCCTAATCTTTCCGATTACTGCTTATACGCTTACTACCTTTACCACTATGGGATTTGAATCAACAATTGTATCTGTGTGCTAATGTGGTATGGCAACTTGAAGTGATGTACGTACATACGAAGTTCTGCGTTGTCACTGACTGACTGAAATAACAAAGTGTGACATATATGTATTTGGTTCCTATTTGTACTAATGTTTATATCAGAAGGGGTTTGTGAAGATTCTTTAGAAATTTCACAGATTGAAATCATGAGTCAGTTGAAGCTAAACCACCATGGAAAACCTGGAAGCACTGGATGGCCGTTTCGTCCTAGTATGGGACTCCTCAACAGTGCATATCCACGATCCCGCACCCCGCGAGATTCGAACCCAGCAGCTATCATTCTCGCGCCAGGTGCTTCCAGTGTTTCCAGGTTTTCCATGGTAGTCTAGCTTCAATTAACTCATGATTTCAATCTGTGTAATGTTTATATGTTTAAATAATAACAATAATACACACATACATACGTACTACTTATGTCAGCAGACATAAGTAGTATATACCATAGTTAATTCTTTTAGTAAAACAACTTATAAACAATAAAGTAAAATGTTTATCCCATTTTTTTCAGTATTAAGAAGAATAATCATAATTATCATAACAGTAATGATAACAATAATCATCATAATAGTGCACGCAAATCCAGGTCTCATCTACTTTTTGTTATAAGTTTGTTTGTTTGTTTTTGTTTACTATTGGGGAAATAAACACCCCCCTTATGCAGATTGAACATATATATATGGAATAGATAGACATTGTATAGAATATAGTAGCCAAGACAACAAACTGAATAATAATAATAATAATAATAATAATAATAATAATAATAAGGAACTATCCGTTTGAAATTGATTAGTTCGTAGATTGTCTAGAAAAAACAAAAAAAAACTAATAAATGAATTGGGGATTTTGGAAAAATTTTATTTAACTATTGATCAGAATGAACTTTTCAACAACAATGACGACGACGACAACGACCAAAAAGGAAAAAAGGTTTATCTAAACAAAACAAAACAAAAAATAAATAAATAAATATCATAAGAGTTTGTTATTATGGATATTATAATTAGTTTTAATAGTTGAGATCATGAATCAATTTAAAGGTAGATCATCATAAAAAACCCTGAAAACGTTAGACAGTCGTTTTGTTCTAATGTGTGAATCCTCGGTAGAATGTATTCATAAAGTCGTTACGAGAGATTTAAATCCAAGTCCTATCAGTTTCACGTATGAATATTTAACCTCTAAACCATTGAGATGACCGACATCTAACGGTGTTAATGTTTAACTTCAATCAATTCAAGAAATTGAGCCACCATCCACTATTTTCATCAGCGAGTTACTATCTCACAACAGATCCGGTTGAACTTCACAAGTCAATTCTTCTCATTAGAACTCCAGGAAATACCTCTTGAAGTCAGTCACTAGTAAGTATATACTAGTTAGTATCAGAAAGGGTTTTTTATGAATATGATAGTAATCTTTTTAATCATTGAGATCATAAGTCAATTGAAGCTAAACCACTATCAAAAACCTAGAAGTACTAGATGGTTGTTTCGTCATCTTGTGAAACTCTTCAGCAGTACACATCCATAATAAATAAATAATTAGTCTATAAAACTGATGAATATTACTTACTTATAAAGAATTCATTGTTTTCAAGTATACAAGATAATGACAATAATAAATAAATCAATGAAATCAACAATACTATGCATATATCACAATAGGGGTCATTGAATTATTCTTGGTTTGTTTTGTTAAAGGGGTAACGCCTGTATAGATATTTGATAATTGTTTATTCATTCAATTTGTTTATTTATTAGACAATAATAAGTATAAAGTATCATAGAGATAAACATAGACAATACCTTATATACACGCACACAAACACACACACGCACAAAATGTACTATCATAATAGAAAGTATTGAGTTCGTTTATTTATATATAAATATCATTATAAATTCACTGAATGTTGTTTACTTGTATCGTCTCATTGTTATTTAAGAATGCAATTGATCATTCTCATATTGATATATGTACATCCTGTGCGGATTGTCTCGATATAGTCTTAATACATAAGGTTTTTTAGACATAGATGGATAATGGTTAACAGTGGAATCCAATTTGGAGCGTGTTTCGTCTTATTTGGGATTGATCAGTTGAATGTATTTGTATCTAAGAGTTGATGTTTACTCTGAGATTAAGTAGCTAAATGAATCACTCGATAGCATTTGAAGTGAACGATACTGGGTTCAAGTTCTGGTTGAAGTAAATATCAACTCTAGGATTCAGATAAATCCAACTGACGAGTTCCAAATAGAACGAAACGTGCATCCTGAATTATGCTTATAGATTTTTTGTTATGATAAACATTTGTTTACTTTGAAAGATCAATTTTTTTGAAAGTTCTTGACTCTCTTTAAGTGAGAGCCTATTATATATTCAGTTAACAGTTGAGCATATTAACCAACCAATAGATCCTTGATTGATTCTGAATAAACAATGGCTGATTGATTGTCTTGAAACTACTTATATATTGATTAGAATAGAACACAACACAGCGTGGAGATTCAGATGGCTCAGGCTAGTCTATTTGGTCTCACCTATCGTACAATCAACACGAGATGACTATCATCATACTGTGAATGAACATTCTGTTACCAGAAGCATCATTAAACATATTGATTAGAATAGAATAGAAATTATTGTGAAAGTTAAGCAATAAATTCTTGATTGTTTATTATAATCAAATGATGGAAACAACTTAGACAATAGACAAGAATTTAGGAGTCTGCTGATCCAATACAGTTACCCTGCGTGGGTTCGAATCCCATCCCTGTCGCCGAATTCGCTAGGTTCAAAGTGATTATGAGTTCACTTAATCCGCGAACGGAACAAGCACTCAGTGACCAAAGACCAATAAGCTAGCTATTCGATGCGTCTCAGCTCCGCTAACTACAGGAAGAAGTCCAAGATCGAAATAGGGGAAATATAATTTTCAAAAGCCAGAAACGAGCGGTAACAACAACATATATATACAGCAAAAAACTGTCCTTGGGGAGAGTTACAAAATAACATACTAAAAGACACAACGGACCAATGGCACTTAAGATACTTCCAAGTGGGAAATACGACATGAAGGTGGAAAGAGCTCTTTTGGCTCGAAAACAAAGAAATTCAAATTTTCTAAATCAAATTACAAAATTCGGTCCTTATCCAAGTGAGTTCTGGGGATCTAAAATCCCCAACAGAGTCCCATAGTAAGACCAAAATGGTCATCCAGTGCTTCCAAGTTTTCCATGGTGGTCTAGTTTCAATTGACTTATAATCTCAACTATGAAAATTACTATCATATCCACAAAAACCCCTTCTGATATAAGAACTAATAGTTTGAAATTAGTCTAGTCAAATATGTTTTTCCCAAAGTTCAAATGGTCTTCTTCAAAGTTTTGGGAAATTTGGGGGGGGTCCATTTCTCCGAAATTCCCTCAAAACGGATAAAAAGTTATGGTTTTTTACTATTCATCTCAAACTAAGGGGTTCTCTGTTAACAATATGAAGCCTGTCAACAACAACAAAAAACTGTAAAACAATGAGTTATGTCATTTTTGGACTTGATTCACTTTTAAAATACTGTACAATTAGTTGATATCTTTGTTTCTTTCGGAATAATAGTTATCCAATCAGCTTTTATGTCTTAGTATGGTCGATCTCCAGATGCTCCGACATGGCCGAATGTGGGGAAAGTTCGCTCTGTCAAGAACTGTTCTCACATGTTCATGCGTATGCAACCACTGGCAGTAAAGTTGTACTTACTGTCTTCTTGTGGCATTACTGTTGTTTACGAAATTGAGAGGAAAAACCGCAAACGTTCGGCACTTTAACCGGGTTGGTGGACCCACAGAGTTCATCTAGAAGAGTTTGAAAACCCTAATTCTAAACCAATGGTACACATGCACTCCAGTATCTTAAAGGAACAAATGACGTATGAACCTATTGTTGGTCACCAGTTACCATGAGACCGCATCTCCTGACGTTGCTCCACTGCCTTGTGGATCAAACCTTTAGATCGAAGGCTCCAATTGTGACTGCTTAAGAAAACCATCTACTTCAATCTGGGTACCCAGGCAGTATCACAACTCACACACATATCAAGTGACTTATATGGCTCATATCTATTCGGTACCCCTTTGTATTAATATTTATATTTTCAAACAAATGATATTGTATCCCGCTTTCAATTTGACCTTCAGGTTCTAGGACGTTTAAATGATGCATTAAAACAAATTACACATACTTTAAATATTTATTATGATCATCATGAATCTAACTATAATGAATTAACAAATGAGAAACACAATAAATTACTAGCTGATGCCTATGATTGTAGAGGTATTATATATTTACAACTTGGTAGATTTCAATATGCTATTGATGATCTTACAAATTCAATTCGTTTAAATCGTTATTCAACAAAATATCTAATTAATCGTGGTGTTGCATATTTTTGTAATCATCAACTTATGCCTGCTATGATTGATTTCAAGTGAGTTATATATAGATTATAATTATCTGATGAATGCCGTTTAAGTAATGTAAATTATATAGTTATATTCATGGTCTACGAGAGTGCTTGGTACCTGTATGATTGTGCCACAGGATTGAGCTGTACTATTCAGATTGTAGCGTTAAAGCCTATACGATATCTGGTTCTCTTGTGAAGCAAGATTGAGCTGTACTATTTGGGTTGTCACGTGAAAGTCTGAATGGTGTCTGGTTCTCCTGAAAACCAATATCAAATTACCCTGGTCCATAAGAGCATATTATATTATATAATCATTTATGAGTCAATTAAAGCTAGACCATTATGAAAAACCTGGAAGAATTGGATGGCCGATTCATCGTGGTATAGGATTCCTTAGCAACGCGCACCCATGATCCCATCTGTACGATCTGGAAAGTCAACTCAGAGTTGATTGATCTGCATAAACTATTTTCATTTATTATGAAAATCCTTAACAGTTCAGACTATCTATCACGAGATTTCGTGCCAAAAAAGATACTGTTTAATGAATTATGAATGGACACTTCTTATAACGTTGTAACATCTTGAATCTAACCCCTAGATATAAACAGAATCAATACTGTTAATAACGTTTTTAACTTCTACTGAAATCGATTTTTGTCACAGTCTGACAAAGAATGAAAAAGTTTTAAAAAATACGTAGTACTAGAGTGCTACTTTGTCTACCGTTGTAAAAACAGCTTACCAATGTACATCTACAATGGGATTCTATTTAACATACTTTGTGCTCGTAATTGGCAGGATAAACATAGACCAATTGATTGGAATGCAGTGGTTACCTGTACGAAATGCAGTCAATTCATGTGATGTGCAACCATAATTTGAATACAATTACTGAGTAAATATTTCACTTCCACAAGGAGTTTTACTGTAGCAATCACACTATTTTACTAAAACATCAGAAACTTTATTAATAGTAAGTGCATTGTTGTTGTGCAGTTAGGACGTTTTCGAAGACAACCTACTTACCTACGCCTGTTATACCTCATGGAGGAGCATAGGTTGCCCAGAAGCATTCTCCTTCCAACTCTGTCCTGGCCAATCCGTCCCAGTTGTTATTCATCCTTTTTATGTTTGCTTCCGATTCCTGATGCAGTGCATTCTTTGGCCTTCCACTTCACCTTCCTCTTTCAGAATTCCAAGTTAACGCTTGCTTCATGATGCGGCTTGATGATTCTCGAAGTGTATGTCTTACACACTTCCAACATCTTTTCCTAATATCCTCTTCATCTGGAAGTTGATTTGTTCTCTACAACAGTAGGCTGTTGCTGATGGTATTCGGCCAACAGACACTGAGTATCTTGAGTAGATAATTGTTTAGAAATACTTGTACCCTTTTGATGATGATTGTGGTAGTTCTCCGAATTTCAGCTCCGTACAATAGAACTGTCTAGACAGTTGACTTGACCATAGTTGTTTTGAGTCCCATATATTCTTCAACTGTAGAAATGCTGTCCTTGCTTTGCTAATCCTCGCACTCACGTCTGCATCAGATCCTCCCTGTTTATCGATGATGCTGACAAGGTATGTGAATGTTTCCACCTATTGCAGAGTCTCTCCATCAAGTGTGGTTGGGTCTGTGTTCTCCGTGTTGTATTTGAAGATCTTGCATTCGCCCTTGTTTATGTTGAAACCTACTGATGCAGAGACTGCTACTACACTGGTTTTCTTGACCTACATTTGTTCGTGTGTAAGAAAAGCAGGTCATCTGCGAAATCTTACTTTTCCAGTCGATTCCGAGCTGTCCATTGTATCCCGTGCTTCCCATCACATTTGAAAGTCTTCATAATCCAGTCGATCACTACCAGAAGAAAAGGGAATGGGGGAGGGTAAGTAGCCTTGTCTGACTCCGTCTTGAATCTCGTCCAGGGTTTCCATAGAGATTCATTCATTATGACGATACCTCATTCGGCCTAAAACCTCCTGACACATTGAAGTCAATGCTTCTTTGATCTTCATCTAGTTCTCCTCCACATTAGTTTCTCCTTCTTCTTTGAGTAAATCTTGAAGGGCTTACAATGTGTTGTTGAGAGTTATCTTGAATTGGTTGCGTTTGTCGAAACAAGGTTGTATTGAACATTTGCAATGCTGTTTCACCAGTTGTCCAGTGTTTCTTTAGCTTCACTTTCATAGTGGCTACAACCAAGTAGTGATGTGGAGCTATTTCAGCTCCTCTCCTAGTTCTCATGTCATTCATGGATCTTCCTGGTATTTTGTTGATGCCAATGTGATCCAGTGAGATATATGTGGCCTTGTGTATGAGATTGTGTCACCTATAACCAATCTGTTGGATGCGTTTATATTTGCAAATCTGTCACCATTCTTGTTAGTTTCTCAAAGCCAATCCATGTCGTCCCATGATATCGTCATATGCGGTGTTGTCCATTCCGACTTTGACGATTAGGTCTCACATCAGGATGATCAGATTCCTTCTTATGCACTTTGCTATGATCGATCGCAGCCTCCTATAGAACTGATCTTCATCGTCGTCATTGATGAGTGCATAACACTGGATAACATTCATCGTGATCCCCTCCTTCTTTGTGTTTGGAGTATGTTTGATGATCCTTGATCCATCAGATTCCCACCCAATAAGTGCATTTCAGGCTTCTTCGGAGAGAATCAAAGCAACTTTCTGAGCATGTGGAGAATCTTCCTTTCTGTGAACCAAGTACAGCAGCATCTCTTCCGAATCTAGCATTTGCTGTCGAGCTTGAGTCCATGGATTTCACTCATTCCGACCACCGCCAGTTTCTAAATCCTCATTTCCTTTTCTATTTGACTAATCCTTCTAGTCTCCCACATTGTCCGACCATTGCATGTAGCTGTATCAATTGTTGCTCTAGTTGTTAGAAGGAGCGTCGTGACTTTCGAAGAATCTTGACTTTCATCATGTGGCTTCATAAATCCTCCTTCAACTCGGAGGATAGAGTTTAAACGGTTTAATTCGTTAAATCTGTTTAGTAGTCAATCAGTCAGTCAGTTACAACGTAGGACCAGGCACCTACAAGTTACCACACCTTATTAGCAATATTGTTTTTTTTTATGGAAAGTGATTACTGACCTCATAATCAACCCTTCTCCCTTTAACCTGGCTTTAAACCGTCAATAACTCTAGAAAAACTAAAGACGAAGTTTCTTTTTCTTCAATGACCTTTTCAAACTATATATATTCTTTACACTTATGATTATCCTTCATTCAATGAATCAATTCTCTTCTGATTACATTATAGATATGCTAATCAACTTGATTCTACCAATGATTTAGCTTATTATCATCAAGCATTAATTTATTTACATCATGGACAATTTGAACAAGCTGAAAATCGAATCAATCTAATTATAAACATAAAACAATCACTATCATTTATCACTAATCAATTACAATCAATATGTTTAGATCCAAGTGTATGGTTATTAAGATCAATCATTAAATTAATGAAACATAAATCGAATGATTATTCTGATTCTATATTAAATGAAGCATTAGATGATGCCTGTTATGCGGAACAATTAATAGTACCGAAATTAATGAATCAATTAACTAGTTGGCCACATTTACATTATACTAAAGGACAAATATTATATAAATTAAAAGATTATATAAAAGCTGATGAAGAATTTACAAAAGGTAAGAAAGTATTTTTCATATAGTTACCGTTATGGGTCAAAGTGATTTTATATTGATTTTTCCCAGAGAACCAGATACTATCTAGACTTTTGTAATGTGACATCGAGTTGCGGTTGACTATGATCATCACTACAAGAAAATTGTGTATCAGATATCAGAAGACGATTACAGGTTGTATCGAGGTATATTTGTTGGCGATCTCATGATATCGAAAGAATATCGAGATCGTGCCAAAAGAGTATAAACGGAATCATTGAGCAAATGTAAGTTCGTGCAAGGTCACAATCAACAGAAGGATGAATGAAAGAATAATGAATGTCTTTAGTACAGTTAAACAAACAAGTAAAGTAAAACGATCACTGATACAATTGGTTATAATAATAATTGCTTCCATTAAACCAATCGCGTTCTCTTGATAAAAGTAGGTCACTACACTTTCACTGACAAGTAGACTGAGCTGTGTTGATAGTTGTAGACTATTCAGCTAGGATCTACGAGACGATAGTAACCGATTGTTAGAGACTTTGAATGTGACATAGCTCAAAATCTTTTGCAATGGCGTAGGTTCATCCACTCTGTGTGTCCTTCCAAATTCTAATCTGAATTCTCCATGTCCAATTCTTTTTGTTTCTCTTTCGAAATTTATTTCACCAGATTATGCTCCTTAAATAACATCTTCAAATCCTAATGTTTTCGATTACTATTTATACTCTTACTACCTTTACCACTATAGGATTTGAATCAACAATTGTATCTGTGTGCTAATGTGATATGACAACTCGAACTGATGTACGTACGTACGGTGTTCTGCGTTGTTGTTGACTGACTGATTCATGAGACAATCCAAAAAGTACAACTTAATCCTGTTTAAAAGGATAGCCAAACACTGCTGAGGCTTAACTCGAGTAGTATAGATCAATTCCGTTTAATAGAAGAGTTAGATATTACCCAGGTTTAAAATTTGTTAACCAAATAGAACGGTTCAATCTTGTTTAATAAGACAAACAGGATTTTCAAGTTCTAATGATTGATCTGGTTGATGTTTTAACTAAGATTTCTATTCATTAGGTAATGAGGGACTTGAAAACATAGTTTTATCTGTAATAGGATCAAAGATTATATTCACGACTTTCAAATATCACAGTATTTACTTTAAATGTAGATTATTGAATTAGAATCTATACGGCCACTCTCAGGAAAGTCTTACTCAATGCCTTCTTGTGGCATTACTGTTCTTTATGAAATTGAGAAGACGAAAAGCGAATGTTCGGTGCTTTAACCGAGTTGCTGAATATGAAGGATCTACTTACGTGAGTTAGGCCCCAGGATCCTAAGAAAACAAATGGCGCATGAACCAATCGATGGTCACAGATTACCATGGGACTGCATCTCCTTACGTTACTCTATTGCCTTATGGATTAGACCTCCAGGTTAAAACTTCGAGGTGTGGCCGCCTAAGACAATCACCTGTTTCTGTTTGGGCACCCGTTCAGTATAACAGCACTCACATAAAGCGAATGATAACTACTACTAACCTCATTGTTATTGTGTGTCGCACATGTAACCACTAGAAAACTCTACTTACAACCCAATAATTTATGGACATCATCAATAAATTAATCTCTAGGGCTTCCTACAGATGCCCCCTTCCAGCCAAACAAGTTAGTGAGTCCTTCTGGAGAGAAACAGGCCACATCTAAGCACGTCACAACTACCTGGGCTAGAATAACTGTTTTTGCAACCAGTTAGAGTTTACCCCGCGAGGAGCAACCTCGTACATTAAATACACCACTTTTGTGGGTGTTTTGTCTTTTTTTTGCATACAAGAGCAACTGTGCTGTGTTTCTTTGTGTAAAGTTCGTCATCGATTTGAGGGTATCGGGTACACTACCTTACACCAATCTGTTCGTTATTGTTCCCCTTTTCTTTCACGCTCCTTATTTTTTTCCTTGTCTTTAAATTCTCATTGTTTTGTGTGGCGCATATATATTTGGTGCTCTCTTGTACCAATATTTATGTGTTCAAATAAATAAATATCGGTCGAGTAGGTAATTAGCCTGATCTCTACTACCCAGGTTACCGCTGATGTTCAATCAGTTAGTCAGCTACAACGTAGGACCAGGCATATATATGCATCGGTCCAAATTGCCATACCTCATTAACACAACAAGATGAACACTGGATTCATAGAAGTAGTCACTTCAATGGTAGAAATATACAAAAGAAAGATTGCATGTAAGAATATAGTACAGGAAGAAAGAATTAGTTCGTAGAAAGAAAGGTATGAAGCGATTTTAATCTCTTAGTTTAAGGAAAGACAGAGAGTGTATACATCGACGCCATTGTGATCGATTCTGAGCCATGTCACTCTCAGTCTGGATCTACCAACATAGCTCAGACTAGAAGTTAATGTCTTCAAGCACTGATGCAACGTTTTGGTTTGGCCTCCATTAAGTTTCTTCTCCATTGCATTTCGTGGTAATCGGTGTTCAGGTATACGTAATACATGGCCCAACCATCTCAGTCGATGAAGATTTACAACCTCATCAATGGATTTATCATCATCATTCCCTAATACCTTGCGTGTCTAACCTCACAATTACTTACCTAGTGATCCCAGAAGATACTAGCAATTTTATGTTAGTTCATAAATCATTCATCCCACTATCCATGAGAGTCCAAGGATGCAGAAATATGAGTCAAATTTCATCTCCCTTCCTACAAATACTTTCTTTTTATCTTCAAGTACTACTTAAATAAAAGAAGATTGATTTATCATTACAAATTTATAGATTATTATTATTATTTTCATTATAAACTTTCAATCGGCATAATTCTATACAGACTTGAAGGTTTTTTTCCCCTTCTACAATTATCATTATCATCTTTGTTATTCATACTGATAATATCAATTAGGGTAATAATAATAATAATAGTAATAATAATAATAATAATAATAATAATAATAATAATAGTCAATGGGTTTGTCTCGAATAACTTCATTCATCAATTCTATCGAATAAAGAATAGATAGATAGATAGATAGATAGATAGATATAGATACAGAGAGATATGCGTGTACGTGCGTGCGTGTAAGTGAGTGAGTGAGTGAGTGCGCGCGGACGTGCGTACCTATATGTATGCGTGTGTACTGATTTATATGTTGCTATGACTGTCCCCTTTCTCTCTCTCTCTCGCCAAAAAAAAAACAAAAAAAAATTTTAAAAACTAAAAAAAATATCTACAATATTGGTTTATATTAATTTTATACATAGAAATTAACGTATATGTTATTAATACGCCCTAATAATAAATAAATAAATGAATAATTTCCTTATTATCAATGGAAGTTTCATTATGATTATCATTTTGGTTTAAAAACAAAAACAGACGAATAATAAAAAAATAGTATGGTGAAACCGCCCTAATCATGAAAAAAAAAAGAAAAACGAAAAACGAAAAAAGCAGAAAAAAGAAAAGAAAATTCAATAGATTTACTTACCTGGTACAAATAGTCAGTGATACATTTTTGAAGAAAAAGAGAAAAAAAAAGAGAGAAAAAATCTATATTCACTTGGTGTTTAAATGAAGCCAGAATAAATATTGATGCAGAATAGTATGAATTCTTATCATATTTCGAGGTTTCTCATCATCAGCTGCTTACAACCCACTGATAGGTAATAGAATAGAACAATTGACATAATGTAAATGATTGGAATGACAAAGGTTTACAATAGTAAGTAAGATGTTTCCCTTGGACAACCAGCATCTGCAGTGATGCTGCCTTCTTACAAGGAAAAAAAAGGGTTAGAAAAGGTTGACAGTAAAAATGTCACACCTCACCTTACCTCACAGGTTTCCGTCGCCGGCGATAAGGTTTTTTGAAGAACGGAGATAACATATTCAAAAACCTCTCACGAAAAGGCCGTGTGTGACCGACTTCAAGCAGTTGTCCCTTGAGCACTGAGGTCACGCTCTCAGGTCTTTAAGGCCAACATTAATTCAACAATCATGCAATTAGTCCCCTTTATGAATTTAAATAAGGCAAGAACAACTATTGATGCAGAATAGTATGAATTCTCATAATATTTCGAGGTTCCTCATCAGCTGCTTACAACCACTAATATGTAATTTTACATTGAGATAAGAAATAGTGTGAAACAATTGACATTAATGAATGAATGTAAATAACTGGAATGACAAAGGTATACAATAATAACTATATATATGCAAGAACAGGTCAGAGGTTAATTGGTGTTAGAAATAAAGAAATAATTCAGGATGGGTAGTGTAATAGTTTAGTGGAGTTCATAAAGTGTGATCAGTTTAGACTGAGATGGTTGAGCCACGTGTTACGTATGCCCGAACACCGATAACCACGACGTGCAATGCTAACCGGTGTTCGGGATGGTTGGAAGAAAGTTAGGGGCGGCCAAACCAAAACGTTGCATCAGTGCTTGAAGTCACCAACTTCTAGTCTGAGCTATGTTGGTAGATCCAGACTACTTGGTTGGGGTCCGCGTGACTATCGTAACTAATGGTTGGAGACTGAGAGTGACATGGCTCAGAATCGATCACAATGGCGTCGGTGTATACACTCTCTGTCTTTCCTTAAACTAAGAGATTAAAATCGCTTCATATCTTTCTTTCTACGAACTAATTCTTTCTTCCTGTACTATATTCTTACATGCAATCTTTCTTTTGTATATTTCTACCATTGAAGTGACTACTTCTATGAATCCGGTGTCCATCTTGTTGTGTTAATGAGATATGGCAACTTGGACCGACGCATATATATGCCTGGTCCTACGTTGTAGCTGACTGACTGTGATCATTTTAGAGGTAATGAATGATTCCTGGAATTAAAACAGTCATAAGAAAGATTACGTAATAATTACAATGGAAGATGGTCGTGCAAGTTCATAGATTGGTTAATGTTAAACACTATCACCATTGGATTCCGGCTCAGTGATCCAGTAGGTTAAGCCTTCGCGCGCGAGACTGAGGGACCTTTGTTCGAACCCCACGAGCGGGATCGTGGATGCGCACTGCTGAGGAGTCCCACAATAAGACGAAACGGCCATCCAGTGCTTCCAGGTTTCTAAAGGTGGTCTAACAACTATCGGTTCATGATCTCAATCAAAAACTTAATAATCTCCACAACCCCTATACTAGAATTTGAAAAGTTAACATAATTTAAGAGGATCAAGTGTGCGGAAATGTGTGAATGAAAAGTTTGTTTAAGAATTTTGGTAATGGGGGGAGGATTATAACACAAAATAAATATTTTAAAAAAATAAATAAATGAATAAAATAACCCAAATAACAAAAAAATTGGATTACCAGGGTAACAATAAGTTTATTAATGTCTCTTTTTGAATACATAAATCCGGTTTAAGTTTTTTTATTGCGATTGCTTCAGCGTAACGGAGAGCAGTCGTACTTCTTTGTCTGTTGATAATTTTAAAAGCGTGCGGGATGTCGATGGTATACCTGGTGTCAAGTAAATGTCGGGCTATTGCACTGTTGAGAGCCTTGGTCCGTCGCAGCCTCAAGTTTTTTGGAACATTGTCAGAAATGCAAACATGCACTCTTCTCTCAGTTCTTCCAATGTATGTGCTTTGGCACGTACATGTGAACTGGTAAATGCAATTGGAGCTACTTAGAAAAGAGGACTCGTCGATTTTAGTTTGTTTGATTGAGCAGTTCGTTTCCCAAACTGTTGTCAGTTTCGCTGGTGGGTAGGCCACTTTCAACGCGGAATTTAATCTGTGATTAATTAATCCAGCAATTTTGTCTCCTTTGAAACGTAAATATAAGAAGCAAGTTTTCTTTTCTAGTCTATCATACTTCGCCCGAGGATTGCTTTTTGCATATTTATGGATGAATTTCATCGGATGTGCATTTTCACGTAGACAATTAGTGATGAGAGCAATCTCGTCATCCAGATATTCCTTTCAACAAATTTTACGTGCGCGGTCAAAAAGGGTCCGTACAATACCCTTTTTGTAACTCATTTGACAGAAACTATAGTAATTGAGATATACTCCACTCCAAGTATTTTTGCGATGAATGTGTCTATTTAATGTGCCATCAGATGTTCGATGATTTTACTATTTTTAAAATATTATTTATGTCAAGATGTGTGCCTAGTAAGTGTTGAGCATTTAACAAAACTCGGAATCACTGGACGGCTGTTTCGTTCTGGTATGGGACTCCTCAGCAGTGTGCATCCAAGATCCTGGTCGCGAAATTTGAATTCGGCACCTTTGGTCTTGCACGCAAACGCTTAACTTCTAAATCACTGACCTGGCAGCCAAAGGTACAACTGTCCAGTGCTTTCAGGGGTTGAGCTTGAATCGATTCATGAACTCAACCATTAAATTAATACAGTTTCCATAAACCTTTATTCTGATTTAATAAAACGTCAAATGTTTAGACAATCAAGCTGTTAAAAAACCACTATGAACTACCATTAATCAGCATCACACTACAATCATAAGTACGCCAACGTAGTACTGAACAGTAATTATATTATCTATAAAGCGATCTTGGACGTACATTCTGTACTATCTAGGATTAATCCGCTTGACATGATTTTTTTATTGAGATCATGAATCAGTTGATGTGAGACCACCAGTGAACACCTGTAGATACTGGATAACCGTTTTGTCCTAGTTGCGCTCCTCAGCGCTGCGCATCCACGCTCCCACTCGAGACATTAGAACCCGGGACTTTTATGTTGGTTGAATTTAGACATTGACACCGTTGAGTGCCGACTTAGTCAACTAGAGGTTAAAAGTTCGCGTACAAAACCGAAGGTCTTGGGTTCAAATTCCGTGGGCGGGATGCTGGATGCTCACTGCTGAAGAGTTTCATACTTCATTACTTCCACGTTTTCCATATTGGTCTAATATCAATCGATTCCTAATCTCGATCAAAATCTTGACAATCTTCACAACTCCATACTGATGATATAATTTTATCTATAAATTATAAACTTTTTTAATTAACAGTAGTTAACAAGCACAACAAAACCTAATCTTGCTACTGACTTATGAATATAGTAACTTAGATTTACATAGCTTTTTATCAGCTAGATATAACGCTGCTTTATCCTTTAGTAAAACAATAAAAATACAATCCATAGAAAACACAATAGTACTCTTCTAGCAATATTTTTTTATTAAAGATTAAAACTGATATTCTATGCCATTAGACTTTACAATTGACTGATCACTGGGTAGTGATCAATGTCATGTATATCAGGTCCTTGTTAGTGCAGATCGAACCCTATCACCAGTGTAGGTGATCACCACCCAGTGATCAACCAATTGTAAATAGATCTCAGTCATACAGGAGGTCAATCGGACCCTAGACAGCTCAGTCGTAACGTCTCTAACTATGAATCTGTGTGACACAGGTTCGAATCCGTCAGGGAGCATAAGTTCCCTCAAGAATAATATAGGCACACTTTGCTGACCATAGTGAATTGAGACAATTATTAAGTTTTTGATTGAGATCATGAACCGATTGATGTTAAACCACCATTGAAAACCTGGAATCACTATGCTGCCGTTTCATTCTATTGTGGGACTCCTCAACAGTGTGCATTCACGATTCCGCTTGCAGGATTCGAACCTAGGACTTTCGGTTTCACGCGCGAACGGTTTACCTCTAAACCATTGAGCCAAGTAACATGAAACCTAGGTTCAGAGTTTCCTGTTAACTACCTTCAAACACCGTCTTACCATTAGACTTTCCACTGTTAGTTCTTACCATGATTAATCAATAATATATTGTGATGTACCATGGAATTCTTTTGTATTTATTCAAAGCTTTCACCTTAAATTAATATGAACAGTTGTGGAAAAAGAACTACAGTTCAATAATACTAATTGTGTTTGATTTAATTATACCCAACAAATTTTTTTTTCAGCATAGGGTTGTCGAGATCATGAATCGATTGATGTTAGACCACCATTGAAAGCCTGGAAGCATTGGATTGTTTGAGGTTAGACATTAACACCGGCTCAGTGATCTAGTAGGTTAAGCGTTCGCGCGCAATACCAAAAACTCTGGGTTCAAATCCTGCGAGTAGAATCGTGAATGCACACTGTTGAGGAGTCCTACGATAGGATGAAATTGCTGTGATTTCAGGTTTTCAATAGTGGTCTAACATCAATCGGTTCATAATCTCAATCAAATTCCTTTTTACATTCGACTTTTCTTTTTTTTTTCTTTTTTTTTCCTTCTAGCTCTCAGTTTATTACCATCCAATAAGTATATCTATCAAATACGTTGTAAATGTCGTGAAGAAATGTATCGTACCGGTTTGAGTAACTCATATGAAAATGCATTAATTGATTATCGTTTATCACTTTTGGCTAATGATGTAACTAACCAATAACATCTATGTATACACAAATATAATTTACACTTCATTTATATAGACTAATATAACTTATATATTTGTTCATTCATGTATTGGCTTCGCCACTCCTATGAATCCGGTGTTCATCTTGCTGTGCTAATGCGGTATGGCGACTTGGACCGATGCATATATGTACCTGATCGTACGTTGTAGCTGACTGACTGACTGACTGACTTGACATTATTCTTCAACTTAAATGTTGATTTTGATTGAAGTTATGAATTGTTCAATGTTAAATCATCATCATCATCATTTAAAAAAACTTGAAAGATGATTGTGTAATATCATGAATTGGTTGAAGTTTAACATGAATACAGTTAGATGTTGGTTCAGTGATTTAAAGGTTAAACGTTCGCTTGTGAGACTGAAAGTTATAAGTTCAAGTCTGAAATGTTCGATCGTAGATAAGAATTGCTGAGGAGTTCTGTACTAGAACAAAATGTCCTTATAAGTCTTCATTGGTGCTCTAATATTGATGGATTTATGAGATTTCAATCAAAAACTCAACAATATTCACAACCCTATACTAATCATTATCATTATGTGCTCATTATTATTAGAAAGGTAATAACCGAATCATTATTTTTAGAATTCATAAGGATCCCAAGCGGAGGTGGATGTGAATCATAATTATAAACTACGGTAATTTTATTGTTATTCAGGGTAGTTGATGGGATATTTATCACAAATCAATAATTAATCAATTTGAAATGTCTTACAACCGATAGATCAGTAGAGACTCAAATATCTTGGTCATATTATCTTTGACTAATAAAGTAGGAGTTCATATGACCAAATTCTTTCAGGAGCACAAATTTCCTCAACATTATAATACATCGCGCTGAATAATGCTAGTGTTAGCTGATATTCTTCCAACCACTTAACATCTTGACATAGTTCACTATATCTTGATCGATAGGATTTTATCAGCATCAGAAGAGTTAGAAAGATATTTGGAATAAGTAGAACTTAATAAAAATGAAAACTGTATGAAATAATTATGAAATAGATAACGCGATGGCGTTTAAAGCGAACGGTACCGAGTTCGAGTCTCAGAGTGAATATCAACTTTGAGATGCAGGTACATCCAGCTGACAAGTCCCAAATAGGATGAAACGCGCATCCTGGATTCCACTGCTAGCCACTAACAACCAGAGCAGCAATTGATATAGGTACATGCAACGGTCGGACAATGTGGGAGACTAGAAGAATTGATCAAATAGAAAAGGAAATGAGAATTTAGAAACTGGCGGTGTTCGGAATGAGTGAAATCCATGGACTCAAGCTGGACAGCAAATGCTAGATTCGGAAGAGATGCTGCTGTACTACGGTCACGCACACGGAAATGCTCCAAACACTCAGGGAGTTGCTCTGATGCTGTTTGAAGAAGCACGACATGCACTTATTGAGTGGGAATCTGATGGATCAAGGATCATCAAACATCCTTCAAAACAAAGAAGGAGGGGATCACGATGAATGTTATCCAGTGTTATACACCCATCAACGATGACAATGATGACGATGAAGATCAGCTCTATAGGAGGCTGCGATCGATCATAGCAAAGTGCATAAGAAGGAATCTGATCATCCTGATGTGAGACCTAATCGTCAAAGTCGGAATGGACAACATCGCACATGACGATATCATCGGACGACATGGATTGGCTGGGAGGAACTAACAAGAATGGTGACAGATTTGCAAATATAAACGCATCCAACAAATTGGTTATAGGCGACACAACATTCTCCCACAAACTCATACACAAAGCCACATGTGTCTCACCGGATCGCATTTGCATCAACAAAACATCAGGAAGATCCATGGATGACGTGAGAACTAGAAGAGGAGCAGACATAGCTTCAGATCACCATCTGGTTGTGGCCAAGATGAAAGTGAAACTAAAGAAACACTGGACAACTGGTGAAACTGCATTGCAAATGTTCAATACAACCTTCTTTCGACATACTGGCAAACCCAAACAATTCAAGATAACTCTCAACAACACATTCCAAGCCTTTCAAGATCTACTCAAAGAAGAAGGAGAAACTAATGTGGAGGAGAACTAGATGGAGATCAAAGAAGCATTGACTACAATGTGTCAGGATGTTTTAGGCCGAATGAGGTATCGTCATACTGAATGAATCTCTATGGAAACCCTGGACAAGATTCGAGAAAGGAAGAACAACAAAACAGCAATTAACAACAACCGAGAAAGAACACAGTAAGCCAATATACAAGCTGAATACACAGAAGCAAACAGACAAGTGAAGAGGAACATTGAAGCCGACAAGCAGAAATACGTGGAAGAGCTAGCAACGACGGAGCAAAAACTTGTAAGAGTAGTAAATATGAAACAACAATGTGACACGGTGAAGAAACTAGTAGGGATATATAGTAAACCAGAGAGACCAGTCGAGAACAACGAAGACAAGACAGTCATTGAGACTGGAGAACAGACGAATACATGGCTAGAACACTTTGACGAACACCTGAATAGGCCGGCTCCATCAAATCTACTGGCTGGATATCAAAGTAGCACACACAGACATTCTTATAGATCTCACTCCACCAACACCCGAAGAAATCAGGATGGTGTTCAAGTAAATCAAGATTGGGAAAGCACAAGAATCTGACAATTTACCAGCTGAAGCACTGGAGTCACACAAACGAGCAACTGCAAACATGCTCCACGTACCTTTCAGGAAGATTTGTTGGGAAGAACAAGTGCTGACGAACTGGAAAGAAGGACAACTCATCAAGATACCGAAGAATAAACATCTGATCAAACATGAATACTATAGAGGAATCACAACATCATCGGTACCAAGAATCGTTTTCAACCGATTGTTGCTGAATCGGGTGAAACATTCAGTAGACGTGCAGCTTCGAGTTCAGCAGACTGGATTCCGTAAGGATCGGTCGAGCACAGACCCAATTGCGACACTACGCATCATCGTTGACCAATCAATTGAATGGAACTCATCACTACACATGAACTTCGTTGACCATGAGAAAGCGTTTGACAGTGTGGATAGGAGCACATTATTGAAACTTTTTCGACACTATGGTGTATCTGGGAAGATCGTCATTATCATCTGGAATTCACATGACGGAATACAGTGCCATTTGGCGCCTATAGGACTGTTTACAGATGCATTCCAAGTGAGGCGTCAGACGGAGTCAGACAAGGCTACTTACCCTCCCCCATTCCGTTTCTTCTGGTAGTGGTCGACTGGATTATGAAGACTTCCAAATCTGAGAGGAAGTACGGAATACAATGGACAGCTCGGAATCAACGGGAAGAGTTAGATTTCGCAGATGACCTACTCCTTCTACACACGAACAAATGTAGTTCACGAAAACAAGTGTAGCAGCAGCCTCTGCATCAGTAGTTTTCAACATAAACAAGGGCGAATGCAAGATCTTCAAATACAACACGGAGAACACAGACCCAACCACACTTGATGGAGAGACTCTGCAATAGGTGGAAACATTCACATACCTTGTCAGCATCATCGATAAACAGGGAGGATCTGATGCAGACGTGAATGCGAGGATTAGCAAAGCAAGGACAGCATTTCTACAGTTGAAGAATATATGGGACTCAAAACAACAGTCTTCAAACCAACATCAAAGTGAGAATCTTCAATACTCATGTCCAGACAGTTCTACTGTACGGAGCTGAAATTTGGAGAACTACCACAATCATCATCAAAGGAGTACAAGTATCTCTAAACAGTTGTCTACTCAAGATACTTAGTGTATGTTGACCGGATACCATCAGCAACAGCCTACTGTGGGAGAGAACAAATCTGTTTCCAGGTGAAGAGGGGATCAAGAGAAGACATTGGAAGTGGATAGAACATACACTGTGGAAATCATCAAGCTGCATCACGAGACAAGCGCTAAGTTGGTATCCATAATGGAAACGGAAAAGTGGAAAGCAAAAGAACACATTGAGTCGGGAATCGGAAGCAAACATGAAAAGGATGAATAGCCACTGGAAACAAATGGAAAGGATTGGCTGTGACAGAATTGGATGAAGAATGTTGATAGGCAACCTATGCTTCTTCGCGATGGGTAACATGAATAAGTAAGCAAGACAGATTTCTGTTTTCCGAAAGATTATTAATCATTGTTAACTAATTATAAATACAACTGTACTGCTTCATTGTCTGATCTTGTCAGAAATGAAAACCTATTCACTGAATTATATATGTCTTTTCTTCAACGAATCAATCAGGCAAAGTTGCTTACTCTCACCCTTTCTCTTTCTCCTGGTGATCGACTGGATCATGAAGACGTCAACATCTGGAGGGAAACGCGGGATACAGTGGACATCTAGGATGCAGCTTGACGACCTAGACATCGCAGATGATCTGGCCCTTCTATCCCAAACGCAACAACAAATGCAGGAGAAGACGAAAAGTGTAGCAGCAACCTCAGCAGCAGTAGGTTTCAATATACACAAAGGGAAAAGCAGGATTCTCCGATACAACACAGCATACACCAATTTAATCACAATTGACGGAGAAGATTTGGAAGATGTAAAAACGTTTACATATTTGGGCAGCATCGTTGATGAACATGGTGGGTCTGATACAGATGTGAAAGCGCGGATCGGCAAAGCAAGAGCAGCATATTTACGATTGGAGAACATCTGGAACTCAAAACAACTGTCAACCAACACCAAGGTCAGGATTTTCAATATAAATGTCAAGACAGTTCTATTGTATGGGGCAGAAACCTGGAGAACTACGAAAGCCATCTTCCAGAAAATACAGGTGTTTATTAACAGTTGTCTACACAAAATACTTCAGATCCGTTGGCCGGACACTATTAGCAACAACCTAATGTGGGAGAGAACAAACCAGATCCCAGCGGAGGAAGAAATCAGGAAGAAGCGCTGGAAGTGGATAGGACACACATTGAGGAAAGCACCCAACTGCGTCACAGGACAAGCCCTCACAAGGAATCCTAAAGGCCAAAGGAAAAGAGGAAGATCAAAGAACATATTACGCCGGGAAATGGAGACAGACATGAGAAAACTGAACAAGAATTGGATGGAACTAGAAAAGAAGGCCCAGGACAGAGTGGGTTGGAGAATGCTGGTCGGCGGCCTATGCTCCATTAGGAGTAACAGGCGTAAGTAAGTTCAACGAATCAATGGATTATGTTCAGGGTTATTATTTTGAACTATATTCAACCTTTCTATACCTTCTATTAAACAACCATATTCTAAAACTGATATAACAGTGTAGTGAATGAGAATGCAAATGGGGACAATCGAATGTACTACAACACAAAATTACAATATCTCTTAGTAACATCTGAGAACCATACAGTAGATACTTCATTTGCAAAAATGTCAATCAATTGTCTCAGATTTAACCGATTCTTCTTTTCTAAACCAATCACTCTTTGTTCTCGTTCTCGTCGATCTACTTAACCTTCTGTTGTTAAACATTCCCCTTTCGATTGATGATACATACTACTACTTATATCTGTCAATATCAGTAATATACATCACAATTGTAAGTATATTCTTCAAAAATAATTAATTATACTTATGACAAATATATCAAATGAGAGAGAAAATACCTTCAGTTAGTTAGTTATATAAGCAACCTAGAACCTGGTCATCATGTGCATTGGTTCAAGTGGTTATATCATAATATCACAACAAGATAAAATTCAGAGTAATAATGATAATAGTATCAGTGTTAATAGCGAAACTAGACTTGAATAGTATAATCAAATGTATAAGACATTTTTGATAAGTAAGATCTGAGAGATAACAATCAGTGGATACATTTTTATACATTATGATCTATTTTGAGCCATATTATCCACACTTTTCGACAATCGATAGTCTATATTTTTCCACATGGTTGACTGATCACTTGATGGTGATCAATGTCATGTGTGTCAAGTGTTTCTTAGAGTAAATCGAATGCTATCGACTAAGCTGCAATGTAGCCACTAGTCTAGGTGACTCGACATTGCGTGCACTATGTTGAGATAGAATGGTGGTTGGAGATAGTCAACAGAAAACCCTGGACCCGGATAGCCCAATGGTAACGTCTCTAACTGTGAAGCTGGGTGATACGGGATCAAATCCATCAGGGAGAATAAGTTCCCTCGAGATTACAGGTTCGACTTGCTGACGAGCGACAAAGAGCACGAAACCCTGTTCCATGGTTTCCTATTGACTATCTCCAACCACCATTCTATCTCAAAATAGTCAATAGTTTCATGAAATGATATGAAGTTGTGTTTTAGTTCCCTCCCTGAATTTCATACAATGTACTCTTACTATGGCCGTCATGGCCATCACTAGAACTAGAACCGTTGGATGCCGGCTCAGTGGTCTAAAGGTTAAGCGTTTGCGCGCGAGACTGAAGGACCTGGGTTAGAATCCCGCGGGCAGGATCGTGGATGCCCGCTGCTGAGGAGTCCCACAGCAAGTCGAAATGGCTATCCAGTGCTTCCAGGTATCCAACGGTGGTCTAACATCATTCGGTTCATGATCTCTATCAAAAAGTTAATAATCTCCACAACCCCATACTGATATTATATGCTATTTTTGTCTCACTATTAATATTGTAACAGTAAATAAATCCCTAAGATCAATAGCTCTGTAAGTCTTCAACATTTGCTGTTGACCGTCTTAGTTTTAATGTACTCACCTAGTTGAAAGAGCTCAGTGCATAGCTCGGCACCATATCATCAATAGATATACTGTTCTCAACTTTTCCTACAACCACTAGACAGTTTAAATCAGTCACTTCTCAATATATTGATAACTTATCAAATATATTTACGAATCTCTTCAGCTGTAACTCTTCTAGAGTTACTCCTAGTACCAAGCTCAGATAAAAGAGGAGGGTTGAGCATGAAGTTAGCCACTCCATTTCATAGAAAACTTACTCTCTAATCAGAAAATACATATTCGAACCTCTTCACTTCTAACTTTTGATTTCATTGGATTAACATGTTTCGATGATTATAGGTGTTACTAGTAAAAGTGTTGTGAAATTTCAATGATCACAATGTTATATTTAACTTAAAAAGACTAAACAAATAGTACATTATAGTACATTTATAATAAGTGTACTTTTGGAATAATAATAATACAAAAAACAATAAAACACGAGATATAGCCTGCTCGTTAAAAATAAAGAAGACGTTTCATTTGATTATTTTTAACCTGATTATCATTAAAATAGAAGTCCATTTATAACTCTTCTAACACTATTACCGGTTCCAAGCCCGGATAATAGAAGGAGAAGGAGGAGGAGAAGGAAGAAGAAGAAGAAGAAGAAGAAGAAGAAGAAGAAGAAGGGGGAAAGAAGAAGGAAAGGAGGAAGGGGAGGAGAAAGAGGAGCTGGAGAATTAAGTAATATAGTCAATAAACATCATCCCATTGAAAACAATCATACTAATCATTATACTATCCATTATTCAATGAAATACATTAAATTGATTCTATTATAATCATTATAAAATCTTAATAATAACAAGAAAAGAAAAGAAAAAAGTTTGTCAAAGAGATTAAGAGTCAAGCTAAGGTAAAGTAAAAAAAAAGAAAGAAAGGAAAGAAAATAAAAGAAAAAAGAAGAAAATAATAAAGAACAAAACTATTAAACAAATTAACCAAATTGGTGTATTTTTTGGCGTTTTTTTCCCCCCTGTTTTATAAATACAAATGAACAATCTTTGGTTATGTTTTTTTCTCTCTTTAAAAAAAACAAACAAAAAAAAAAAAACATTTTGTGTATGTTCTCCCTCCCCCCTCCGCACATACACACACATACACGTGTTTAAATCGATTCTATTTTGATATGTATACATTGTGGGTGTGTAAGTGTGCATCTGCATATGTGTATGTTGTTGTTGTTGTTGTTGTTGGTGGTGGTGGTGGTGGTGGTGGTGGTTACGGTGATGATGGTGGTGGTGTTTTATTGAATTCATTATTCAATATTTCATGAACATTTTAAAACTAAATTGTATACACTACTGATTTCAATCAATTAATCAGTAGTATCTATGGATAATGAATCATTAAAATAGACCACAATCTTTTAAATTAGATTTAATAATCACATCTATTACAGCATCAAATACAACACGTATATTATTATTATCAGTAGCACATGTAAAATGTGTATAAATTGTTTTAGTTGTTTTTCTACGATTAACATCTTCAAATTTTTCTCTTATATAATTTGATGCTTCTTCATAGGTTTGTTCTCCGGTATATTCAGGGAAACATATTGTCAATGGAGATTTTTGTATTTTTTCATTAAATAAATCTTTTTTATTTAAAAATAATATCATACTTGTTTCAACAAACCATTGACTATTACATATTGAATCAAATAATTGTAATGATTCATGCATTCTATTTGTAGTTTGATCTTCAGCTAATTTTAAATCATATTCTGACATAGCAACTATAAATAATATAGCGGTAACACCTTCAAAACAATGTAACCATTTTTTACGTTCAGCACGTTGTCCACCTAAAATCAATCATAATAATAATAATAATAATAATAATAATAATAATCAATATTGTATTATGATCGATAGTATTCGATCTGCACTAATAATAAGGACTAGACACGTATGACATTGATCACTACTCAATGATTAATGAATTGTGATTACATCTCAGTCCTACAGGAGGTCAGTGGCGGCCTGGATAACTCAGTGGTAACGTCTGTGACTGTGAAGCTGGATGATATGGGATCGAATCTGTCAGGGAGAACCAGTTCCATCAAGATTAAAGGTACACCTTGTTGACGAGTGCCAAGTAGCACGAAACCTGAGTCCACAGAGTCTAGTCATCTAGACTAGTGGCTACATTACAACTTAGTCGATAGCATTCGATCTGTACTAATAAGGACTAGACACGCATGACATTGATCACCACCCAGTGATCAATCAATTGGGATTACATTATTATGATTACGATTATGATTACGTAATCATATGATGTCAGGTACATATGTCGATATAAGTAGTATACAATGGTAGTGAGGAATAGAATGTCTGTTGGTAGTAGAAGGTTGAACAGATCAAAGAGGTAAGTAAATTCGACGAGACTTCATTTTATGGACGACCTTTGAACGAATCTTAAGTAACCTTGAGAAATATTAGCCAATCAGCAAACAGTCAGTATAGAGTATAAATATGTTATACAAAACCAAGGAAATAAAGTGAATACACTTCTTATACGTGGTTCAAAAACTCATCAAGGTGAGAAAGAGATTCAGAGGTCCTATAACCGTAATGCATGCAGTAGAGAAGATCATCCATACGGCTACAGAATAATCGGCCTCTGGAGTCATGACAAAGTCTCGAAAACTCTTTCAACCTCGACCATGTAGCTTCAATATTGCTGTCGTGCACTCCGATTGTGGAGTGCATAAAATGCCACTTGTGGATAACGACATGATGCACATAACCAAGCCTATGTAGAAGTCTGTACGCTCTCCAATCTTCCGTAGTACCTGGCTGCAACCAGTGTTACCGGTGCTTTTATTATCCAGTTCGCAATCATTGTCGTAATTTGCCTTAGTTAGGAATTATATATGGGGTTTTCATCACGAACTGACACAAGCTATAATGCCAGAAATTTATTTCGTCAAATAGATGAAAGGCTTTCACGTTCACATCCGAGATCTATTATCTTATACCTGATTGATTCGTCCACAAATTATAGTCTCGCCATTTTATTTGTTATAGCCGCTAAATTATCACGTTTTGTACAAACTTCCCTGTGAACCGATTGTACATTAGCATCAAGCACTGAAGTTGGCGCTGTAACCTTTAAATCTCTAAAACGCCTGTGACTGGCTCGTCCATAAGTTAGAGTCTCGCCGTAAATTTCAATAATAATTTTTCGAAAAACTGATTCATCATAGAAATTTCAATCATACGTCAATTGAAGGTAGACAACCATGGAAAACCTGGAAGCACTTGACGGCTGTTTCGCCATAGTATGGCACTCCTCATCAGTGCGCATCTACGATCCCGCTTGAGTGTGACCGCTTAACCATTAGACCAATGAGCTGGTCGGTATCCAACGGTGTTAATGTCTAACTTCAACCAATCCACGAAATCGGGTCACTGTATACCAATGTCTTCAGTGAGCTGATATCTCAAAACAAACCTGTTTGAACTTCACTGGTCACGGCTTCTCACTAGAACTCCAGGAAATTCCTCTTGAAGTCAGTCACTAGTGAGCAGATGATTATTGTCAGAAGGGGTTTTATGGAGATGGTTAAGCGCTCGCGCGTGAGACTGATAGGTCCTGGGTTTGAACATCGCGGGGAGGTGAGATCGTGGATTCTCATTGCTGAGGAGTCCCACACTACTACAAAACGGCCGTTCAGTGCTTTCAGGTTTTTCATGATGGTCTAGCTTATATCGATTGATAAATTCAATTATTATAAGTTAGAAATTGGAATGAAATCTTCATTGGAAATTGAACTCTTATACGTAACACTCAATCACTAGATTTGTACAACAATTCCCGTAATAAACACTTTCTGAATGTTGAAAAATGAATAGATAACCACAAAAATTATCATTGTTGAAATGGTATTTCTGTTATATCCTGATGAGAATAGTGGATGGGAACTGTTGGAATCGATTTATGGACGAATACTATACAGATATTACTTATTGTATAATTGTTATGTAACTAAACTATGCATATTCATATTTCTCTCATTATAAGCTTCATTTTGACCCATAGATTATTATTATACGATTTACTATTCTTGAGTTGTGCCCAGTCTGTTCATCACAATCTACCATATTCACAGCCACTTTTGGCTAGACCTCGTACTATGATTTGGTCTGTTTGGTTTTTATATAAACCGAGTACTAGGTTGGAGTCTCAGAGTGGACATCAACTCTGAGATGTAGGTGTATCCAGCTGATAAGTCCCAAATAAGATGAAACACACATACTGAATTCCAGTGCTAGCCACTACCAATCTTTGCTTATAATGCTTGTGACAGCATAGGATGCTCATATGCTAACAAGAGACTGATCAATTGCAGTCGTTAACAACAATGGAAAGATACCAGCAAATAATACCAAGTGAATTTATAAACCGAGTATGTTTGAAATGAATGATTTTTATCACTGAGGCTGAGATTAATGTCCTAGACTCAACAGTCAGACAGGGCTAGTCAGGAAGAAGGACCTATAAAGACTCTAAACTGTTTGTACGGGTTTGTGGATAATTAGTTCTATTGATAAGTTACTGTTCTCTAATTGGCGGTATCATTATGTTTATATATCAATAGGGCACAAGACTGGGCACTTATATTTGAATCTTATTCAAATATAGTTGAAGATAACCATTTGATCGAAAACAAACGTACTCAGTAAAATATTAGTAAATAAAAAGTCCTAGGGCTACTACTGATCCAAAGCCCGGGTAAATGAGGAAAGTTGGGCATGGGATCAGCAACCCTATCTTGTAGAAAAAAAACTAGCTAAAAAGCGCTAACCAAAAGAGGATATTAGGAAAACACATTGGGAGTGGATAGTACACACATTGAGAAAATAATTAGACTGCATCACGAGGCAAACGCTAAGTTGGAATGTTGAAGGGAAACGGAAAAATGGAAAGCCAAATAACACATTGAGTCGAGAATCGGAAGCAGACATGAAAAGAAACAAGTGAAAAGGTGGAGAAGATTTGTAGCTCAGGTGGATGATTTTGGTGGAGTTTTGTTCTCTGAGCTGGGTGGTTTGGTCGTGGAGCTTTCATCGTTCTCCTGAACGACATCATCAGCACAAACTTCAGATAGAAGTGAAGTGTTCGAATTTCTCCATATGTGTTCCACAGCTTGTTCTGTGCACCTCGATGTTGATCGGTTCTTATTGACCTTAAATTTGTCGTTGTTTGCTTCTTTGTTTTGGTTGTGTCTCCCATTAGTTTGATTTTTGTTCCTATATTTATGCATGATTTTCCTGATTGGTTGATTTCAATATGTTTGTTGATTGCTGATTGACCTGAGTGCCAGGCTTCTAAAAATTCTCTGGTGTTTTTAGAGTTTCCTCTGTCTAAGATTTCCACATTTTTCCAATCGAATGAATGTCCGCAGTTGTCCACGTGTATTGATATAAGTGAGGAGATTACATGCCGTTTGACTGCTAATTGATGTTCATGTATGCGCAGATGAAGGGGGCGTCCGCTTTGTCCGATGTAGTGTTTCTCGCAGTTGGCACAATTTATTTTGTAGATGATGTTTGATTTGTTTTCCTTTGGTATTTCATCCTTTAGTTTGCATAGGATTGATTGTAGTGATTTTGTCGGTTTGTGTGCCACACCCATTCCGAAGGTTTTCAGCAGTCTCGTTGCGGTCTCTGATATTCCTTATATGTACGGTAGGGTGATCTTTTTGTTGATTTTTGTGCTTGACTTGGGTTCTGATGCTTTGTGCGGTTGGTGTTTTTTGATGAAGTTGGTTGGGTAGCCGTTCTTTTGAAATATGTCCTTCAGGTATTTCTCTTCATTTTTCGTGCTGCCAGTGTGCTGCAGTATGTCCTCGCCCTCTTGAACAATGTGTGTACGCAGTTGATTTTGTGAGCTCTTGGGTTGTTGCTGTTGTAGTTGAGAATTTGATCTGTATGGGTGGGTTTCCTACATACTTGTGTTTCCAGTTTTCCTGTGTCGGCTCTGGTGATCAATATATCTAAGAATGCTAGTTGATTGTTTGACTCCTGTTCCATTGTGAACTTGATGTCATTGAAAACGGTGTTGATCAGTTTGTAAGTGTTTTCCAGTCCATTCTTTTTGACGATGACGAAGGTGTCGTCTACATAGCTCCACGAGCAAACCATCCAGCTCAGAGAACAAAACTCCACCGAAAACAAATTAAAAGGATTATCCAGATAGAGTTGAATAAAGAATGCTGATGTGCAACCTATACTCCTCCATGAGGAGCAACAGGCGCAAGTAAGATAGTAAGAAACTTTATGTCAGGTATTTGGAAAGAAGTGTTCTTGACTTTGTTACTCTTAATGATATTAATATGTCATTAAATTTCCCACCGAAATTATAAAATGAATCATTCATCCTTTTATTTGCAATCTGTTAAAAAGAATAAAATTTTAAACAAATGTTGGCTAGCAATGAGATGAAAGACACGCGTTTCATCCTATTTGGGACTCATCAGTTGGATGTAGGCAGCTACACTGCACAAGCAATTGGCTATTAGAACTCATTAATTAAGTGGATAACGCGATGGTATTTGAAGCGAATGATACTGGGTCCAAGTACCTGAGTGAACATCAACTCTGAGATGTAGGTACATCCATCTGACGAGTCCTAAATAAGATTAAATGCGCTACCTGAATTCCATTGTTAGTCAATACCCATCTTTGTTTAGAATGCTTATGAATTAAGGCAATATCGGGGCTAGTGAATTTTGGTCAGTCTCTATTGATATATATTCATACTGAGTAGAATACTAAGACACTGCTATTAGATGACAATTATTGTTTGAATTTGGATAGTGTGACTAGCAATTCAATCGAGGGTGCACATATTGTCGTATTTAGAACTTGTCAGCAAGATATACCTGCATCCTAAACCTGTATTGATATCTGCTTCAATGTCTTACATTTCAACAATCAATACATTGACCACTAATCTACTGAATCCAAATAGTCATTGACTTCTGAAGTAAAAATGTATACTGATTTCAAATGGTGAATTCAATATAACAAGGAACTGACATCATGAAATCTACTGTTAGCCACAATCTAAGTCTGACTAGAATAATGCTTAAAACTTTACGACAATATTGTATTAGTCGACCCCAAATATACAAAACATATACTAGAAGAAACTGATCAATTACAATTTACACAATCAATACCATAATCAAACCAAATACATAAGTGCCACACAAGTCACTTGATTTGTGTGTAGGCTGTGATATTATCCGTGTGCTTAAACCGAAGTAAAAATAGTTTTATTAGGGGGGGGACACATCCGAAGTCTTTGATCTAAAGGTATGATCCACAAGACAGTGGATCAATGTTCAAAGATTCAGTCAACAACAATTGCTTCCTTCAGTATTCTGGAGCCTATATGAACCATTGGTTTAAAATTAAGATTTTCCAACTCCTCTAAGTGGATCCCTCATATTCAACAACATGGTTTGCATGTTGAACATTCGCCTTTTGTCCTATCAATTTCGTAAACAACAATAAAGGTGAAAGAAGACAGTGAGTGGGACTTCTCTGGCAGTGTCTATATACATGTGTCCATGTGAGAGTATTTCAAAACACACACACACAGAGGGAGAGAGAGAGAGCTAACTCTCCCCACTCTCAGCCATACCGCGACATTCAGAGGTAATATATTCGTACTTATTTTAAATTCACATCATATTTCTATTCATTCATTTATACATTTCTTATAATCCTTTAGTTATAACTTTGTATCCAAGGTATACAAATACATAAAATGCATACCCATATCAACATTCACTTAGTTACTAAATATATAAAAACTGAAAAAGAAAGTACATTTTTAGTTTTTGGGCTTAACCAAATTTTTCATGTAATTAAAGTCAATCACATAAGACTATTCAATTTCTAATTGAATAAATACACATTCATTATAATGACAACTATTCAGTTAGTGAATTCATTATAAACTTAATCCAATACATGATAATTGAATGTTTAATGACCCATATATTTATCTGTAATAAACAAGAAGAAGAAAAAAAAGAAAAACAAGAAAAAGAAGAAGAAACATGAGAAAAAGAAAAAAGAGAGAAAAACAAACAAACAAGCTTTTTTTGAAAAGGAAATAAACAATGAATCCCCCCCCCTCTATTTTCATCCAAGAGTATCTATGGTTTATTAAAAAAGAAAGAAATTCAATTGTATAATAAGGTTTCTTTTTGTTTCTTTATAAATATCTTTGTGAAAATAAGCATGATGAAATAAATAAATATTTGTGAACATGATTGAATTGTTTATTTATTTGTTTGTTTACAGTCAATCCATGGTGTTAAAACTACAACTACAACAATCCTGAGAGCATGACTATGGTTGCATACTATTGATGAGTCCCACAATAGGACGAAACAGCCGTACAGTGCTTCCAGGTTTTCCATGGTTGTCTAGCTTCACAACTGACTCATGATCTTAACCATTGAAACCTGGAACCATTGGACGACCGTTTCATCCTATTGTGGGACTCCTCAGCAGCGCACATCCACGACCTCGCCCCCCCTGCAAGATTCGAACCCAGGGCCTAATGGTTTCACGCGCCAGAACTTAACCACTTGACCACTGAGCCGGCATCCAATGGTGCTAATGTTTAACTTCAGGTTTGTTTGTTTACCACCAATCCATGATGTTAAAACTACAACTACAACAATCCTGAGAGCAAGATTATGGATGCGTACTATTGATGAGTCCCATAGTAGGACGAAACGGTCGTCCAATGTTTTCAGGTTTTTCTGGTTGTTTATTTGTTCGTTTAGTCAATCTATGATGTTAAAACTGCAATTGATTAGATTGCTGGAATCCTGAGAACGACATTATGGATGTGCACTGTTGAAGAGTCTCATACTAGAACGAAATGGCCATCCCAAGCTTCCAGATTTTTCGATTGATAGTTTAACTTTAATTGACTCATGAATTCAACGACTAAATTAGATTTATTGAATTAAAAATAGTGTCATTTTGTAATTTTTTATTAGTTTTTAGTTTTCAGTAATAAAAGGATAGTAGATTGGTGAACTTGTGTTAATTCTCGAGATCAAAGAAGGACAGGAAGACCAAAGAACAAATTACGTCGAGAAATGCATACAGATATGAAAAGAATGAACAACAATTGGATAAAACTAAAAAGAAAGACCCAGGATTGGGTGAGCTGGATGAATTCAGGCCGGCAGCCTATGCTCTATTGGGAGTGACAGGCGAAAGTTAGTAAGTAAGTAAGTAGGTAAGTAAGTATGTAAGTGAGTGAGTAAGTGAATGGGTGAGTGAGTAAGTGAATGGGTGAGTGAGTGAGTGATTGATTGAGTGAGTGAGTGAGTGAGTGAGTGAGTGAGTGAGTGAGTGAGTGAGTGAGTGAGTGAGTGAGTGAGTGAGTGAGTGAGTGAGTGAGTGAGTGAGTGAGTGAGTGAGTGAGTGAGTGAGTGAGTGAGTGAGTGAGTGAGTGAGTGAGTGAGTGAGTGAGTGAGTGAGTGAGTGAGTGAGTGAGTGAGTGAGTGAGTGAGTGAGTGAGTGAGTGAGTGAGTGAGTGAGTGAGTGAGTGAGTGAGTGAGTGAGTGAGTGAGTGAGTGAGTGAGTGAGTGAGTGAGTGAGTGAGTGAGTGAGTGAGTGAGTGAGTGAGTGAGTGAGTGAGTGAGTGAGTGAGTGAGTGAGTGAGTGAGTGAGTGAGTGAGTGAGTGAGTGAGTGAGTGAGTGAGTGAGTGAGTGAGTGAGTGAGTGAGTGAGTGAGTGAGTGAGTGAGTGAGTGAGTGAGTGAGTGAGTGAGTGAGTGAGTGAGTGAGTGAGTGAGTGAGTGAGTGAGTGAGTGAGTGAGTGAGTGAGTAGGTGAGTAAGGAAGGAAGGAAGGAAGTGTTAGTCCTGATAGTTTGCCTTCTAGTGAAAGTCCAACAGAATATAATCAACATTTTTCCCAGTTGAATGTATGTTCATAATTGTCTACATGTATTGTTATAAGTGAGGATATGTCATGATGTTTGATCTCTAATTGATGTTTATGTAGGTGAAGATGATGAAGGTGTTCGCTTTGTCCAGTGTAATGTTTTTCCCCAGTCGGAACAGTTTATTTTATAGATGATGTTTAGTTTTTCTTCTCTTGTCCTTTTGTCTTTTACTTTGTATTTAGATTGATTGAAATGATTTTGTTAGTTTGTGTGCTACATCTATTCAACAAACTCATTGTAGTTTCTAATATGCCTTTGATATATGGCAGGATAATCTGTTTGTTGATTTCCGTACTTGATTTTGTTTCTGTTGATGTATCATTGAGTTGTGATTCTAATGACTGGTGTTTAGATAGATTGATGTTTCTCCAAAGCTTCTATATGTTTATTACTAACTTACTTACTTACTTACGCCTGTTACTCCTCACGGAGCATAGGCCGCCGACCATCATTCATCCAACCAACTCTGTCCTCAGCCTTCCATTCTAGTTCTATCCAGTTGTTGTTCATTCTTCTCATGTCTGTCTCCATTTTCCGGCGTAATGTGTTCTTTCGTCTTTCTCTTCTTCTTTGGTCTTGAGGATTCCAAGTGCAGTTGGATACTTTCCTCAATATGTGTCCTATCCACTTCTAGCGCTTCTGTCTGATTTCTTCCACCACTGGTATATAGTTTGTTCCCTCCCACAGTAAGTTGTTGCTGATAGTGTCTGGCCAATGGATCCGAAATATTTTGCGTAGACAACTGTTAATAAACACTTGTATCTTCTGGGTGATGACTTTCGTAGTTCTCCAAGTTTCTACCTCATACAGTAGAACTGTTTTGACATTTGTATTGAAAATCCTGACCTTGGTATTCGTTGACAGTTTGTTTCGAGTTCCAGATGTTCTTCAATTGTAAATATACTATTCTTGCTTTGCCAATTCAGTGTCTTAGAAAACTCATATTACAAAATAATTGAGAATATAATCTACACTTATAATCTTTATATATAATAACGTCTAAACTACATACACCTAACGACTAATGTAATACAGTTAAGATTCTAATCAACATAATACAGATCTTGATTTATATTAAGTTCAAGCAAGTACTTCATAATAATATAATCAAATTGAGATCATGAAAAAGATTTGTAATTCAGGTAAATGATTTCGATAGAGTTCTGTTCTTTAAACTAAATGATTTAATTATGGTGCTATCGTCGTTACTCCGAATGATATCATCATCATCATCATCATCATCATCATCATCACCATCATCATCATCATCATCATCATCATCCAAATCATCTAAATCATCATCATCATCATCATCATCCAAATCATCCAAATCATCTAAATCATCATCATCATCATCCAAATCATCCAAATCATCATCATCATCATCATCATCCAAATCATCCAAATCATCTAAATCATCATCATCATCATCATCATCATCATCATCATCCAAATCATCATCATCATCCAAATCATCATCATCATCATCATCATCATCATCATCCAAATCATCCAAATCATCCAAATCATCCAAATCATCATCCAAATCATCTAAATCATCATCATCCAAATCATCCAAATCATCATCATCATCATCATCATCATCATCATCATCATCCAAATCATCCAAATCATCATCATCATCATCATCATCATCATCATCCAAATCATCCAGATCATCATCATCCAAATCATCCAAATCATCTAAATCACCTAAATCATCATCATCATCATCATCATCATCATCATCATCATCATCATCATCATCATCATCATCATCATCGTCCAAATCATCATCATCATCCAAATCATCATGATCATCGAAATTGAACTTATGAATGCATAAGTGAAAGAAATCTTTGTTGATTTTTTTTTACTGTTTTATTCATTTGTTTCCCCTTCCTCCAATCCACTGATACAGCTGAGAGTGAGAAGAGTTAGATCTCTCTCTCAATCTCTCTCTCTCTTTTGAAATCCTCTCACATGGTCATGTGTATACAGAAAATGACTGAGAAATCCTACTCATTTTCTTCTTGCGATATTACTGTTATTTATGAAATTGACAGGACGAAATGAAAAATGTTCAATGCTTTAATCGAATTGGTGGATATGGAGAGTCCATCTAGAAGAGTTTAAAAATCCTGATTCCAAACCAATGGTACACATGGACTCCAGTATCCTAAAGGAACAAATGGCATCTAAAACATAACGTTGATTACCGGCTATCATGGAATTGTATCACCTGACGTTATTCCACTGTCTACTGAATCAAATCTTTAGGTCAGAGGCTTGGAATGTACCCCACCCCCATCTGTGAAAACCATTTGCTTCGGTTTGAGTACCCGGGCAGTATCATAGCCCACATAAAAAAATCCAATCTTATCTCAGAATCTAAAAATAAATATAATTCTAAATATCAAGACAAACATTCAATGATCTGTTTCTATTCATTTGAAAAAGGTATATCCAGCTAATAAGAGTCCAAATAGTCGAATGGAATGTGAATTTTGTATTGCATTGTATAACCTTCAATTGATCCTCATTTAAACTATGAACTTGTAAATTTGATTATTAGTTTTATATAAAAACTCATTATCAAGTTTATTGATTTATACTATAAATCACCGGATAACTCTACCTGGAACCCCTCTTGAGTTATTGTCAGTCTCAAGCCTAGATAAAGGATGAAGGTTAGACATGAGATTAGCGACCCCATCCCGTAGAAAACGAACTCGCTAAAAAGACGTTAACCATAAAAAATTATTTAAACCATTTAAACACTGTTCTGTGAGTCAGATGGTCTTCATTTAGAAGAGTTATGACGCCTCACGATGAAAGCCTCTTCTGACAATCAGGGCAACCATTTATTTAGTTACATGGAATGCTCGTACAATGTGGGAGACCGGGATCGTTTTCCAAATGGCTGTAGAAATAAGGAGATACAACTTGAAAGTGCTTGGGATCAATATACATCGAAAAGAATGTACATTATTCAGATGTCGATTCTTGAACTGCTAACATCTAACTGGAGATCACTCTTTATACTTATTATCAGGATTGGTCAAGAAGTAAAAAAAAAAGGAAACTTGTTGAAATACTTTATGCTGAGAATTCTAGATTGTACCAAGAATATAATATTGAATAAAGCTTACTATTATTAATATAAACACCTATCTACGCAAGATACTCAATATCTGTTGGCCAGATACCAAAAGCAATAGCCTACTGTGGAAACGGACAAACCAACTTCTAGCTGAAGAGGAAATTAGAAAAAGATGTTGGAAATGGATAGAACATATATTATAGAAATCATCAAACTGCATCACGAGGCATGCGCTAATTTGGAATTTTAAAGGGAAGTGGAAAACAGAAAGACCGAAAAACACACTAAGTCAAGAATTCAAAGCAGATATGAATGAGATGAATAGCAACTGGAAACAAGTGGAAAGGATTCTTGAGGACAAAGTTGGATGAAGAATGCTGATGAGCGACCTATGCTCCTCTAGAAGGGGAAATATGCATAAGTTAGAAATTATTATTACTATTAAATATATAGGATTCTTTCCAGGTTTTACAACCTATATATATATATATATATATATATCACAGCAGACCCGGTTGAACTCCACTGGTCACTGCTTCTCACTAGAACTCCAGGAGATACCTCTTGGAGAAAATCACTAGTGAGCATAAGTTGATTAATATCAGAAGGGGTTTTGTGGATATTATAATAATTTTAATAGTTGAAACCATGAATAAATTGAAGCTAGACCACCATAAAAAATCTGGAAGCACTGGATGGTCGTTTCGTCCTACTATGGGACTCCTCAGCAGTGCGCATCTACGATCCCGCCTCGCGAGATTCGAACCCAGAGCCTATCACCTTAGCACGCGAACGATTAACCTATAGATGACTGAAATGACCGGCATTCAACGGTGTTTATGTTTAACTTCAACTAATCCACGAAATTGAGCGACACATCCACCATTGTCATCAGTGAGTTATTATCTCACAACAGACTTGGTTGAGCTTCACTGGTCGCTGCTTCTCACTAGAACTCCAGGTCTTAGGTTCGAATTTTGCGGAGCGGGATCGTAAATGCTCACTTCTGAGGAGTTCCATACTACGACGAAACGATCGTCTTGTGCCTCCAAGTTTTCTATGATGGTCTTACTTACTTGCTTACCTACTTACATTTAATAAATGGTTACTATGGTCGTCAGAAGGAGTATCGGCCTCGTGACTTCCGAAGGAACTCAGCTTTCATCATGAGGCGTCATAACTCTTCTAAATGAAGACCTTCTGGCTCCCAGTGCGGGGTTTGAATAATTTTCTCTGGTTAGCGTTTTTCTAGCGAGTTTAGTTTCTACGGGATGGGGTCGCTAACCCCATGCCCAACCCTCCTCCTTTTTTCCGGGCTTGAGACCAGCAGTAGCTCCCGGAAGGACCCACAAAACCCATTCTAGATATATATATATATATGTCAAGTATTTAATTAGACTATACTAAGACAATTAACCCAAATTTATTTTCATTCATCCTTCTATTATCATATAGAAATATGAACCTGTAACTTATTGTTCCTTTCTATCTTTACTTACTATTGAATGTTTCCCTATTTAATAATAAGAATAATTGACATATTAATTTTTTTTAAAAATAATTATAATTAAGTTATTGAATAAAAAGTAATTCACTTTTCAATATTTAACCTAAACGTTTTATTTAATTATTATCAAGTTTATTTATTGTATTTAAGGGAGTTGTTCAAAAGTTTGATATCAGGCAAAAATAAAAAGGGAAAATAAAATCGATTTTATTGATATGACCTATTCACCGAATGATGATTGATGTCATGTTTGTTTACTTAATTCGAATTCTGTCAAACAAGTTATTACTATCAATATTAATAGTAGTAGTAGTGTGGTGTATGCTACTAATATTGACATAAGTAGTATATGATGTTAGTCGTGAACAGAATGTCTGGCAGCAGAGAGACAAGAGGATCTAACAGTAAAGAATGGAAACAGAATGCAATTTGTATGAAAATACAAGAACAATGAAGTCTCAGTCATTATGAGACAATTGATGGTCATTTTGCAAATTACGTATTTACTATTTGATGATTAGATTGTATTAACAAGTCATGTAATTTTGTGTTAAATATATTCGATTGTCCCCACTCATGTTCTGTTCACTACAGTAGTAGTAGTGGTAGTAGCAGTAGTAGTAGTAGTAATGGCTTTATTCAATATTATAAAGCGATCATTAATCTAAACGACTTGATATTGTGTAAATTATATTTCCTTCAATGGTTGAGATCATGAGTTAATTGAAGCTAGACCACCATGAGAAATCTCGAAGGAGTGGATGGCCATGGTCTAGTGGTTAAGTGTACGCGCTCAAGACTGATAAGTCTTGGGTTCGAATCTTGCGAGGCGAGGTCGTAAATGCGCACTGTTGAGGAGTCCAACAATAGGACGGAACAGTCATTCAGTGATTTTAGGTTTTCCAAGGTGGTCTAACTTCAATTGACTCATGATTTCAATCATTGAAATTACTATAATCTCCACAAAACCCTTCTGACATAAATTATGTTTGTTTCACTTTAAATAGTTGAATATATTCTATAAAGAGCTTATAATGATTATAATCATAGTTCTCTTTCACATTGTAAACAAACAAACAGATATTTATTATTGATCACAGGGTAATTTAAAAAGATACTTTTTATAGAAATATTTATTATTGATCACAAGTTTTGGGTACCCATGGCAATATTCTAACCCTCATACAAATCGAATGCTTTATGGGGAGTATATCTGTTTACTATCTCCTAATATGATGAGTTATTTATTTATCAAAATTACTATTCAAACTATTATTTATCATTTTGTGATGTTTTTATATACTGATAATGACTTGATACATTATTATGCATCTCGTTCAAATTATATTATATTGTAGTGTATACTACTGATGTTGACAGAAATAAGTAGTAGTATGTATCATCAAACAAAAGTGAAATGTCTGAAGGTAGATGGTTAAGAAGATCAAATAAAAGAGAACTAGAACAAAGAATAATAAGTGTGGAAATGAAGGAACATTGAAGTTTAAGATGATTGATTAACATGTTGTAAATGAAGTATTTACTGTTTGATTCTGTGATTGATATGTTTAAAGACATTCAGTTGTCCCTATTTATGTTCTCATTTACTACACTATATTATCTATAACTGTTTGTTCTTACAAAGTTAATAGACAAGCTTATTTTAAGTACCTTATCAAGATAGTCCACACACAGAGAGAGTGTGGAGATAGGTCTGACCACAAGAGAGAGAGAGGTTTTATACCAGATAAGAGGTATGTTACAGACTAATGTTAAAGTTTATCTATTTTCTATACGATACATTATAAGGTCAGTTTTAAGTTTTTTATTCTTGTGTATTATATTCAGCATCATTTCCACAGCTCTTTTCGCATCATAACAATCAACATGTTAAAAAACCTTTTTGAATTAAGTCATAGTTATAGAAGAATAGTCACTTAAAATTCGGATGTTTTTTGAAAGGACATAAACTGTTTGATACAGTATGTTTCATAGCAGAATTATATACAATGATATAGGTCATTTCTATTCACTGTTCATGAAACAATCAAAAATGAGGATTTGAGATCATAACCATTAGATTATTCTTTAAATCAACTAACTAATATTGAATGAAATCATAAACGAAATCAACAAGTGAGGATGTCATAAAGCTACACAGTTCTGTTTAGTTCATTATGGTTGATTCTTTTCGCTCAAAATCCATATCACCATATTTGGAAAGCAAATATTTCATTTCATTTCAACTGTACATACATCTACTGACTTCTGTGGTCATCAAGTTTAACTTCGGGGATTAGCGTAAGTTTAATCTACGAATGCATGGTCTATGCATTGCATATCTAATACTAAGATACTCAAACTTATTTCTTAAAATATAGTATGTTAAGTCAGACCAACCAAATAACTTCATACTTGTATATTTTCGTTTATGTTCTTGTTCATAATAATATTTATAATTCGTCATTTGATGAAATATTTTACACAAGACATGAAATAATACATAGTTAAGGTTTTCAAACTCATTCCTATAAGTCTCTGTATTTGATAAGTGACTGCTGAATCAGAAAAATGATTATATGCTTTCCTTATTAAGTGAATATTTTATTAATTTTGATGTTATCAACACTGAATTTTTAGTTAAAGTTCATGATGTACAAACAGTCAGTATTTACATAGTAATCAATGATGGGAAAAGGATAAACTGTCTTCTAACAAAGTGACTGACTAAATGGTAGTAAGTTAATGTTATACTGAGAATATTCTGACACACATATATAACAAGTTACAGATCATCTCTTTTTCCTGATTCACAAGGGCTACGATTCTGAAAAGTTGCTACATTCAACTAAAATAAAGTTTGAAATAAAAGAGTAAAGATATCAAATTCGTAATGCAACCGATAGTTACTCTACGAAATAAGTAGTTCATATTTGATTAAATGGTGCTAGTCACATTTCATTCATATAGAAATGTTTCGCAACAGTCAAAAGATCACGAGGAAGATATAACACATAAGAAAGAGAAATGGAAGACATTCAACATGGAGTCCATAAAAGAGATAAGAATTCGGAAAAATACTTTATCACATAGTTAAAAATACGGGACATTAAGAATTTTTAACTTCAGTTTCCATCCTTATTTTATCTATTAAATAAGTACCACAAACTTCGAGTTTCGAAAATATTTCTGATGCATGCAGTAATATTATAAGTAAATCAAGTAAATAAATAAAGATCTTTAGTCTCACCTTGCTCATTAACGAGAACGTACCTACATTCATCATAAGCTGTACGTTCGGCTCAAGCTTAGAGGTACAAAGTATGTGTCAGAAAAGCAGACATATGCATTAGGAATGATACACTATAGACTCATATACATAATTATAATCGCTGCTACTACAAGTGATAATATATTATTACTGACAGCACAAACTTGGCCATCTTGTAGACTCGTTATAGTACAAAGTTCAGTAAAAAACGATGCATTGTCACTCTCTGAGTGTAAGAGAAGTGAATGTCTTTAATAAAGCTAGCTCAAAATACATAAGGTTTGTAGTTTCACAACTGGGATCGCGTAACACTTCATAATAACCAAATTCACACACTTGTAAATATCACAAATCTTACTCCCATGTGGTTTAATATGTCACCTCATGAATTTAATATTATCATATATTTCTCAGGCGTATCATGTACTACGGCAACAAGGACATAAAAATAACGTTCTGTGATAAACCTCAGTGAACTTACCGACATCGAAAACCTTAAAGTCTAGATCCTTGAACCGAAAGTTCGTTTCGACTATACCTGTTGTCTTCACCCTAGATCTCAATACATCTTGTTCAGTTGGCAAGTAATCAGAAGCAGATATTCTATCAATAGAACTGAGGTAGTAGCCTGCGGAATCGTTCAGTTGGTATTCCTTGGAACGCGCGAAACATTTCTGCACACTTGTGTTGTTCCATAGTTTCAGTAAAAGTTTTGATAAATCCTCGGGAAAATCTCCTTCTTCAACTGTAGGTAAATATCCGTTTAGGTGCTTTAACTCATCTGCTTGGTCGAAACCATCCGCCGTTATATCCAGTGTCTCCATTGCTTTTAGTATTTTTATCATCGACTGAAGGGTGTTTGCAAAAATGATGGGTTTGTACTCTTTTCTCTCTTCTTCTCTGTAACCTTCACCATGGATTATTTTCATCTGTTTTAAAACTGTTGACTTCCCACACTCACCAGCACCAAGAAGAAGTAACTTGACCTCTTTCATTGATTTTTCTGCATCGTGTCTTATTTGCTTCTCTATAGCCCTACTCTTATCCTGCTGAACTTTAGCTGGTTCACTCCATGCACATCCCATATCAGATATTTGAGCAAATAACCAAACGAAAACCAGTTTCGATATATAGAGTCCACTAGCATGAAATAAAGGAAGAAAGTAAACGAATATACGGTATACTATATATATAGACTATCCAACATGAGCTAGCCAATTATTGAGGATGATGATCACTTCGAAGCTAGTACAAATACTCTAGGTTTCAAACAGTAATATATGCTGAAATATTTTTATTTATTACTTTATTCGAAACTTTAAAAACACCTAGTTAAAAATCACGTATTTTGAAATTCAACGAGCTTGCAAAGAGAAAGTGTTTAAATGGGTGAGCCTGAATGCCACAATTTTTAAATTTACCTGGGCATGGCTGAGCAGGTTGGTTGCAGTTCATGTGAATTGTTTATTTCCAGAGAGAAAACGCATTTCAAAAGCAAGAAGTGAAAGGAAAGAATGGCGGAAGGTATTACAAGAGCATAGGTCTTGGCTACAAAACTCCAAAAGAGGCTATATTCGGTAATTACATTGACAAGAAGTGCCCCTTCACTGGAAATGTACGTATCCGTGGTCGAATCCTCACAGGTGTTGTGCGTAAAACTAAGATGAACCGGACTATTGTTATTCGTCGTGACTACCTTAAGTACGTGAAAAAGTACAACCGATATGAGAAGCGACATAAGAATATGTCTGTACATATATCTCCTTGCTTCAGGTGAGTTCACCGTGTGTTTGTTTACACTTGCAGAGATGTGGATATTGGAGATGTCGTAACTGTTGGTGAGTGTAGACCCCTGAGTAAAACAGTATCATTCAATGTCATCAAAGTTTCGAAAGCCGCTGGTTCGAAGTACAAAAAGGCATTCCAAAAGTTTTAATGTCTGAAATAAACGTATAGGTTTACCGCAGATCTTGGTTCTCCTTTCGTTTCTAGTGTAACTGATTAACTTGTTTTCAGTTGGAGCTTTTCAGTTTCGTTTATTATATATAAGCGTCATTATAAGTTTCGAGAGAATTGGCCAACTAAAAAGCCTGCTGTCCTGAGCATTTCATAACTGTAACAATAATAGCTTAATACGTTTCTGCAATAATCTAGTTGAACGTGGCTCCATTTATATGTCCCCTAAAACTTTTATCTATTTTTAGCATTAGTCCTGTATTTGGATTCACATGTAGTTACCGATATAAACACCAGCTAGTTTTTCTATGGATGATTAAATCTGCTTGCCCGGCTACATATTGGGTATGTGTGAAATCTATTGCCGAGCGACGCAATACTTCAATATATCATGTGTGAATAGTTGATCTATATCTGATACGGGCTTTTTAGGCTGTAGCGAAATGCACTTTCAGTAAAAATTAAGCATTAGTTCTTATATCCTTAAGTTTCTAATACCAATGATGTGGCCGACTTCAATTTGACAAAAAGAAATAAGCGGCTCAGTTGCGTTTCTTGTCTCATTTTATCCAATCTGACGTGATATAAAAGACATCAATTAATTGTAACAGTCAAAGTTGCTACAGACTGCCAAGCAGGATCAGCCAAATTAGTTCACTCTCAGAAAATGATATAACACTTCCTCCCCTACAGACTGAAAACTAATCATAACGGTTTAGGATTATAAACATTTCTCTAAAAGGGTTATAAAAAACAAAGTAAGGGGTTATTGTCATATGTTAATGTGATATTTTGGCCTAAACACGTTTGTTTTCAGAACACTACACTCCATGTATCAGCTACACAACTTTTACCATAGAACGTTCCTCCTTGCGTTAGCATTGCAGACTGTCGCCATGACACAGAAGTTACTCCTATGGTCGGACACTTATATCTCGAACAGCCGCTTACTGTGCTGCTTGACTAACTATTAACTGATGTAGTACATAGTTGGTCTACTAGTCTTGAGATTTGTTAAAGACATCCATAGTAGTTGGTACGAATGTGTTTAGACCCAACACTTCATTTTCCCTATACTGGGTGTCTGTCTTACAGTCGGGCTGCACGGGGCATATTCAAAGTCTTCCCTTAGTAACGACGATGTAAAGCCCTGAAGATAGTGTTATTCCCTGAAAAGATAATAAGTTGTTTCCGTCAGCATAGAATGAAGTTCAACATCAAGTTCTAAGTTAAGTCAACGACACGTCTTTGCGATCTGCCACTGATAAACTCGTCTATGAGTCTACATCTCATTAAAATGAAGTCTCTATACAATAGAACTGGAAATTCTGACAATATAACAATTAACCTCTAGTCTTGTTAAAACAATCGGTGAATCTTTTCACTAATGTCAACGAACCTGCAGGCTCAATTTCTGGTTAGACTCCCTGTAACTGAATTACCCACTATAAATGTGTAAGTTAGATATTTGTAGTCCGAATAGAGTTCAGTATCGTCCAATGTATCGTAGGGATGTTCGAATACATCCTATTCACGGGGTCCAGGTTCATTAAGACCTGTTATTGGGAGGTAAAAATAGGTTAGAGGAAGAATTTAAAGAGACTGATTGGTAAGTGTGGATATATATTCATATCAGTATAGTAGTTTATCACGCTTGTAACACGATACTGTAGGTTAAAATTACTCAGGGGGATATTCTACGTAATTAATTGTTTCCTGAATTCAGCTTGAGCAGTTTCACCAGTCTATCGAGATTCGAACGCAATAATATTGGTACAAAGCGGCATCGAATACATATGCACCGCAGAAGTCTCTTAATTTGTGTGAGGACTGGGATACTTCCCGGGTGTTTCTTTTAGGGGGCCACACCCGAAGCCTGACCCTTAAGGTAGTGGAGCAACATCAGGAGATGCAGTCACATGGTAGCTGATGACCAACAATAGGTTCATGTGGCATTTGATCCATCAGAATCCTGGAGCCCATATGGACCATTGGTTTGGAATCAGGGTTCTTCAACTCCTCTAGGCGGACCCTTCGTGTCCACCAACCCGGTTAATGCGCCAAACATCCACTTTTCGTTTTGCCAACTTCGTAAACAAAAGTAATACCGCGAGACTGCGGTGAGCAGGACTCCCCTGTCAGTGGCTGTATGTGCATGGCCATGTAAAAGCATTTCGGAAGGGAGAGCTGACTCTTCCCATCCTCGGCCGCATCAGGTATATCGAAAAGCTTCAGTATTCAGCTGCAACAAATCTTTAGCGTTCTCACCTTGTTCCTTAATTCTGAAACTTCGATTGAATATTGTTCAGGCTACCTGAAAATTAACAATCAGTCGTTCTGATTTTATGATCTCTCTTTAGTTATTATTGACCTAAAATTGTTCAAAACCTATGAAACCAATCGACACGAGACTTCTTACTTAAGTTGAACTGCGGAACTTTTGACCTTACAGCTTAGGAATGATGGTGGTACTAATTCCAATCGGAAAACAGTCTCATCGAACTTCACTAACTGTTTCACTGCGATATAATCCCTTAATACGGCCGAAGTCCAAAATCAAAACACCCCTATAATTTAAATCCAGTTCAAGAAAGTGTGGTCAGAATTTTAGGTAATACCCAGGGATAAATATTGTATGATAACTAGTCTCAAAATAAAATAAAAACTTTCGTAGCGAATTAAGTACTGTAGGTTTGTTGATTTAATTGTCGTTTGACATATCCTATCGCCGTTAATGCTTCATTGCAACATACTGTTCCTACAAATAGACTGAAAGTGCCAGAACAAATACTAAGTCAATAATAAGAATTTTACTCTCCTAGGGTACATAAATATATAGATGTAGGAGCTATGCTGAGTCACAGTAGGTAAATGTAATTATTATCAGAATAATTTAGAAAACGCTTCAAATTAATCGGAGTATAACCAAAATTAAGCTACATCATATGCATTAGTCACACGATATAAACACGTGTACAATCTTCGAATGATTTTCTTAGATTAATGGTCTCTAAAGTAACTTGCTTTAAAATATATTGAATATTAAATATATCTAGAATGAGAAAAGTGTTTGGTATTGAAATTTATAAACTACATTAAAATACTTCACATCAATTGCAATAGTATATGGGTTTTAACCGTGTAATAACATTGACAATAATCAGCTTACTTTGAAGTAGATCTCTGCTGGTCATACATCCTTGAATTCCTAGTCTTACGTTACTTTAGGACATATAGCTGTTACAATTAATGTGTTGTTTGGTGATCGGGTAAGGTAACCACAATAAAACCTAGGTTTGGTCACTGGCGGTTCAGCGGTATTATGATAGATATGGCTGATCATGAAACCGGGTTTTTCACCTACCAAGAAACTACCAGCTATATTAAATTATTTCAGTTGTAATTTATATTCAGTGGATTGAGTGACCCCATACTATAAACGTTCAACAACAATCTAAATTATGTTGATCGATTTAGGACCGAAAAATATTGACTAAACAAAACTGAGCGTTTACCTACATTATTCACTGTGTATGATAAAAAAACTAACACTAGAGTACGTACTAATCAAGATTCTTTACTTTTAATATCGAAGAAATATGGAAAAAGACACACCAATAATAATTTATTTTACCCAAAATAATAACTCATAAGTAGATACCGAACTATACAAATGGACATTTTTAAAATATATGAACCTTTAAAGTTCCTATATTGTGAATTAGAACGACAAGCGAACAACATTGTTTCCAATTAGATCCTCATTAGGCTTGATATTAGCCGACTGCCCAAATCGAATTCTTAATCCAATGGTTGAAGATACATGGTACACACAAGTGGGTAATCATGGATTCATTTATTCTATTAGATCTTCATCAGGCTTTACTCTAATATACAGTAATATTTATATGCATATACAAAATTATTAAACTAATCAATACAGTTTATGAGCCAGTTATAACAGTAGAACAGATCATATAAGTAGAGTACAAATTCATAAAGATATGACAGGTGTACTAGGGCTTGAATCCATGTTTCATAATGGGAAATAGGTCAATGACTTTAGAAATATAGACACTGAAATAGCACTCATAAAAACTATAGGATTATGTAATAAGTGTTCAGATAATTGAACAATGAAGCGTACATTTGGAAGAAATGATTTGAATTGAATGAAGAGAAATAAACGAACAAAAGGTGCGAAAAATAATTAGTAAGATCGTTTATTAAGGCTATCTCGATCAAGGAAGAGACAAAGGTGTTACAAATTCCTCATTGTTATGTCCTGATAAGCATAATGAATAGTAACTTTTTGGGATCCATTTGTGGACCAATACTATGTGTATATTTTTAAAATTGTTAAATAACTAAACTGTTCATATTCATGTCCCTCTTATTATAAGCTTTAGTTTGGCCTATGAACTATTATTATACGACTTACCATTATTGAATTATGCCGTCTATTGCTTACTACCTCCCTCATTCACATCCACATTTGGCTAATTCTTGTGCAAATGTTGTTTCATACCTTATTGGTACGATGTCTGCTTCATTGGTATATAAACCCAGTATGCTTGAAATAAATGATTCATGTCGCAGAGGCAGATATTGGTGTCCTGGACTTAACTGATTGGGCTAGGCAGGAAGCAGGACCGATAAGTGCTCTAGATTGCTCGTATGGGTTTTAGGCGTAATTGGTCCGATCGATAATTCACTGCTCTATATTTGGCGGCATCGTTACGTTATATATTAGCAGGGCGCACAGGTCACAAGTTATAACGCTTATGAATACAAATACTATGAATTTGTACTCTTTACTTATGTGATCTATTCTACTGTTATCACTAACTCAGTAACTGCCTTGATTAATTTAACAATTTCGTATATGCATATAAATATTACTGTATATTAGAGCAAAGCCTGACGAAGATCTAACAGAATACATGAATCCATGATTACCCACTTGTGTGTACTATGTACTTCAACCAGTGGATTAAGAATCCGATTTAGGCAGCCGGGTAGTATCACTAGTTATCACTACAAAATATGACTCAGGAGTACATGAACATATACTGGGCAAATGAACCAAATATCTATACTAATGTTTACAAGTACATCAAGCTGTTCATTTTTCCTAATACTTCGCCTTAATTGATTAATTCAAGAGGAACAGAATTCAAAATAAAACTTTTTGACATATATACAATAATGGGGAATAATTTGTTGTTTTTTTTCAAATTTTATTTTACAAATTAAAATGTTGAAAGACTAAAGATTTTGCAAGTTTGCTTCATGAAAGACTGTGGTTTGAAAAACAATGAACAAAGTTTGGTCACGATCTGTTTTTTCACGTTATTCGTCACAATCACTAAGTTCTGAAGTTCCAATAATCCCTTTCGCTAGACGCCAAACTTTCGAAAGTGGACCAGGATATTGCGTTGAATCCATAAATCCCGTATTGGTCACTGTAGTTTCACATGATTCTGGTTCTCCTGGTGAGGTCACAGAAACTAGTTCCCAACATTCTAAACCAACAGACGAATCGTGTTCTTCGAGTTTATTGGATGATTGAACATAGTCGGAACTACTTGCCCTACATAAAGTAAACCTATTCACTTGTTTGTCACATAATGTTAAACTATCATCGTTTGATAAGCCAAACATCTCATCCACTTCTTCGCCTTTCTCTACAAAACACGGTGAACTAAATGAAACTGTAGGATGACTCATTAAGGATAATGATGGAATCTTTCCAAAAAGCCCATCTAGTTTTATATTGTAACATTCGTCAAAGTACCTAAGAATCAAAGAAAATCAATTAATAGACAAAACAAGAGGTATTTGAACAATCTGAAAAGCAATAAAATCGAAACATTACGTATTAAATGTATCCTGAAATGTTTTAGTAACATGAAAGTTTACTAACATTACTCAACTACTTAGTTTCAAGATATTTGCGGTGCAAGCAATATAAAACAAATTAATAAAACCATCCATCATACACTAATTACTTCACTATGAGTAAGAACGCTGTCTATTAACATAAAGGAATAGGAGAAACACATCCGGGAAATAATTCCACCTATCACATATATAAACAAACTTCTTTTAATGTTCCAACTGTCACTCCTACAATGCATGGATTACGGTTAGACAGGGAGGATATTTAGTATGTGGCACCGTTGTGAACAAACACTCAGGTAGGGACAACCAATTTATCATTTCATATGTCTATCGACATAAGTAGCATACACCAAAACACCAACTAAATAATCAGTGTATATCACTCATAGCTGTACGACATATCGTAAAATTTAGGTTTAAATACTAGGGATTGAAACCGATAACTGAAGAGACTACGGTGCATCAATAATATCTTAATAGTGTAATACTATATCACCCTACACTACCTAGGTTGAAGTGCTCTCTCTAGTTTCACTACCGAGAACATTATTTATCCAATAATTTTGGAGAGGTTTTGTTGAATCTAACTACGTTATTAAGTATGTATTATGCTAGATTAATATACACAAACCTAAGGGGTCTCCAAAAAATGTTGACGGTGTTCAATAATTTTTTATTAAATACTAATTAATGTACGAGTTCACAATCTCGTTTGTCAGATTTGTAACTAATGTAGCCGACGATAGGCACAGTAACAATGATCTGTAAACCTACTAATTTAACGATAAAATTAGTTGAATAATGTTTATACATAGAGTTTAGGTACAAAAATATTACCTAGTAGACTTATTATTGTGACTGACCAGATGTCCAAGGCAATATAATCCAAACAATGGATTGTAAAATGTGTGCCGTCCAGGAATTACGTTTATCCCAAGTTGTTCTAATCCATTTTTTATATCAATCCCTCGACATTGGCATAACAGGTGAACAGCATGAATGACTGCGAAATACACACGACCCATATCATCCCTCTGAGGTAATGCAGACAAAAAAGAACCAACCAAATGTAAATTCCGACGAATGGAGACTGGCAACCAAACATCTAACAAGATAGTTGAAACCCTTATTGCTACTGAGCAATATGTTAAAGCCGTATGACTGGATGGGGTGGGTTCGGGACCTACAGTAAAGATAATAAAAAGTGAAGACAGTTTAAACTTTAAAGAGATGGTTGGAGGTTTATAGGAAATTTAGGAACACATGTTATCTGCATCAATCTATCACCGATCTACAAAATTATGAAGTCACAAAATAGCTAGAGTAGTTGAGTAAAGTGATATAAGAGTACAATTGTACACAATTAAAATAGTATACCAGTTGAACAGGTCACCTGTAGTTCAAAAGATTTTCATCGCAAAATAGAAGTGGTATGAAGCGTGGAGATTCCACATTGAGAATAATAAGAGTGGTACAAAAAACATTACAAGAGTAAATATCATCTTGAATTATACATTTCAAATCTACAGTGAATGTACAACAGCTTTGTATGACAATGATCATGTTACTCGACAACAAAAATACATCAATCGAAACTTAAGAGCGACACTAACCTGCAAAAATGTTCTCTTTATCGATATGTAGAGGTGAACAAACAAACCTATCCGGAGATAAACCATCAGTCTGAAAATGAAATGAACATAAATTTAGTACTGACATGCAAGATGTAGCCAACATTTAAGTGAATGTTTTTAAGACTAATAAATTATCATAAGTCGAGTGATAACATACTGTCAAATTTTAACTGCATTCAGTAATATTATCTTATGAAACATCATATAATGTTAAGTCGCCTTAACAGCACAAAATCTGACAAATAATTAAATGTAAGGAGTGGTAAACTAGACGCCAACAGGATTCGGCCTGCACGAAGAAGAACCTAACAAGTGCCAAGTAGGACGAAACCTAGCTCCAGGGATTCCTGATGACTACCTCCAACCACCATCTTACCTCAACATGGTGCAAACGATGTCAAGTCACTCAGATTCGTGGCCACATTGTAACTTGGACAACAGGATTCAACCTGTACTAAGAAGAATCTGACACACATGACATTGATCACCACCCAGAGGTCAATCAATTGTAAAAACTAGACATGCTTTGTGGAGTTCCTCCTTTTCTGTCAATACTTATTTATCCATAATATATTACTAGTCAACAGGGAAATGTCCATGAACTTACTTTAGAGTGAAATTTTGCGAGGGCTAGTAACACTAACCGGATTTTCAAACCAAACGAGATTAAAATAGAATTTGAACCCGTAACAAAGTAAATGAGAACAGCAGTAAACTCGCTAAGCTAGTGAACTTATGTAGATCCCTATTCAAGAGTCGGATTGTAGTTCATGCAAATGTAATGACATTAGACATTGCCCGGTACAAACATATTGAACTATAGCGTGTTTCGCTATCTATGAAAACAACGTAACTAAACTCACCGACAGGTCGGTCACGAAATAAACTCCAAGTAACTCCTCAAAATAAGTATCATGTACGTGCTTGATCTGCCTGTTTACTATATCAAGATCAGCTACCAATAACTTTTTTCTCTGTGCAACTGTGATAAAATGCCGTACCAAATTAGCTTGCTGCTTCAGAAGATGCTGGGACGCGGTATGGCATCGTGTCATAGCTTGTCGAACACGTTGTAGCTTTTTGCGTTCTGAAATAACGCACAGTATAATAAGTACGACTTACTCTCTACGTTCATTTTAGTAAGAAACTCGATCGTATGTTCCAAAGAAGAAATCTGAGCATTCAACTCTTCAACTTTACCCTGCTTTAATACAAAAATATGCACAACGAAATCTTACAAAAGTGTGAAATACAGATTTGAACAGTATGGGTTCGTATACTTTAATCCTAATCCGCAAATAATTAAATCTGTAAACCTACTTTCTATTTAAGTCATTAACCGATTTACGGACTGTCACAATCCGATCAGAATTTTGAGGAAAGCTGTAAAGAATCTATTTCAAAAGGTATTCTTACCTAAGTTTTCCAGATTTCTTCGAGAATATGGAATCCTTCCTAACACAATCACAGCAGACAAACGTTTCTTTAAATGATTCACATGTACGACACTGAAGATTTAAATGAAACTGAGGGCCACGGTCAAACGGAACATCGACGCAGGGTGATTCTAATATCTGGAAATCAGCAAGAGTGACGTCGGCAACTGAGTCGTCAAGCATGTATTATATTTGACCAGTTGTCGATTAAGAAGTAAATCGATAAAAAGTCAACCGACTGCTATGACTTTAAAAACATGTAACTCTCAGTCATCAAATAATTTGCTGACAACTCTTGAATGTGTTGTAATCGTGCAAATAAGAAAACATGAGTAAGCCTTGGTAATGGTGGTCCACTCTACTAACAATTGTTAAGATCTCTTTTCACAAAAGATCCGAGAGAGAGAAGCTTGAAGGGAGAAGACGTCTGATGTTTTAGGAAGTGTTGATAGTGAACTTACTAGTGCAACTTCAATTAACAATGCACAACTCTCCGAGCCTTGCAAACCACAAACGAAACCCAGGATGAGGGCAAGGTAAAAACGGTAATCCCTTTCAAATCTGTCCGCCGTTTCGTTTCAACGACCTTGAACGCGCTGACTGGAAGCGGGCATTCCGTATTTCAATTGCCGTGTGTGTGTTGGGTCCTATGAGTATTAAATGTTTCCATATATAAGTCATCTTTTGATGCATAATAAACACTAAATAACTGCTAAGAGCATTAACTGAGTATTTTCTGTTTTGTAGTGAACCATATGTAAAAGATTTTACGGTTCATTTTCATAAAAACTCAATCTGTGATGTATTTTTTGACTAGAAACACGGTGAACTTTACTTGCTTGAGTTTGTATTGTTACAAATAACTATATTAAGCTAACTTCAGATTTACTTACGTGGTGAGCAAGAAATACGTCAAACTGCCAATAAATTGGAATAAAAACTATGTTACAAGCACTAGCAATACAGAAATTGATGTGTCATGCAAAAAAGCCTGTTAATAGCTGATAAATAACGACACAAAAAATCCACGACAATATGTAACGTGTGCGCGAAAATCCGTGGCTTACCCGCCAGTCCGTGCACAGGATGAGTAAAGTATGGTTTCAAATGCGTTCCAAATATCTTTTGGAAGTTCGAAGACCAAACCTTCATATGGTTGTGGATGAAATACAAGAAGCTTACGCTTAATGTGCTTCCGTGTCTAGTAGCAGTGGATCAACAGGCATGAACCCAATTATATTAACGATAATAGATGAAAAAAGAAATTGGTATATAGTAATAAGATGTTATTGGTAGCCCTGAAAAACAGGTCAAGTTTCCTCTTAAAGGAGATTATGTGGAGAGTTCTTCCGTCAAACCGAACAATGTTACCAGTACAAGGTTTGCTGGAAAGACACTTTTGACACAGTTAGCGTAGGCCTTCAAATCGTAGGATGCCAGGACTCCTAAATCTCTTTCAACTTGGGATACTTCTGGAAAGCATTTTCTTAAGTCGCGGCTGTAGTCTGCAACATATCTCACATGGAATACTTTACACTTTGAAGTGTTAATGGTAAGTCCGTTATCGTCTGCCCAACTTTGAAGTCTTCAGTCAGTCTTCAGTAATAAGGATAGGAGGTCTGTCGACCTATATTAATCCTTGCAGTTTGTAATACTGTGGAGGTCCAATCTCGTTTTGAATATATTAACAGACGGCGCTGATATTACGTGTTCCGGTAGGGAATTCCAGTAATTCACTACTCGGTGCGAGAAACGGAACTCCAGACGTAAACGACTTGATCTCGGTTTTTGAACTTTCTTCGAATGTCCTCTCAAATGATTGGTTCTAGGCGGAAGCAAAAATAAGACATGTTAATACCAAGGTCATCGTTCAGTATACGATAAGCCAATATTAGATCACCCCGTACTCTACGGTAAGATAACGGAAATAAGTTAAGGTGTCTCAGTCTGTCTTCATAAGATAGGCCAGCTAGACCTTGTACCATCTTAGTAGCTCGTCGTTGGACTCTTTCTAGCATATCTGCTTCATATTTGAAACAAGGACTCGCTGCTTGAATCCCGTATTCTAAATGTGGTCGCACATGAATCGGGTATAGTAATCCAAGCATTTCATCATCTAAATACTGAAAAGACCTACGAATTGACCATAATACCCTATAGGCTTTTGAAGCAGCAGCCTTACAGTGACTAGTCGTTTTGAGATCATTGCTTAATATAATTCCTAAGTCTTTATAGTTTCTTCCTTTGGATAGCACGAATCCACGTAGTGTATAGTCATACGATTCATCAGAGTTATTTAACTGCATCACTACACTCTTATTAGGATTCACTTCTAGTGACCACCTGTCTAACCATGCCACCAATAAGCTAAGATCGTCCTGTAATACTATTCTATCCGACATACTATGTATGGGTCTCCAAACCTTTATGTCATCAGCAAAGAGTAGAACGGATGATTTTGCTACAGTTGGCAATTCATTTACATAAAGTAAAAAGAGAAGAGGACCTAGGATTGTGCCTTGGGGAACCCCACTTTTTACAGGTACCCACGAAGAGAGAGCCCAATTAACCCTTACCCTTTGTCTCCTGTCATGGAGAATGTTACTTATCCAATCGACGACTGTGTTATGGATTCCAAAACGTTTCAGTTTGAATTTAAGACCAGAGTGTGAAACTTTATCAAAGGCTTTACTTAGATCTATAAAAATTACATCCACAGGAGCATTCCGATCCTTTGCCGCAGCCCACTCTTCTCGTGCAACGAGAAGATTTGTCAAGCAAGATAGGCCTTTCCGAAAACCATGTTGTGCCCTGGAGAAAAGATTTTGCCCTTCAACATAGTTTATAACAGCTATCCGAATGATTTTCTCCATCAGTTTCACAACTGCACTAGTTAAGCTAACGGGTCTATAGTTACTAACTATATCCCTACTTCCAGCCTTATACACCGGACTTATTATGGCGTCTTTCCAGTCTCTAGGAAGTCTGGACTGTCTCAGAGACATGTCGAATAGTATCGATAATGGTTCAGCAATTTCATCTGATATGGCTTTCATAATCCTAGGATGAATATCATCGGGACCACTGGACTTATCAGGTTTGAGATGCTGAAGTAGCCTTAAAACAGTATCTTTCTCAATGACTACAGGATCCATCAGCGAGCCGTCACGGTCACGATGAATCATTGGTCGTTCCTCATTACCGATAGAAAACACTTTACTAAAATATTCCGATAAAGCTTTAGCTTTTTCGGCATCATTCTTTGCTAAGATTAACGGATTGTCTCGTATCAAAAGTGATGGAATTCCATCGCTTCTCTTAGTTCGCCTTTTTATATACGAGAATAACCGTTTCGGACTATATCTGAAATCCTTAACCAATTTTTTTTCGTATGAATGTCTAGTCTTGCTTATTAACGCTTTACAGGCATTCCTAATCTTACAATAACTGGATCTTTATTGTTCTAAGCCAGTAGAGATGAACATATTCCAGTGATTCTTCCTTTTTCTAAGGAGTTTCCTGACCGTTTTAGTTATCCATGGTGGACTATTATTCGGTCTTCGCGGTACCAGGTATGGTATGAACGGGGACGTAACTAGTCTAAATTTACCTTTAAATACAGACCATGCTTCTTCAACTGATATGCTAGTATTTACTAACCAATCTGTCTTAGCAGCGCATTCCTGAATGGCTGATATGTTAGCTTTCCATACATTTGGGCGCGGTGTAACCTGATCGTATAACATGTCCCTAGTTCTAAACGCGAATGACAAAACAGCGTGATCGCTGTTTACTAACGGTGGAAGAATATTTAAGTCGACAATATCCTCAGTCTCATGAGTGATTACCAAATACAGCAGAGAAGAACCCTGGTTAACACCAAAACGTGTGGGTTGGGATACATGCTGCACTAGTGCATGCTCCATTATTGTTATCAGTAACCTACTATCAAAGGAGTTTATAGATCCTTCTGTGGTCATATCATTCCCACTACTATCAGGTGTGTTAAAGTCTCCTATTATCAAGCACCTGGTATTTTCACTCCAAAGATGAATGTGCTCTAAAACAAAGTCATCAGCTAAGCAGATTGGGCTCCGATAAATGACACCTAGCATAAATGTACTACATCCTATAGCCAACTTACAGCTAATGACTTCACAAGTGCCGCTATAATGGGATTCGCTAGTACAGGAGCGGATATTTATTCCATTGGCTATATATAACACGACGCCGCCTCCTTTTCTACATCTATGTCTATCACTCCTGATCCAATGGTATCCGGATAATTTTGGAGTAATGTCTAAGTCATGGACTAACCAAGTTTCTGTCACTGCTACTATGAGTGGCTTTAACCTGTCTACTAGTGCTCCTAGTTTATAGAACTTATTTCGTAAACTACGAGCGTTGGCATATAAAACTCCTAAGTAGAACAGCCTATCCACACAGGCCTTGGTAGCATTCGCTTCCAAGACCTGACTATCCGAAAACCCACTAGTCGGAGATTTTCCTCGCCATTTTGCCGACGGCTTTCAAGTTCAGCTAGTGCTTTCTTCCTTTTTATTCTATCTTCGAGAGACATGTCAGGTCTAACTCGGATGTCAGAATTGTCATGACAACGAGCGCTACTTAACAAGAGATCCCGTTGCTTCTCCGATCCTAGGATTACCTTAAGGAGTCTGCATGGACGGGGTTCAACATTGTCCCCAATCCTCTTGCCTATTCTTACCAATTTTTTGACCTGAACTCCTTTGGAGTTATCTGGTAAAATACTACGAATGTATTCTCCTAGCTTTTCTAAGTCATGCGCGTGTCTAATTTTCGGATCAGGGTCGTTTGACTCCCGCAATTTGCTCACAATAATATTCGATGTTATTAGATTTTTCTTCTCAGTCACGCCAGGATGGGTTTCACTCTTACCTTCAGATCTTGGTAGTGCAATTTGTGGCTCACAATTTGAGTCCACCAGTGAGTTACTAACTACCTGTGCATTGCTTACAGCTTTTTTCTTTTCGTTTCGTTTCCTACGTACCGTAGTCCATTTTTCATCCCTCATAACACTGGGACTATTTGGAACGGTGACTGTTTTATCCAGATCTTCGGTTCCCATTAAAGGTGCATTATTAACAATGTCAGTACCAGGTGGTACTACTCCCCCTGTTAATGTCAACGAAGATTCCACTTTTACGTCGGTCAGAGTCGGTTGTTTGAGGCGTCGCGTAACAGAAGGTACTACACTGACACATTCGTTGCTGTCAGTCCCAGTGTTGTCGGCGCATATGCCATCCTTCTTTTTACAGGCCAAAGCCAACAGGCTCACAGCCTCCTGTATTAGTAATGCCTTGTTGGCACAGCAAAACATGCAAAGCCAATGTGAGTTAGGCTTCGAGCATCTTTTGTATGCGGTGGGACTTAAGCGGGTGCACATTTTGTGGAACCACTTATGGCATTCGTCACACTGCATCCCCTTTTCCACAGGGAACAAACAGTTTGGTTGCCCACATTTGTGAGTCTTACCAACCATTGTAATTCGATTTAAAAGGTTTAAAAACAAAAAATGATAACAATGTGAATACAAGTGTTAGTCAAGGACTAA